TCCGCAGATTTTGGGATGCAGCATCGAGCAGAACTTGAAGCCCACGGCAGATTGGATTCTTGGCTTGGGCTTGAGTAAGGCCCAGCTCGCAAAGGTTGTGGCTGGTCATCCGCGCATTTTGGGATGCAGCATTGAGCAAAACTTGAAGCCCACGACAGACTGGCTTCTTGGCTTGGGCTTGAGCCAGACCCAGCTTGCAAAGGTCGTGGCTCGCTGTCCAAGCATGTTGTTGCTCAGCATCGAGCAGAACTTGAAGCCCACGGCAGATTGGATTCTTCGCTTGGGATTGAGCAAGGCCCAGCTCGCAAAGGTCGTGGCTGGTTATCCACAATTTTTGGGATGCAGCATCGAGCAGAACTTGAAGCCCACGACAGAGTGGATTCTTGGCTTGGGCTTGAGCCAGGCCCAGCTCGCCAAGGTTGTGGCTGGCTTTCCTCAAATTTTGTGGCTGAGCATCGAGCAGAACTTGAAGCCCACAACAGATTGGATTCTTGGTTTGGGCTTGAGCAAGGCCCAGCTCGCTAAGGTTGTGGCTGGTCATCCGCAGATGTTGGGATGCAGCGTTGAGCGGAACTTGAAGCCCAAGCTTGCGCTACTTTGCACATACTTTGACCCGCCGGCTGTTGCAGAATTAGTCGCCAAGTGTCCGTGTGTCTTGTCTTACCGCCGGCAGCGCCTTGCGTGTCGGTTGCATGATCTGTCAGCCATCAACATGACGGCAAAGCTGCCAGGAGCCTTGACACTGGCCGATTCTGATTACATGCGGTTTGTGCTCAGACTGACTAAACCTGGCGCGCTTCAACATTAGGTAATATTAGGTGTTTGCTTCTTTTGTATGTGAAAGATAGAAATCCCCTCTAAATCACTGCGCTACATCCCCTGGTTGATTTGGACTTCCACATGAGTCCAAAGTTGAGATTGAACGGCTTCAGACGTGTGTATGGTGTACCTGCTGCATCTTGCTACGTGGACCGGAAGAGTCAGTGCCAAACTTCGAAACTTTGTGCGGCTTCAGGAGGGCGGACCGGTCAGGATGCATTTGGCCCAAGGCAAGGCTGGCAAGCAGGCACCACATGGATTCTCCTGTTCGTTCAACATGGGCCAGCTGTTCCTGCATGCACGGTGCAAGGTTTCCATGAGTTCTTTGTGCTTATTGCAGACATCCCTTGTTAGATAGTTGGGCAGGACATCAACGTGAACCTAAGCATCCAACCAATCGCCTGCAGGGGTTTCCAACTTTGAAAGACGTTCCCAACCTTAAACAAATCATCCTGCAAGGGCTCCCTGATTCTGAAAGACTCTCCAAGAAAAACCTCACTTGGGCCCATCCTCCACCGCCATGACTCGTGGGCGCCGCTTGGCCGTCCTCGCCTGCCTCCTCGGCGCCGCTGGCTTCGGCTTCAGCGCGCCGGCGTGGTGGCGCCGGGGCCACGCCAAGCGCCCGGGGAGCGTGGCGGAGGCGGAGCTCTTGGCGCAGCTGGCGGTGAGGCTGAAGCCCAGGGCCAAGCTCAAGGAGGGTTGGGGTCAAAGCCGGGCGAGTTGTACATGTTTCAACTGTGGTTGGTATCTGCAGTTAATTGATTTTGCCTTTTTGGTGGTCAACAAAGCTAGTTAGTTCGCTCTTGTCCCAATAGCCAAATGCTTCATTTTGTTGCCCAGGTAGGCTCCGGACTACGTTGGTTTGCAAATTGTGTGTTTGATGCTTGGATTTGCGTTGTTTGTCGATTTTGCGGCTCTGTTTATTTGTTTTTAATTACTTTGGCCCCGACGCACCAGAGGTTTGGGAAGGTGGGTTTGCAAGGTGTTTGGCTTCAGGTGATTTTGTTGTTGATGTTTTCTTCGTTTCCCGCTCCCTAGATGTCATAATCTTCAATCTCCCTTCAGGCAAGATAGAAAGTCTGAAGCGGAATGCTGATATTCTGCATTGTGTTTTTTAGGCGAGCTACGCGCCCAGCATGTCGCAAGGTTTGCTAGCCGTTTTGGTGCTGAGCGTTCGGTTTCCCTGAACTCCTCGAGCTCAGTGCTAGGAGCTCTTCCGTCGGTTTCCTGCACCAGAAGCCTGGGGGGGCAACTACTTGGAACCGGATCTGACGCTGCATGGGGTGATGAAAAGTCCAGATGCGGCGCTCTTCGTGGAGTACGACGGGCACCTTGCCATGCCTTTCATATTCCTTTCATGGAGGGTTTGCATGTTTTGGCAGCTGGGTTGGCTTTGTGTTTTAGGTGGATGCGCTTGGCTTGGAGCTTCACCTTGAACCTTTTTTGGGCAATGTGTGTTTGCCACTTGGCGATGACCAGTGAAACGATTGGCACCAAGCTAAGCCACAAGCTTATCAAGGACAACCCACGCAAGGCGTGCTTTGGGTTGTTGATGGCTTCTGTCAGCTTCGGCCCACCCGTTGCAGGAACGGCTGGTTCGCTCATGTTTTGTGTTTCATGTTGCTCTTTCATGGTCAGGTGGCTTCCTCTGGTAGGATTTATCATTCTGTGAATTCAGGTGGTCAGCAAATGATTTGCATATCTTCGTGCTTCCCGCGCCTTTGCAAAAAAGGACGGAGTTTTTTGTTTTTAATGGTGGCCCTGAGGAGGTGTTGATTGCTAGTTTGCTCAGAGTGATGACCATACACATGCTTATATGCTAGCATGAGTTTTCAGTGTTGTGGCTAGACGTGAAGCCAACCGCCCTAAGAGTGGGGATGCCTGTCTCAAAAGCCAAATTTGTGGTATTGGACGCACGCTGAAGAGGAAGGCATCGCCAGAGACACTGCAAAGAACGTGGCGCTGCTGGCATATGCCCCCCCAGGGTCCCATGTCATACGTGTCAATCATGCTCCGCTGGGTGCGCAGCCAGCGGAGAATGTGCTGTGGATGACGGTGCGGACGTGGCGCCAAGGGGACGAAAAATCGTTGCAGGTGGCGGTGGAAGAACTTTTGTGTCAGATCTATGTGCAGATGGAAGGTGTGTTGCACCCACGCACAGAGAAGTGCTTGGGGCGTGTTGCAGGGGTAAGGGGCGGGCTGCTGTCGGTTAGGGCGTGGGAATTCGCGGCTTCAGCTGTTGTGACGGGTACCAGTGATGAGGTGCTGCATTTTTTAGCCGGGCAAGGGCTGGACGTTGAGAAAGACGATTGGCACAGATTGGTATGCAGGGCGCACCTAAGCATTGAGGACCAGCTGCAACCCATGCTGATGTGGCTTAAGGGTTTGGGACTGAAAAAGGCGCAGCTTGCTAAGGTTGTGGCTGGTCATCCGCAAATTTTTGGATACAGCATCGAGCAGAACTTGAAGCCCACGGCAGATTGGATTCTTGGTTTGGGCTTGAGCAAGGCCCAGCTTGTCAAGGTTGTGGCTGGTCATCCGCAAATTTTTGGATACAGCATCGAGCAGAACTTGAAGCCCACGGCAGATTGGATTCTTGGTTTGGGCTTGAGCAAGGCCCAGCTTGTCAAGGTTGTGGCTGGTCATCCGCAAATTTTTGGATACAGCATCGAGCAGAACTTGAAGCCCACGGCAGATTGGATTCTTGGTTTGGGCTTGAGCAAGGCCCAGCTTGTCAAGGTTGTGGCTGGTCATCCGCAAATTTTGGGATGCAGCGTCAAGCAGAACTTGAAGCCCACGGCAAGTTGGCTTCTTGGTTTGGGCTTGAGCAAGGCCCAGCTTGTCAAGGTCATGGCTAGTTTTGCCCAAATTTGGGGATGCAGCATCGAGCAGAACTTGAAGCCCACGACAAGTTGGCTTCTTGGTTTGGGCTTGAGCAAGGCCCAGCTCGCCAAGGTTGTGGCTGGTCATCCGCAAACTTTGGGATACAGCATCAAGCAGAACTTGAAGCCCACAACAGGTTGGATTCTTGGCTTGGGCTTGAGCAAGGCCCAGCTTGTCAAGGTTGTGGCTGGTCATCCGCAAATTTTCGGATACAGCGTCGAGCAGAACTTGAAGCCCACGGCAGATTGGATTCTTGGTTTGGGCTTGAGCAAGGCCCAGCTTGTCAAGGTTGTGGCTGGTCATCCGCAAACTTTGGGATGCAGCATCAAGCAGAACTTGAAGCCCACAACAGATTGGATTCTTGGCTTGGGCTTGAGAAAGGCCCAGCTTGTCAAGGTTGTGGCTGGTCATCCGCAAATTTTCGGATACAGCGTCGAGCAGAACTTGAAGCCCACGGCAGATTGGATTCTTGGTTTGGGCTTGATCGAGGCCCAGCTTGCCAAGGTTGTGGCTGGTCGTCCGCAGATTTTGGGATGCAGCGTCGAGCAGAACTTGAAGCCCACGGCAAGTTGGCTTCTTGGTTTGGGCTTGAGCAAGGCCCAGCTTGTCAAGGTCATGGCTAGTTTTCCCCAAATTTGGGGATGCAGCATCGAGCAGAACTTGAAGCCCACGGCAAGTTGGCTTCTTGGTTTGGGCTTGAGCCAGACCCAGCTTGTCAAGGTTGTGGCTGGTCATCCGCAAATTTTGGGATGCAGCATCGAGCAGAACTTGAAGCCCACGGCAGATTGGATTCTTGGCTTGGGCTTGAGCCAGGCCCAGCTCGTCAAGGTTGTGGCTGGTAGTCCGCAAACGTTGGGATGCAGCGTCGAGAAGAACTTCAAGCCAAAGCTTGCGCTGCTTTGCACATACTTTGACCTGCCATCTGTTGTAGAATTAGTCGCGAAGTGTCCGTGTATGTTGTGCTACAGCCGGCAGCGCCTTGCGTGTCGGTTGCATGACCTGTCAGCTGTCAACATGACGGCAAAGCTGGCGGGAGCCTTGACGCTAGCGGACTCTGATTTCATGTTGCGGTTCAACATTTTGCGTTGCTTGTGCTGTGGGTACAAGATAGGTAATTTTGGGCTTGGCGTCAGTAGTTCAAGCAGTTTTGGATTCCTTAAATAGAGGACCCGTCGTTGGCTTTCGTTTAAATCCATCCAACAAAGGTGGGAAGCATGGACACTTGGCCCTCCTGCACATTTCATGTTCATTCCGACGGGAAGACTGGACATAAGGGATTACGGAACCCCAGCCCCCAGGTTCTGCGGCTTCTGCGTGATCAGCTTCGGACTGGCCTTTGCAGGGCTGCTGCTATTGCTGGCCGGGGGGCGGGGGGCTGGGCGCCGTGGGGCCTGGAGTGAAGGTCAGAAGGAGGAAACTTCTTTTTGGTTGGGAGGGAGGCTGGTGATTCTGTTTTTTGGCGTTTTGGTTGTTGGGCTTGAGAGACCTGGGCTTGCTGGGTTTGAACAACTCAACCATCGTCCCATTGACCAAGGAGCAAACTAGCAAATGGGAGACTTTCGAGCACTTGGAGATGATATATTTGGTTTTTTTTTGGGGTGGGCCGGGGGGGGGGTGCTGGGAGCGTTTGGGCTGTTAGCCCGCTGAGATGCTTGAGGGCCTAAGCGGAACTTGGATTGCAGATTTCCATGTTCATGAGCGAGACAGTGTAGTTGTAGTTCTATGAAGCGGGCGCAGCACCGGATACCCGTAGCCAGAAGTTCTTTGTGGAGAGCTCCTATGTGCCTTCACATGGTCGCAAGCCAATTTAGTTCGCGTGTAGGGACGATAGTGCATGACATGAGTAGCATGCCCTGAAGTTCCACAGGCAATGTGCAAGACATGTGTAGGGCCCCCCGCCTGGCAGGAGGCAGTAGCCAGGAGATGCCCAGCCAGTTGCTGTTGCCGAAGATGGGGATATATCTTGCGTGCAAAAGGCTTGAAATGGTTCATCCACCTCGCCAAGACTCATGTCAATTGAGGCCCCCCTATGTCAAAACAGCATCTTGGGCCCAAGCAACCGCAAGGAGGGCATGCTCGGTTTTGTGCCAGCTGCTACCAAGCTTCTTGTTCAATGGCTTGATGAACACGTTGTGCCGCCAGCATGGGCCTGTTGATAACATGATGCATTGTAGACGGGCCTTTTATCAACAATTGCGTTTGAGGAAATGTGCCCAGGAAGCTTCGAGGACTGGGGCAGCACCTGTCCCACAAATCAAGCGCAAGCCATGGTAGGAGGCTTCGTCCCTGTGGGCTTGACAGCTGTCAATCCATCCCTGCAAGTACTGTGGCAACCATGTTCCATTCCAGCTACGGTTTGCATTTCACTTAGTTGCCCCCTTTTCAGCACTCATGGCCACCTGACACCAGGGATTTGGAAGACTAGTCATCCACACAAAGGCGTCCAGTCCATTTCCCGTCTCCGCCGGCTGGCCACGTACCGCCGGGGTCGACGTGCCGCGTCAGGCGGTGCCTGTCTCGGAGATGTGCGGCTTCATGCGCTACGAGCTGCTGACGCACCAGGGGGTGCAGGAGTATTACAGGCAGGATGTGCTCGCGCGAAGATGCCGGGGGGGGGAGGGTTGTTTCAATGTTGACCCCAGATGATTTTTAACCCCTAATTAATCCATTCCAACAGTGGTCTGAATCCCCACCAACCAGGGATCTCCATATTAGACAAGGCATTAGGTACTTACTTCCCAGAGAGGCGCCCGCCAGTCACAAGCTGCTTGTTGGAGACTCCACTTACCAGCGTGCCCTGGACACTGGGGAGAGCTCCTATGAGAGGCTCGTAATTAATAGGGTACACAAATGACCCGGCGGGTACCCGAAAGATCCCGAAGGGAAGGAGGCGGAGAGCGGAGGGAAGCGGAATTCTTTTGACCTTTGGATGGGAGGAAGAGGGGGAATGAAGGGAGGGAAAGATCTTGGCATTTTGGCCTTGTTGAAACCTCCGTAGAGCTTCCCCCAGCCAACACGCTGACCCACGCTACCCAACAGGGCAGTTGAGTTCGACATATCCCTCATCTGCAAACTTCATGGGAAATCGCTGCAACATACTCCCCACTCCCAGCAGGGAGGCACCCCCCGACCAAATCAGACAAACAGTTGAGGGACCAGGCCCAAAGAGAGGAACTTTTCTCTCGTTGCCAGTACTGTCCGGGTTTTGACGCGGCCATGGTTTGAACAGTTTGTTGCGGATGAGGTCGAAATGACAGTTCTGCTTTATCAACTTGGAATTGATCATCAAATGCAAAGAAAGTGCCAAACACACGGCGCTCTGTAGTGTTGTGTGTGTGTGTGTGTTTGGGTGTTGCATCTTGCCGGAGCATGCGTGACGTGATGGAGTCTGATAGGGCAATCTGATCATATCAGATTTCAATCCTCCAACATAAGCGCACTTCTTTCCAGTTGCCCATGCAAACCAGACTATTTGAGACCCTAACGTCCTTTGGGGTGTTTACAAAGCAGCAAGCATCAGATTCTGTCTAGACACGCCTACACCAAGGGAGGGCGGCGGTTTGCGCACCACGCGATCTGCGCGCAGGCAGGTCGGCCTCTTCAACCCCCAGGACCCAGCCAAGCGCATGGCGCCTCGCCAGCATGTGGTGGGTTTGTGGTAGCCAGGGTTAAAGGTGCAACTAGACCTGTTTCGGCCCCGTGCAACGGGGTGGCCACATGAAGGTTGTTGAAAACAATGGTGCTTTCGACATGTGGCCACTGGTTTCGAGCATGTGTTTGTGGTCAATCCGGTAAGGCGAGGATGCTGTTCGATACGTGTGGGCCACTTTTTCCCACAACATTTGTTTGTTCGGGGGCCGGCGATCTAAACAGCCTGATTTAGAGGTGGTGCGCCTAGCGTTCATGAACAGGGCCACCTCCGTTTCTTCAATGTGGGGTCGAGGGGCCGGCAGCATCTCTAAGCCCGCCACGCAAGCTTCTCAATCCCACCGTAGTAACAGCCACCTGGTTCCATGGCCAGATATTGCTAACTTACTTTTTGTTTGCTGCTTGGCCAACTGGCAAAAGTAGCTTTGCAGGTCTAAGCCTAGCCCAGGTTCACAGTAGGGAGTCGCATTTTAGAGAGACTACTTCACTTTTCTTTCTGGGGGGGGAGAATCAGCCCACATATTCATCCGCCAGGTTGATTCATCCAAGGTTTGCCGAAATCGACGGCTTCGGTCCGGTTGTGGCGCCCTCGCCCCGGGGAATCGCGCTGAGGATGCCCTCGCAGCGGACGTGTGGGGGCGCCCAGCTGGATGGATGGCACAAGCGACGGGACTTTCGCTCTTTGAAGGTGGCCATGGTTCTGATGGTCCCTCAAGTGGGGCAGAATCCCATTTTGCGATGTTCCAGAGTCAGCTGTAAATGTAGGGCCTCCCCCCCCCCCACCTCCAAAAATCACTGGACCACCAGCCCCACCGACTGCCCGGGTATTTGGGGGCCAGACGCCGAGCGCTGAACGCAAGCCGACGGGTTCCGCAGGTTCCGGAGCTGCTTCACGGGCAACGGCACGGGGGACATGGTGGCGGCCATGCAGCTCCAGCAACCTTTGGCCTTCCAGGAGGCCGTCTCGGGAGTTGGGAAGGGCCACAGCAACGTGCTCAAGACATGGGTGTGGCATTTTTTGTTGATCGTACCCTTTCGTTGGGTTGTTTTACAATGAGAATGCAAGAGGAAACTAAGACAACCAACCCTTTGGCTTCCCTTTTAGCTTCCCTTGGAACCAACTCCAATAAGGCCACCCTCGAAAAGAAAAAAACATGGACACACACACACACACACAGAACCTTGTTTGAGCCACGGTGGTTTAACACAGCCTATTGGTTGCCCGTTAAAGTGCGCCGCTGGCTGTTTAAACCAAGGTTTCCCAACTCTACCAGCAGGGGTGTTGGGGGGCGGGCACCTCAGTTGTATCTCCGGGCCCAGGGGCGGTTTTGGGAAGTGAAGCAAGGGCGCCACAAGTGTCCAACACACGGAGATAGTTTCACCGTGGCGATTTGCCCAGCACCACCACCTCCAACCTTGATGCGACCTCGCTATTTGTTGGAGGGTTCTCTGGGATGAGAAAAGCAAGAGCATAGAGCGCTTCAGCAGAAAGAGGGACAATTCTTATGATGCGTTTTCAGCTTCTTGCAAGTTCAGCTAATTTTGCAGTTAGAGCAAGCTAAGAGCAGCCATATTTACTCTGGGGAGGAGAGCACTCGGTCGGAAGATCGTGGCTTTGTTGTGCCAAGAGATGGAACACAAAACAGCACTCGGGTATCCGCTCTCGCCATCAGACACGTACCCATGCAAAACATAATGGCGATCGATATTTGTGCAGGGACTTGGACTTGTTTTGTTCTTGCAACTTATTACATGGGTTGTTCTAAATCCTTGCTCCTGTTTCTCTTGTTGTAGTGCTGTCCCAGTACGGATGTTGGATTTGGATCAGGGATCCCGCTGTCTTCATCCAAAAGGCCAGGGCACCGCACTTTTGGCGTTGCTCGCAACAGGTGCTGGATGCGAGGTTCGTGGAGCTGGAGGACAAGCAGGCCATGATGAGGGGCCATGTCCCGTGGCGTATTGCGGTGCAATCAAGCCGTAAAGTGAGAAAGTAGTCACAGGGACAGTGCAAACCATTATGTGACGGCAGTCGCCCTCAAATTTTCTATTGCGGCAGGAGTGCAAGTGACATCTTGCTAGCAATTTCCTTTGTCTTCTTGCTTTGGGAGTTGTGATGTCTGCCATCATCAGCCCATTTCAAGCCGGCATTGTCTTTTGCCACTTTTCCGGTGGACAAATGGAGAACCTCTGACGCTGGCTGCCTGGCCAGGCCGGCATGGTGGTGGACACTGCCAGGTACGAGCTGTTAGTGACGCAGGCGTGGCTCAGGGTGTGGCTTGGAAGGCTGTAGGAGGAATGATGCTGCAGGGATATCACCCTCAGACCCGGGACCCAATGGCTATACCATGGAGTATACAGTTTCGTGACATTTTTTTGGACATTTTGGGCGACCATGGGGGGCCTGGAAATGGGTGCGCGTTTTGTTTCGAGTGCCATTTGTGCGGGGTGATTTGCAACGGGAGCCGAAATGGAACCAACCATTTTGGAAGGTCCCCGATCGTGCGACAGTTCCAAATGGAGGATGTTTGAGACCTGATGGGATCCCTGCAATGACCTTATGCCGGGGTTGCGGTCCAAGGCAAAGGCGGGCAGCACTGTGGGGTGAAGCAACCAATGTGATTCACTTTGCAAGGCCCGCCTGCACAGACTTTTGTGTTTGCGTATGCATGTTCCGCACCGACAGTTCTCAGCAACCCCCTCAGCCTTGCGTTCAAACGCAGGTGATATCGACACTTGAAAAGCAATTTGGTCTTGAGAGTGCGGGAGCTTCTTAGAGGCACAAACCTTCGGCGGCCTCTTCCTGCTGGATCCAGCGCGAGCCTGAGCGGCGGGCATTGCCGATCAAATCATCACCTCAGACAAAAGGGGAACAAAAGGAAGCCGACCATGTTTCTTGGGGGGGTCCCCTAAAACTCCCCAGCCAGCTAACCCATGAAGAGGGTCGCTTTCTAGGGATTCCTGGTGGTTTGAGTGATTTGTGCACAGTCCTGATTGGTTAAGAAGTTGTTGCATGGTCGGCACTGCTGTTTGAATTCACGCTGCGTCACTGGTTGCGTATATGCGTCATCCGCAACAGTCGCTTGCGCGTTGCCCACCAGAAACGCGGGAAGAGGCCGGGGAAGTCCATTCAGTCACGGCTTCCCGTATACAAACCACTCCAAAAAGGTTTGGCACCCCTCAAGCCCACAAAAGGCTCCTGAAAAGATACATTTTGCCCATTTGAAGCATGTTTTTTCAACAAAATAAAGTGAAACCTCCATTTACAAGGCAATGTTCAGGTGTATAATGTAAGGATCCCTGAGGACACTTGCCATTTTGGGATACGTGTTATGGCCGTGCTGTTTCGGAAGCACCGGAATGGATGCCTGCCTTTGAATGGTGTCCCGTTTTCAGACGCCAGCGCCGGGGTGTCTTCAGATGTCAGCTGCGGCCAGCGGAGGACCAGCAGCTGCCGCTGGACGCCACGGCGGCGCCCAAGCTGCTGGGCAGCTCCTTGGATCCGGACGACCAGGCGGGCGGCCCGGCTGGGGGGCTGGTGGGGTGGAGGGTAGGCTGCTTGGAAGCTGAGGGGACTCCCATATTTTTTAGGAGGCTCGTTGGTTGGTTGGTTGGTTGCTTTGGGTTGCTTTTGTATGTTTGGGCAACAATTGCCTGGAATCCTATTAAAAAAACAGACTCGATTCGAACGATAGCTATTTCCGATCTAAAGAAAACCAGACCCCATTTGGCCCTTCAACGAGAACCAAAGGGAGGCTGTTGAAAGGAGGCCCTGCAACTGGGGTTGGCCCATGGCGACCCTCAACATGGAACCTGACTGAGGGCCTTGCGACCTCCATGTTGGTGGGAGGTCATGTGTTTTTTTGGCGCGTCAAGGCGATGTCAATGACACTTGTTTGCTTTGTTCCTGGTAGGTCCCCGCAAATTCCGCATTTATCCAAACACGTGCCCTGTGCTGTAGTGGGTCCTGCACTGGGCTCATGGTTTGCCTCTTGCCAGTGGTTGCTTTAGCAAATTTGGGGTTCCGTGCCCCCCGCTGAAAGGCAGCCAGTGTGGAATGGTTCCTGTAGGCAACAAAGTGTTCCCCTTCAGTTAATGGCGGGCCTCCCTCAGGCGACCGCAGCATTGACTGAAATGGGCCAGGGCGATCAACTGAATCTTGCCACAGGGCTTCGGACAGGGTTGACAAAAGTTTCATTTTGTTCTCGTCACGGCTTCTGACGTAATATTCACGGTCTTTGCAAGTGGTTTAGCACGGGGTTCTACTCTCTCATAGGCAGATGTTTGTTCGCGGCTCCGGTGGGTGTGAAACCAGCAGCTTTTGGGCGTGTCCGCCAATCTGGGGATTTGTTTCTGCAGCCCTGACCCTAAGCGGAGTTCGTGCTGATGCTGCGTCATCTTGCTGCAAAATAGCTGTTGTTTTTTCATCCTGGTCTTCCATAATTGTTGCTGTGATCGGCTGGCCTGCCCGTGTAAAGATTCCCAGCATGTTTGGTCACCATCGCAGCTTGCCTCGGCAGAGGCAGCAGCAGCAGCAGCAGCAGCAGCAGCAGCAGCAGCAATAGCAGCGCAATAATACATCTCATGCCCACCAGAGCTGGCCAACACGTGCGGAAAAAAACACCGATTCACTACCATGCTTAAGCCCTTAGCCCATTTGTCACGGTGCGCGGGACTGCTGAAAGGCTTGCTAGCTCTCGAAACTTCCTGGCACCTTTTTACATTCTGAGTTAACTTTATCCCGCAAAACAACCCCGCAAGACCAGCCGCCCGGTCAACATCTCCTGAGCTAACGTTGGCCCAAAAACCGAACACCCTGCCGAGTTGTGCCTTGGCACCACGGGAAGACTGCTGGACTCGAGTGTCAGGTGGGCCCAGATGGAGAGTCGCTGATCTATGGCCTCAACACGCACCTCGGGTTGATGTCCTCATTTCTCGCGTGCTTTGAAGGGAAACCAACAGAGAGATTCACTCACTTTGCAGTTGTCAGCTCAGTAGGAGAAATATATTGCAATGCGTTTAGGCATCCACGCATTTGGTAGGTCCACGCTTTGGAAGCGTAGCCTAAATAGTGGGTCCCCAATCCATGCGAGCTGTGCCGGGGTGAAGGTGTCAAAACTGGCAGCTTCGATTGAGACCCTGCTTCAATGTTTCCTCAAGTTTACGGAGGCTTGGCAACCACCCACATGGCTGTGACCCCAAATTGGCGGGCGAAAGAACCAGCAGGGTGCTTTCTTTCAAACTTGTGCCCAGTGTGCACAAGTAAGACAAGTTGCCATTCATGCTCGCGTTCAGAGCACCGCCGCCATCGGCCTTTTCCATGGACGTGTCCCTAGGTTCATGCCCACCAACCCAATCTTGGCCTTGGGTCAAAACAAACAGCCTCCACGGATGTTTTCCGCGTGTGGACACATGTCCGTGTGAGAGCCCAATCCCCTTTCCCTGTTCGTCCGTGCCAAACCCACCCCCTGTCAACTGCGACTTGTTGTGAACCAACATTAGCCGGTTAAAGGCGAATACAAATGTCCCATTTGGGGACCCACACAATTATGGTGATCATTTTGTTTCCCTTTAAAGCCACAAACAAGGAGGTACCCCTAAAAATAGTCAGACCGATTTTAGAGGGAACCTCCGGTTTTGAAGAGCTCCAAGTTGATGAATCCGGCGCCACTAAACGGAAGCAGAGGGAGCCCATGACTTTGACACCTTCGCATCCTGCCCAGGTATGCCACGTGCTTGACTCAGCCTGGGTGAGGGCGAATCAATGCCACGAGGAGAATCTTGGGGGTTGACAGCCATTTCTGCCAAAGCAAACCATGGGAAGAACACTAGCAAACAAAAGGGCAAAGTGCATCTTATACCTCCCAAAAAAACCGTCCCTCCAAAGTGCTGGGGTTTGGGAGTCCATGTTAACCTAGGGGTATACCAAAATCAAGCGCAGTCCCCGGCAAGCCGCCCATGCCTCCACGCGCCCGAGGTCCATTGCGGGAGCCGGGCAGTGCCTCCGCTACAGCGGGATTTGGGTTTGTTGAGTTTCTTCGGATGCTAAAATGCCAGTCTTTTCTTGTTTTTGTTTCTCTCTCTTTTTTTTTGGGGGGGGGGCGTAAGTTTCACAAGAAGAAGCAGCAAGAGGATGGCTAACTTTCGTGGAAGGTGCTTAGTGGCACAACATTTTTTCTTTTATAGCATTTCTTTGGCCAGGCGCGGACCCCAGGACAATGTGGCATCCTCGAGCCCAGTTGTCGGAGCCCACTGTTTCACCCAAGTCCCCAGTTGCGCGTGACCCTTTGACCTTTTTGTGTCCCCTTTTTGGCAACCAGTTTGGTCATGGCTCCAAAAGGTCAAACTTGACTTTCCAGGTCCTTTGCGCAAGCAAGTTTTTGTTTTGTCGGTAAGATTCACAAAAAGAAGCCACAGGGGATGGGTATTGTTTGTGGAAGGTGCTTAGTTTCTCACAATTCTTATCCTCCCATCCATGTTGCCAAACCTGACTGAAGGTCCCACAACAAAATATTCAAGGGATCCTTTGGTTCCATGTCAAGACAGGAGGGTACGTTTCACAAAGGAAGCCAATAGGGGACCACAAATTGAGGGCAACTGCTCGCTGTTTCCCAGGCTCCCTTGATAGTAAGCAGGCCTCCAGACAGGTTGCTGGGCGACCGGGTCGGGGTCCTTACATACTTGATCCCTACAGGAAGGAATGGTAGTGCAATAGGCACATACCTGTTGGATTACAAAGCAAAGTTCATGCAACGTTCGGTTTGGTTTCTCCACTTCCATTCCCACGCGCACGAGTAATGTAGGAACTATCAATCTCTGAACCAATCGATGCATACACCAAGCTAGATACTTGTTGCGTTGCCGCTTGTGCGCACGTGGCATGTTGAGTTTACCCCCTGCCCCCCCCCCCAAAAAAAAAAAAAAAAAAACACACACCCACAAATGGAGCGGCTTTCCTTCTTCGGCATCCTTTCAAACCAAAAAAACAACCGCCCGGCCCATTTTTCAGGGCGGCCAAACGAACGACTCGCTGGCGGCAGGTACTCCTTCGCGCACGGCACCTCGGGCGGCGGGGTGCTGATCACGGCCACCCAGCCGTCGGAGGCGTCCCTAGACGAGCCGCAGCGGGTGCGCAACGCGCGGAGCCTCGGAGGTTGGGGGAAGCTGGAGGGGTGGGGGGGGGGGTGGAAGTAATGTACCCCGGATTAATAAGCCCCTGGTTGAGTAATGGGGGGGTGTCCCATTTTAGTGGGGATTCATCACTTTTGGAGGGAACACCCCCCTAATAATGGGACGGGTTTATTAATCCTGGGTCAACATTAGCGGGGTGGGGGGGAGGGGGTCGAAGGGTGGAGGTGGGTACCTCTTGTTTACACCCCCTTGGCTTCCCTCATTGCCACCGGAAGCCATTGTTTGTTGGCAGTTTGTTGGTTTTTACAGGGGAATCATCATTCTAGGCTGGCTGAGGTGGTGCAGGATTTCGTCCATACACAGTACCTCTTGTTCATACCCCTTGGCTTCCCCTTTTTCTTCATCTCACTTTATAAGGGGTACATTCCCCTTTTGGGGAGAGGGGTGTGAACATCAGCAGGCTTTTGCGGTTCATTTACCCAAGGGGTATGCAAAAGGGGTATGGAGGGTAGTTGCCAAATGGTTCTTCAAGCGTCCGTGCGGGGGGTGGATTTTGGGTTGGTTTTGGATGGTTCGCAGCAGTGCTAGGGCAGATCAGCAATTGGTGGAAACTGGTCTGAGCGCGATGGCGAGGCCCTGGCCTATGCGCGCCTCAAGGAGCAGATCCTGTCAGAACCATTCCTGCTCAGATGCTTGGCGGCCTTTAAAGCGAAAGAAGTGTGCCCATGTTTTCACAAGGCGGGCCACGGGAAACCACTAGGATGTCGTTGAAACAATTTTGGTTTCACTGGTCCCAACTCACTGGCAAGTCTACAGCTGGAGGCTTCTCAAAAGCATGTCGCTTATTGGCAACCATCCTCCCATTTTGTTGGTGGCACGCGTCAAGCCCCTTTTGTTGGCCGGGTCCACCGCGCCAAGGGTTTCCTTCGAGCTAAGGATGTGACGTCATGGACAGCAACTACATCGTCACAGACCCCGGCTTAGATTCAGCTTCCCCACCTCCAAAGTCGTGGGCTGTACCCTCACGCAAGGCCCCCTTCCCTCAACATGTGCCTGGAACGTCCATACAAGGGACAGAAGGTAATGAGGGGGAAGGGACCCCAGCTCGGATGAGGATGTAGCAAGCACGGCCAACATGAGACAGCCCACAGGTTGAATGAGTTAGGGGCCCTTTGCATGTGGCTTGTATCCTTTGCTCCCGTTTTCCCCGAATAAGGATCCCACAGCGTCAGACACGTCGCTTGCGGCAGCAAGCCCTTCTCTAGTTGAAAAAAAAGAGGGCTGGACTCCTGTGCGGAGAATCACCATGGATGGATGGCTTTTGGTACGCCGTTCCAGGTCGCCCGCCGCATCCTTAACACGAAGTTAACCAGTGTCTTCGTTTTAGCCAAGGACCCAACAAGGGCCAGTCAACTCAGATCAGCTACGCCCCTGCAACTTGTTGATATGTTCTGCTCGAGCTCAGGAAGTTGTCCTTCAATCAACAAACCCTCCAAACCCTTTTATTAGAGGGATCTCCGTTGAGGGACCCCCTCTCAAATTATTGTTGGTCCATCCGCTGGATGCCCCAAATCTTAACAAGCATGCAACAAAGAAACCATCCATCCACTCACCGGTGACTCCGGAAGGAAACGGTGAAAGGGAGGGATAAAGGGAAAGGAAATCATGGATGAAATGATGTCACCTAACCCTCTCTCACCGGTTAACCCGGGAAATAGAGAGGGTGATGAGGTGACCAATAGATGGATTGGGGATGTGTGTGAACGAAGAGATCCATCCCCTCCACCATCTCACACCTCTTCATTCCTTCCCACCTATCCACTTCCAAGCCTATCAATCATCAACAGTGGATAGGGAAGGGAGGAAGTGTGTGTCATCTCTCTATTTCCTGTGTGTTTGCTGGAATGAAAATATGAATCCATCAAACACAGACAGGAGAGAGATGTGGATGAATGCAGCGCTTGGACTGGTCTCTAAGCCGGAAGGTAACTCAAGACATCTTAACTCAGCCCCAGATCAATTTCAACCATGGTGCCTGGTTGGTTTTTACTTGCAACATTGAATTCGGCGGCATCCATCTCTTTGTTGTTGGAAGCAAAGAGAACCATACAATTTAGACCATGGTGTTTGCTTGGTTCTCACTTGCAACCTTCGGCGGCATCCAGAAGGCCCCGGCGCCCTGCGAGGAGCGGCAGTGCAGCTTCGAGCAGTTCAAGGCGGGCTCGAATCGAGACTTCTCCAGGTGGATTCGGACAGAAGTCGTAGGGTTTTTGTAGGGTTCCCTTAGTTCACAGAACCCGGAACCCCCTGGTTTCCTCCAAAAAGAGGCTTAGTGAGGCAAACTTGAGATATATATGTTTTGCAGGAAGAAGCTCCCTTTGAGATACAAACTGCCTTTGAGGTGGCTTTTCTCAGATTCCATCTTAGTGGATCGTTTCCCAAGCGGACTTGTAGAGAAGCCACGGGCAGCCGGTTTTGGGTTTTGGGCTATTGATTTCTAAAGGGTTCTGGTAGTGTTAAACAATGTCTGGAATACCAGGGGCATTTGGTTTGGGTCCAATCCCAGTGGTTTTGGCTGAATGCGTAGTCCCCCAGCCCGCCTCAGAAGGGCTTTCAGAACTCGTAGGCCCACGTGTTGGACATGGCCGAGCAGGCGGGGACACAAGCGGTGCCAGGAAATACGCGTGGATTGGCATCCTTGAGCACGCTTACTCTCAAGAGCACCCCTTCAAGGTGATCGGATGGGAAGCCCACCTTGGTGTCACAGATGGGGGGTGTTTACGGCTTCACCATGCCCAGGTTTTTCAGGCCGAATATAGGTTTGCTGGTAGAAGAAACCATGTACCAGCGCCGTTCATTGCAGAAGGGGCACGAAGAATGTGAACGCAGGTGAAAACGGCCGGGCTGCACCTGGGCAATGAGGCGAGGTTGCGCTTGTCTTGAAGCCATGTGACACCCTGGGCGGTGTCGCGATGAGTTCGTGTCAGGCCAGTAGGATGGAGCTTTATTTGAAAACAAAGCCAAAAGTGAGCGCGCTTTTCACTATGAACCATGGGCTTCCCTCGAAAAGGGGAACCGACATGTGTAGCGCCCAAGCCCTTCTTGGTAAGCTGAAAAGGTGTTCTACTGCCCGGGTTTCATGCTTTCATTTGGGGTTTAGCAATTCCAAATATGAATCTTTACTTATGACCCTAAGGGTAGATTCCGAAGGCAATGGGTTTTAGGAGCTGCACCCACAATCGAGCCTGCAGGCCAACTCGGCCAAGCAGCTTTTAGCCTGGGGCCCGGAAACGTGCGCGGAGGCTTTTTTGGGTTCTCGCTCCCCGAAGTCCGTGGACTTCATACCTTTTTTGGGGGGAAGGCCATTTTACTGGCAGAGATTTTACAGTTGGGCCAGTGAAGAAAACCATGCTAATGTAGAGGATCTGGATCCTTGTAAAGCAGCTGCATCTTGGATATGCATTTGTTTACAGGATTTCTGTTGTTGCTTTGCTTGAGCTAACGATTTGCTGGTACTCCGTTTTTTGGTATGCGTGTATGTGTGTGTGTATGTGCGTGTGTCGCAGGGGGCCAAATGGATACCGGCTCCATTCTGGGGTTGGCTGGTTTAGGCACAATGCCAGTGTGTGGCCCAGGGTGGACTTAACCCCAGCGGTTGATTTCCCTTCTGGGAAACTTCTGGATTTGTTGGGTGAAAGTGTATGGCACCATTTCCTCATTTGGGTTGAGTCCTCCCCAATGCTCATGACCGAAATTGGGCATCCTTGAAGTTTAGGTCCTTCCCGAGGCCTTAGACTTGCGGACGACCTTGCAGAGCATCCTCACGGAGGTACGGGAGCTAAGGACCGAATCCGCGACCAGATTACTTCATTCCATTCACCGCCCTGCGCAAATTTGTCAGATGCCAGTAAGTTACTAAGAAGGCCTTCTCATGTCCAGACTTGGCTTACCTTTTCCACTTTTGGCTTCCTTGGCCCTTGGAAGTTGTGGGTTTTCTTATGGTTTCAATTTGAATACCAACCGGGGGGTGAAGTCGACAGCCCCAAGTGTCAAAGTCCAATTTCAGCCACTAAGATAGTTTTCCCGACAAGTTTAAAGTCCAGCAACTAGCGAGATGCCAGTCACCACTACGATAGACAACCAAGCAACACCATCATAAGAGTTGAATGACAACTTTCTTTATGTGGTTCGACCTCTGTGAGATGCCCATCCTTGTGACTACTTAGTTACTATGTAGTCCTAGGTCCCATGGAAAATTGGCTGGACCTTTGTGATACCCCAGTGGGATGGCTGTCCCCATGACTTTCCTCCGAACAGAAAATCGCCGCTTTTACCCCAATTGCTGTCAAAACGGGAGACCCAACATCCAGAATTTGACCAGACCTAGGCTCCTTTTGCTGGTTGAAAGGCAAAATGATGGAAACCCAATAACAAGGCAAAAGCAACGTTGAACTTGTTTGGCCCATCGATCGAGTGCTCGATCGGAAGTGAGGTTCCATGTTATATGCTCGGCTTGGTTTATTGGGAAACCAAAGGGGAAACCATCTATTCTTGCTGGTGGTCCGCAGGGAATGAGGGAATGCCCCTTATAAACCATCCAACTTTTGATTAGGGGACCAATGCGTGGGATCATTCCCACATTCCCAACCCATAGCACCAGCAAAAGTATCAACTAGTTCCTTCCAGTCGGAATTCGGCAGAAGTGAAGCGAGCCCATCCCCTGCTTGCATGCTTGGTTTCAAAGGGAAACCAAAGGGAAACCACCCAACAGCTGGCTGGTGCATGAGGGATGAAAAGGCCCAGGGCCACTCCGAAGCAGCAGCAAGTTTGCGCGCCGGGGATTGGAACCACCTGAGTGGAACCAGCAACCAGTTCACCTTTAGGTCGGATCCATTTAGCTTAGAAAGGGAAGCTAAAGGGAAGCCACCCAAAAGCTGGCTGTGCCTCTTCTTGCTGGTGCTCCCCAGGGAATGATCCAGGGGATGATCCAACTTTTGGTTCGCCAACCGTGTGAAACCTGGCGATTGCCCCCAAACGGCGCAGTTGTCGCCGGGCTCGACGGGAGGACCTTGCTGGGCTGCCGCTTCCTGTGGCGCCGCTGGGCTGGGGCCCCGGTGCAGCTTCAGCCCCTTCGGCCGCGGGGGGCTGAAAAACATGGGGAGAGGGGTCAAAAGAAGGGCTTCATCAGGCTTAGCCAAGAATGGTTTAACCCGAAATGTGTCAAAAGATGGATTGGGGAACCCAAGAATGTGGATATTTTCCCAAGAGTGGTGAGGAACATGTTGGCTTCCAGAAAGATTGGGAACCGAGGGAGTCCTTATAGCAATGTAATCAGGGGGGGGGGGTCCCAAATGTAACTAGTTACATTTTTGGGATTGTTTTTGGTGGTTTGGAGGACCTTGAGCAACTGGGGCTAATTGGGGGTTCAACATTTGGCCCCAATCAAGGACTGGGTAAGTGTAGCGGATTATCGGCAATTTAGCTCCTCGAGGCCATGTTCTGGCTCCATAAAGCAAGACTGGAACTACGTGCTTTCTCTCCTCGATTATGGTGGGTTTAGGGTTACGGTTAGAACTTGCTGTTGGCCGAACCATTCGACTTTCACATCCATGTTTCAAACACTCTCAATAATAGCTCCCGGTCATCTGGGTGAACGAGCTGAAAGTTTGCTCTCCAGAGAGGAGATGCGAAATCCAGCTTCACCATCGTCCAATCCTTCTCATATTTCTTTGGTTATTTATCATAGAGTCTTCAGTTGCTGGGCGAATGCAGCCGACAAAAACAAGAGTTTTGGCAAAGCCTTGCAACGACCGATGTTCTTGCTCGAGCAGTTGGAGATTCAAGATTTTCGTGCTGCTAGTAACGAGACCCTGTACGACATCGAGCTTCGACCAGCGATGAGAACCTACAAGCTTACACTTAGCACGGAGCAGCGCAGAACAGGCAGGAACTGGTGGACACATTGATTTGGAAAGTTGCCAAGGCCACATCGTTGAACACCTCAAAACGGAAGCACAAAGGCTGCTATGGAAGCCAACAATGGTGGCTGACAGTGACTGAGCTGTCCAGAACTGCCCAAATCTCCAGCCCCGCAGGCCCCCAGATATATAAGGCGCAAACGGGAACACAAAAAAGCAGTGGCAGAATTTTGGATATCTGTACGTGTACACGTAAGACGTTCTGTGAGCGCTCTCTAATTTTGCGAGCGTCCTTTGCGTGTTCGGACCGGACGAAACCGGACAGCTTAGTGACAAAAAATCGGCTTTGGGCTTGAGGAAAAACTGACGTTCTTCTTGTCTGAGATGGCAGTTCTGACTTGCTACGGCTGAAATGTCTGCTTGGACAGACACAGCAGATGTCATTTACAAATTTACATGCATATACATGTCTGGGTTCAAACGGCGCGCCTTTTTTGTTGGAGGGGCGGAGCTTGGCTTTTCCCAGAGCCGAAGCAAGGATCCCTTTCGGATGAGCTAACTCGAGACGCCTTGACATGAAAGCTGTTGGGGACGTGTTGGGGCTACTGTCAGCGACTGTCAATGGAAGACCGTTCTACCGACGGGGCTGCCCGACAACGCCTGGAAAGCCGACGGCGCATGCCGACGGCACATGCCCACATATGCCCGACCCTATGACTGTGCAATGCCTAGAGGCGGGTAATAAAAAGGCCAGCTGCTCATCACTGTTCGAAAAGCTTTCTCCAGCTGACCTTCGGTGCGCGAAGGGCAGCAAGTACCGAGCGGTGTTGAAGAATGAGATCGGCAGGCATGAGTCCTGGCTCAAATACACTCAAGTGAAGGGAGCTGCCATCTCGTTCCAACAAGAACTTTTCACGGACCCCGTGTTTTGGAAAAAAATCACGTGACCGCCTGCGACTGACAAGTGGTGACAGATGACTGGAGCCAACTGGAGCCTGCCCAGGCCCTCCCTTGCCTCGAACTTGGAGATCAGCTTCAACGTGTTCAACGCGGGGCCACTAACTCAATCGGTCAAGGTGCGCTCACAGAGCTTCTCACCATCTCCTTGAACTCCTGTGCTTGACGACGGCAGAAACCAGGCCCTTTTGCATTGAGGGTTTTTGGAACGGTTTGAGCTACCCCAGATGGAACGTCGCAGGGCGACCTACTTGGACCTGTTGCCTCGGATCACCGCGAGTACACCCGACACTCGTGTCGCAACCCCGCGCAACCTGCCGGCAAGGATTTGGGAGGCAGCTTCTTCATCCGATTAGGAGGGCCGCTGTGATGTAGCTGAAGCTTGTGCTAAGGCCCTTGTTGCGGCACGCAGGCTTGGCGAATGTCCACCACACCACCTTTCCGGGGATGCCTAGTGTGGCTAGCATGACGCGCAGTTGGTAGTCACAGGCTCTTCCCCATGCAGCGCAACCACTCAGGCAAATTCTTCTCAAAGAAGTAGCGGAAGGCAAAGTGAAGACTGCGTCGATGCCCCGTCACGAAGCCTAGACTCAGCGGCGCATCCTCTTCCTCCCTTTCTTGGTGAACCCTGATCTTCTGGAAGTCCTGGCACCAGTTCATCTCCTGCCATTTGCAAACTCCCGAGTGCCAAGGCAAGTTTGGCAGGAACTTTCGTGATACATATAGAGAGCTGCACATGAGTAGAGAAACAGGTCCTCCAAGATGGGTGAAATTTACGTCTGTTGCGTCGATGGACCGACCGACGGGGACGTTCTCGGGACGGGCGCGGCCCTCCAGCCCGCAGCCCGCTTTGAACAAGATTGTCTCTGGGTGGCGAGCCAAGTCAAGAAGTCATTTTCTGTAGTTTGCCAGTTGCCCAGGGTTCATCTCCATGCTGGCTTCGCGTCGCCAAAGCTAGCCAGGACCTAGGGCGCTTCTGGGCCAAAATGCTGATGCCTGGCGCTTCAGACAAAAAAAAGCAGCCATTTCATGCGCTCGCCAGCCCCCCCTCTGTTCGTAACAAAAAGCATCGTTTGGTTTGGCCGGGAAAAAGCGCGGGGAAAAATGCCTTGAAGGTGCATATCCACTTGAACTTTTTGGGCTGAATCGCTTACGCCTTTGGCATTAAGCCTCCCAGCTGTCTGCAGCAGCGGCAGCGTGTGCCCGATCAGGCCAACCAGGCCGGGCTTTGTCAAAACTGTGCTTTTTTGGGGCTGAATCGCTTGCGTCTAGCGGTATTATGCATTTCAGGCTCAAGCTGTATCCGGCTGAATCGCTTACGCCCAGTGGGCTTAAGCAATTCAGGCCGTCTGGCAGCAATTCTACCCGCGCCCAGCCTATTTAGAATCGCTGCAGTCGAGCCTGAATCGCTTACGCCCACTAGGCTTAAGCAATTCAGCCGAAAACAGCCGAAAACATATTGCCTTCGACAGGCCACACTCGGTCACACGTATAGCCGCAATTGGCTGTTTGCTTTTCGGGTCGCCGACAGAATCTTAAAAACGCTTCAAGAGCCGTGTTTTCGCTGAATTGCTTAAGCCTAGTGGGCGTAAGCGATTCAGCTGGATTTGCCACAAAAACTGCGGGCATGAATGGACGGCTTCCTTGACTGTCCTTAACCTTCCTTTCTGCCGGAGGTGCTGCCGGAAGTGCTTAATCCCACTAGGCACAAGCGATTCAATCCAAACTTGGATTTGCTTTCCAAGAGCACGAAGTGAAGGTTTTCCTTTACAACGGCTCCCATGCGCTCCCGCTTGAAGGTTTGCTTTTAAAATGGCTCCCAACGCAAGGCTTCCCAGAAACGGCTCCCAAAAATCGTGTCTTCCTAACTAGGAAAGAATTTGGGCGGGGCACGCAAGGGAATGATTGCGAAACATCCAAATGGCCGGCTCCCACAACTACTTCATCAATTTCAAGTCCCTTCCTAAGACCAAGTTTCCCCCATATTTGTGACAACCGTGTTCAAAGGGTGCAGGGCAAAATGGCCCTTGAGACCCTCGAAAGGTGATGCGAAGTGAAAAATGACCCTTTGCATCCCAACAGCTTTCTACAGCTTGCAAAGTTGCGATTTTCGAGCCGGAGCTGCGGAAGTGTACCTGACGTGCTAGGTACTGAAATGTTGCGAAAATGATGCGGGTGTGATGTTAGCCCGTTTGCCCCGATTGGCGCGAAAGGCCGTTTTCATGGAAAAGTGACTTTCGATTCTCACATGCCTGGGAATCCCAAGGTGTGTAGAATTTCCGCCTTTTGAGCGAAACTGCTTTTTCAGTCTGGGAATCCAACGGCGTTTGTGGGGACAAAAAGCGTTTTTTTGCAGCAACGGCGAAAAATAGTGCAATTTCAATCAGCGGCAGAAATTCAGCACCGCCGAGCTTTCCAGGTATTGCCTGCAAAGTCACACATTGAGCACAATGGTAGCTTGGCCAGCGTGACGCATGACAGGAGTCCCATCCGGCCGGTTCCCAGGATTGTGGCCCGTTTCGCAAAAAAAGAAAGTATAATTACTTGGCCAGCGCGTCCCGGACTCCGGTTCCCTTCCTGCATTCCAGTGTCTTTTCTGGATCTCGGGTCCTACCCACATTCCGGTTCCTATTCTGGGTTTCGGTCGGTTTTGGTCGGCTTCGGTTCCTTGTTTGTGTTTCTTCTCCGGAGCCCTGTGTCTTTTTCCGGGTTCTGATTTCTTGGCTGGATTTCGGTTCCTTTGTTGGGCTCCGGCTCCTTTTGAATTGCGCTTTCTTTCCGGCATTTGTTGCGGATTCTGGTTCCCGCTGGTCTCCTTGCTGGATTTTGAATTCTTTCATTGGTTCCGGTTCCTACCCCGGATTCCGGTTCCTACCCCGGATTCCGGTTCCTACCCCGGATTCCGGTTCCTACCCCGGATTCCGGTTCCTACCCCGGACGCCATTCCGGTTCCTACCCTGGATTCCGGTTCGCACCCCGGATTCCGGTTCCTACCCCGGACTCCATTCCGGTTCCTACCCTGGATTCCGGTTCGTACCCCGCATTCCGGTTCCTACCCGGATTCCGGTTCCCCCCGGATTCCCGGATTCCGGATCCTACCCCGGATTCCGGTTCCTACCCCGGATTCCGGTTCCTACCCCGGATTCCGGTTCCTACCCCGGATTCCGGTTCCTACCCCGGACTACCCCGGATTCCGGTTCCTACCCCGGATTCCGGTTCCTACCCCGGATTCCGGTTCCTACCCCGGATTCCGGTTCCTACCCCGGATTCCGGTTCCTACCCCGGATTCCGGTTCCTACCCCGGATTCCGGTTCCTACCCCGGATTCCGGTTCCTACCCCGGATTCCGGTTCCTACCCCGGACTCCGGTTCCTACCCCGGATTCCGGTTCCTACCCCGGATTCCGGTTCCTACCCCCGGATTCCGGCTCCTACCCCGGATGGTGCCTACCCTGGATTCCGGCTGTGCCTACCTGTCTTGGAATCCCGGATCCCGGATTCCGGTTCCCACCCAGGATTCCGGTTCCTACCCCCGGATTCCGGTTCCTACCCTGGATTCCGGTTCCTACCCTGGATTCCGGTTCCTACCCCGGATTCCGGTTCCTAATCCGGATTCCGGTTCCTACCCCGGGATTCCGGTTCCTACCCCGGATTCCGGTTCCTACCCCGGATTCCGGTTCCTACCCCGGATTCCGGCTCCTACCCCGGATTCCGGTTCCTACCCTGGATTCCGGACCTACCCTGGATTCCGGCTCCTACCCCGGATTCCGGTTCCTACCCCGGACTCCGGTTCCTACCGGCTCCAGGCTGTTACCCCGGATTCCGGTGCCTACCTGTCTTGGAATCCCGGATCCCGGATTCCGGTTCCCATCCAGGATTCCGGTGCCTACCCCGGATTTCGGCTCCTACCCGGTTCCTACCCCGGATTACGCCTACTTGCCATGGAATCCCCGGATCCCGGATTCAGGTTCCTAGCTGGTTCTTACCCCGGATTGCGGTTTCTACACTAGTTCCTGCCTGGATTTCGGCGGATTTCGGCTCTTATCCCAACGCCTACTTACCGGGATTTTGTTTGGTTCCTACGCCCCGGATTGCGCCGTCCTACCACGGATTCCGGTTCCTACCCCGGGCTCCGGTTCCTAGTTCCTTCCCCGGATTCCGGTCCCTGCCCAGATTGCGGCTCCTACCCCGGATTCCGGTTCCTCACCCCGGATTCCGGCTCCTACCCCGGATTCCGGTTCCTACCCCAGACGGTTTCTCCCCCGGACTCCGGTTCCTACCCCGCATTCCAGTTCCTACCAAGGATTCCGGTTCTTACCCCGATTCCGGTTCTTACCCGGATTGCAGTTCTTACCTTATTCCGGTTCGTATCTCTTATTTGAGTTCACTCCTGTTCAAAAGAATTGACCCAGGAAGTCTTAGACTAAACAAAGTTAAGTCTTTGTTCAAAGACCGAAGTTTGGCTTGGAAGGCCGAACTTTGACTTGCGCTATTTCTTCCAACCGTATCAGCAATATTACTGGTCATTTTTAGGACGTTGGCCCCGCTGAATGTTTCCGCAGCAACATATTTGAATACAGGTATATATGTTTGGTTGTTGCCACGCCGATGGCGCTAGATCTCGTCCACTTGCTCGACATGCGTTGGCGTTTTGCGCTGCCCTGCTTGTTGGCTCGCTTCCTTTCAGATTTCATAAAGAACACCGTCAGCTCCTCCCGAAAGCGCACACACAAACGGCTGAACGGCTGAAAGCAACTTGTGCATGTCACATGGTCAAATGGTATAGAAGGGGAAGGCTTCAACAGCATGAAGACGAGCTATGGCAACGCACTTTCCATTCGTACCCGAGAAACAACTAAACGCGCGCAACCAAACAGCAGCATCGCAACCCGGCCAAAAGAAGCCAGGAAAAAACACCCATAGCCAGAAAGGGGCTACATACCAACCTGCACTCCTGAAGCGCATTTCGTGCGCTCCTATAAGGTCAGCTGTTCTGCTTTGTGCTTCTCGATTGTTCAGGCCAGTTATGCTGAACCCATGCTCACAGCTTGCAGAGCGTAGGAAGCCGTACTACATATCAAGCGCATAAACAATATGTAGGAGTATGTGTGCGAGCCACTACGATGTGTTATGTCTGTTCGCCTTCCGCTCAGGTGCCATTCCGCTACACTCAGTAGAACTGTGTGTCGATCCTTCCTAGCATTTCAACATGTAAGTGTCTCCGTCGCGCTTCCATCCGCCATGGCTCCAACCAGTATTTTGCGGTTGCGGTTGCCCGTTTGTATCTTGTGACACGCGCGACGTCAAAGGCACACCGGCGACAACTGTAGTCTTATGCACTGCAGGACCACGCACGCTTGACAACATCCATGAGCGCCTGTGTTACTGTGACATAAACCAAAATTAGGACCGTGTATCGAAAAGCAAACGTATGTGGCGCTGCCAAGAATCTTGCCCTCATTACTACGTCTTCCCACAGCAGGGCGATTATTCGCGGACAACTGAGTTGCTATGGAGCACTTGCCTGGGACATTTGGAAAACGTGGGGCGTGATGCACCCGTGACGGAAGCGTGGTAAGACCAAACTTTCCCGTGGTAAGACCAAACTTTGCCGTGGTAAGACCGTGGTTTGCCACCCCCGCCGAAATCTCGATTCTGTGCGCTGGATGCTGTGCTGTTTTTGCGAAATTGTTCCGAACATGTTGGCTTAGGGTTGCTAAGCGTTGGCATTTTTAGAGCCTAGGCCGGTAGTCAACGATCAAGCGCGCATGAGGCAAGTGTCTGCGATCCGCAAAACACATATACTCAGAAACAAGCTGCCACGATATGCGTGCCAAGGATCTACTGCCGCAAGTCGCACGCTGCTGCAACCACATCAGCAACAACATTGACAGAGTGGTTCTGCGCTTACCGTTGTGTTTGTCATTTGCTCCTGCCCACTACCATCGGCCAAGTAAATGGCCGGATTTGGCGTTGAACTTTGTAGGGCTTTGCAAGTAGCGCTCGTGGCGCAGCCGGCAATGATCCACATAGGTGCATGCCACGGCCTGTAATTAGCTTGGCTGTTGCTACGGTGTCTCAGTAAAGCAATGAATGGAAGCTTAGCCAAGAAGGGAAACAAGGCAAGAAATTGCCCACAAAACACGACAGCGCCAATGAGTTCCACAGAGTTGCAAGATGTCATTGCAATCGCTTTTAGGCTGCAGGCCTGGGCTTTAAACAGCGTAGCGACAGAGCGTTTGTTATGTTCAACTTGCTGTGATATTGCGTGCAACATAGCATGTATCAGCATTTGACAGGGCGGCGTGGCTCGTGACACCACTAGTGTGAGTTCTATCTCGCTTGGGCATCCATGCGGTGGAGCCTGCAAAGAGAGTAAAATGAAGGGAGGCAAGCGCACGGTCTGCTAGAGGCTTGTGAATGTGAGTGTGCGTGGGCGTGCGTGCTAACATATGTGTTTTCGGTGTCAGAATGCAACGGCAGATTGTAGAGTCGTCGTTTTTGCCGCAGCATTTCGAATTCATGTTTCTTTCCACACATATTGTCTGGGCGTTATCTGCTCCAGCAGGGCCAGCCAGTCTACCCCTGTTGTATCCGCGTGCGCAAAACGCATGGACCTTAAATTTCTGCAGATCTCTCTGTGACACGTGCACAGGCGTAGTCGTTCAACACACATTCCCCCTCATTCCTGATGACCTGGCCAGGATCTGAGTCCGGGCGTGATTTGCGTGACGCGCGTGATCGCGGCAAAGAATGGTCTACTGTAGAAAAACCGTTCTTTACATAGTCTTTGGACTTCCTGGGTTGAATGAATGAACTGAAAACGTGAACAGGCACATATGCTCAGCCACGGAGCAGCGGGGAGTAGCAAAGCCTTTGCGCAATTGAATCTTTACGAGAGAGGGGGGTGGCAAAAATAAAATGGCGGAGCAGGATCTGCAGGACAAGGTGAAAGCGACTGCAGGGTGCGTCGGTCAATCCACCCAAAAATTGGTCGCCCTATTTTAAGACGCAGTTTGAAGTCATAAATTCGGGCCCTTGGCAAAGCCCAACCTTGCAAGGTTTGTTGGGAGCCCGAGAAAAATCTTGGAAAGGAGGCTTCCAACCGCTCAAAAATTCAGTTCCCTAGAGATGCTGAAGAATCAGGATTGCTCGCGATACAAGCGGACACAAGCAATGGAGTTTCCATTGCTTTTCCGGCGTGGTATTGCCAAACCCCTCCCTGGGCCCCTTGGAAATGTAACTGCCAGGGTCCCCCCCCCCCCCTTACATAAGACACCCTCGTTGGGAACCCAAGAATGGTGGGTAAAATGTTGGCTTCCAGAGAAATTGCGAACCCAAGAATGGTGGGTAGAATGTTGGCTTCCAGAGGGGTGAGGGATTGGGAACTTGAATGGTGGGTAAAGTTTAGGCTTCCCTTCGAAGCCTCTCCAAGAAAGGGTGCCCTCAAAAAGACAGACGCGTTCGGTATCCCCGTGTTGGACCCGTTTCGGCCGCTGCAGGGGCGGCCTTGAAAGGGTGATACCAGATTCGGCAACCCTATTTGTCCAAAGGCGAATCGACCTGATCTGATTTGGTTTCGCATTTGGTCCACGTATAGCAAAGGTCCCAAAAGGTTAACCTTGTGTTTCCAGGTTTTTTGAGCGAGTGAGTCAAGGCATTTGAGTCACATGTCTGCGGAAGGCCTTGTAGCTGGCACAAGCCCGGCAACAAGAATCGCCTTCAAAGCAGCTGCGTTGCTTGTTTGCTTGTTTGCTAGGGTCTCCGGAGCATCGTGCCGATTTAATCGCCCAATCCATGCAACTGCTGATTCCCATGATTTGCTGATGCTTGCTTGAGCAATTCTGAGGATGGTTCTGAGAATGTTTCTGAGGACTCAAGGAACTAGGGTTTCATCCCTGGCTCCCATCCGGTTGCGTACTCGGTGGCTTGCTCACCGGGGGATAATACTTGCTACGTATGCCCTCGACACAGTTCTTAGGTTTGGACCCGCTACACATGTTTAGAAAATAGTGCAACTGGCAAAAACATTCACTCCGGAGAAAAAAAAAACCTCCTTCAAGGAGACCAGGCGTGCCCATTCGCAGTTCGCCCATTCGCTGTGGTCAGCCATGATAGTGTCGGGGGTGGGCGGAGCACATCGCCAGTAGGAAGACTTCGACTTCAAGCTCTGCAACGTGGCACTACCCGCAGCCATCGAGGCCCAAGGGTTGGCTTGGTCTGGGCGATATGCGTGTTGCTCCGGAGTGGACCTTTCAGCATAGGACCCTACCAAGCCATTTTTATACCTTTTGGCTATTTGGCTAGATCTTAGGACTTTGACTTTTCGGGAAAGATGGGATCTTCCGAATTGGACCCGCAAGAAGCGTGTTCTTTTTGCAGATGGGCCGACGGTGCCCTCCCGGCAGCTCGCATTGCTCCGCCCGAAGGTGCCAAGGAATGACTCGGTGGAGTCGACTCGCGGCTCGCGGCTCCTGTCAAAAAGCCGCCGCTTGGTGGCCCCCTCCCAGTGTCTCAGGTAGGATATGATATCTTGAGCTGATGCAATGAAGGTCGCGGCCGGAAATCATTGAACTGGCCCCAGCCAAAAGCAGACACCAAGCACTCGGAATTAGGAAGTGGTGCAAACTGCCACGGGTGGAGGGTGAGTCTTTTCAGAACCAGGTGGGGACCGCTCCAAATGATCTGTTGGTTTGCCGCTGGAACGTTGGCATTGGAAGAGTTGGCTTGGGCAAATGCCGCTAAAGTAGCAGCATCCCAAAGCGTGCGGGCGAAAGGAACGAGTGGACACCCGTGAACATTTCAGCAGAGACTTGGTGTGCAACACTTCAAGGGCCAACTGTAGCAGGTGGAAAGGGCAGCAAACACATGAAACCAAGGGAGGATTTGCTTTTGGCGACATGGGTGGGAGGGTATAGTAACTTAAGCCTTCCATTTGTGCTCTCTAGCGCTACTGGATTGTGGTTTTGGTTTTTTGCAGGGGGCTTAAGCAAATGGAGGTAACGGATTTGTGCATCATAGCGGTTAGCCCAATTAAACTGGCTACTTGATTGTAGATGATGATAACTGTGGGACTACCGTTGACCGTCAGCATTGGCAGTTTACTCACCAAATAGTCTTTGCCGCGTTCTACAAGCCTACGCGCAACCAAACTACAACTGACCAGTTTCTTCAGGATATCGAAACTTGGTATTGCAGCACCTTCGGGGCCTTTTGGCGCTGAACGGGTAAGTATCGTGCCCCCTGTCCAAGGCATTTGGTTCTGGCCACTGGGATTTTTCTTGGAGCCCTCCAAACACACATTCGAGGGGGCCCTTTCTTGGGTCGGTTGGAAACCAAAGGAAGCCAACCACGTGGATTTGTGAGACCCCATAGGTTTTGCCTCGAGCATCCGGACAAACATGATGTGTTTCCCCTCCACACTGTGGTCTGAACCCAACAAAAAGGAATTAGATGACCTAGCAAACCCTGGAATGATGATTCCACTGTAAATACCAACCAGCAATGGTGTCCAGTGTTTTGGGTGCCCCTGAATATCGGTGGGCACCTTTTTCGTTGCCTTGCTGAGTCAAGACCCTCTAGACGCAACGGCAGAGAGAGAGAGAGAGAGAGAGAGAATGGTGTCCAGTATGGCCTTGTCTCTAGGGGAATCCCGAAAATCTGATAGCGACCTGGCGAAAGAAATCCGTAGGCTGCGGTGGCCTGCCTCGTCTTGGCCGTGGCTTCCTTGCTGCTGCCCGGCGCCCCATCTTCCAGCTTGCCGCACGCCGGTGGTGGCAAGCTGGACGGGGCGGGGGGGGGGGAGGCGGGCGGAGGGCGATGTTTGATTGGCGCACCTTGGGGTACAAAGGGATTTAGACCCATCTGTAGGGGCAAGCTGGTCAAAAGCGATTCTTCCTCCTGAACATTTTCCCCAGAGGGGATTTGAACAGCCCGAACCTTTCCCACAGACTGCCCAGAAAGAAGGCTCTCTCCTGTACAGGAGCTGAACTGCCTAGGTGCCTTAGGGACCTGTGGGCATGGCGGCACCAATGGGAAAATTGGGTAAAACACAACCGGCCTTTGAGCGCGCTGGCTCTAGCAACGGCGAATGTTGATCCCGGAAATGAATCCACTTGCCGTGTTTGTAGGAGAGAGACGCTGCATGCCAACTCAATATTGCAAGAAGGGAACACAGGAAGCCGTGTAAATTCAACCATGGTTTCAATATGTTGCGCACCGTATTCCCTGATCCCAATTCCGTGCTGAGCACCAGCAAGAAAATGGACCTGGGACAGACCCTTGGTCTGCCAGGGGTTTTTATTGGTCGTGGAACCCCCCACTCGAGCCTCAGGGCCGCTGTGCACTACAAGATGTGGCGACACCTCTTGGACAACAAGGTGCTGGGCGAGGCGTGCGGGGCACGGCGCGAGTGATCTCGACCTTCCGACTCAAAAAAGCCTCTGAGATTGCCAGACCCAAGGCTGATCTGGTTATAACCTTTTGCTTTGAAATAAGTTTCCTTGGTTCTTCATTTCAACCAGCAAACAGTTCAACTTTTTGCAGGGGGTCTAAGTCTTGTCAATTGATTTGTGGGGTAGCGGAACGGAAATTCGCAAAGCCAACCTGCTGGGGGGCACCAATAAAGGCCCCCGGAGCATGAGCATGGGCACAGGTTGTGTTGAGGCCCTTTCCCGACTGCATCCTGGGTCCGACATGTTCCACATTCTTGGCAATGGGGGCAACTGTTTAAATGGTTGTCGTTGGGACACATTTTGCATTTTTGCTTGTTGTGGTTTAGTGGTAAATCCCCACTGCACTGCTAAAGTTTAAATTTTTGCTCCCCTTCCAACGTCAACCAAGACTACCTGTCAACGCCTCCAATAGTGGCGAAAGAGTAGGCGTACACTTGCGATGGATGCACGTCCATTCAAGCCTACAGGAAGACGCAAGGGAGTGAAGCGTGACTGATGGCACAGTTTGGCGGTACAGACTTTGACCAGTTTGAGAGCTCACGTTCGGCATGGCATTTTATACTTTTTGGCATGGCCTGGCATGGCTGTTCTAGTGGCCAACAAGCAGGTTGGACCCTTCCAGAGCACATGGATCCCGAATTGTCCCACCCAGGAACCCATTTCCCAAGAAGTCTCGAAATGTGTGCTAGCTGCTATTGGGTTGGGTATACTAAGTAGGTTGTTGATGACTATACCTTCCGTAAGGGCCTGGAAGGCCTGAAGGTATCAAGTATCCCGAAGAAGTGCCTGCGCGTGTTATGTCGCACAATTCCACACCTTGGATTCGTTCGGCTTCACTTCTCCCCTGCTATAACATGGGCCCAAAAGACTAAAAGGAGATCCCTCTACAAGTGAGCGCTTGTCAGTCCCATGTTGGTCTGCAAGGGGTAGGGCAAACAGCAAAACAACAAGCAGCATACCCGTCTTTGGTTTGCATTCCAAAGATTAATAGCGTGTTCTTTTGTGTGGAGCCTGTTGCAAGGACATGTTCTGGTCGGGGTTCGGAGATATAGATTTAGTGTAGATGCTTATGCACCACGCTATAACTGAGCCCGCAGCCTCCAAAACCCATACCCGCAAATGTCGCCTGTGGCAGTTTTTTGACATGGCTTCGCCATGGCGCAAACTGGTTTCACCAGACCCCGCCAAGAGATTCCGAATCCAAAGGATGTGTTTCAAGAGCGTTTCAACCAGGTGAAGCTCTCAGAATTTTGCAAGCTCCAAAGCGACACGGCGGCCGTTGGTTGGTTCGGCCCCGTTCGGGTCACCTTTCTGCACATGTTTTCAGCCCCAAACCCTGGGGCTTGGCCAAATCATTTGGCCAGGAGCTGGAGAGGTTCTCCAAGAAGTACGGCTACCTACAGACCGCCAAGACCCCGAAGAACAGGCAAAGCCGGGCGCGTTTCTCGCGGGAAGGCGAGTGGTCGCAAAAGAAAAGGCAAAGTTGCGCGGAGTTAGGCGATAGTTGGGCAATACTACTTTTGGTCTACAGCAACCGCAACACAAAGCTTGTGTTTGGTGTGTGTGTGTGTGTGTGTCTGTGTGTTTGTGTGTGTTTGTGTGTTTGTGTGTTTGTGTGTTTGTGTGTTTGTGTGTTTGTGTGTTTGTGTGTTTGTGTGTTTGTGTGTGTGTGGGTTTGTGGGTTTGTGGGTTTGTGGGTTTGTGGGTTTGTGCGTTTGTGCGTTTGTGCGTTTGTGCGTTTGTGCGTTTGTGCGTGTGTGCGTGTGTGCGTCTGTGCGTCTGTGCGTCTGTGCGTCTGTGCATCTGTGTGTCTGTGTGTTTGCGTGTTTGTGTGTTTGTGTGTTTGAGTGTTTGAGTGTTTGTTTGTTTGGTTGGTTGGTTGCTTGTTCGGTTGTTTGTTTTGTTTGTTGTGGTTGTTGTGTGGTTGTTCTTACGCTCTAGTTCCTCGGCTAAAAGCGTGTGCGCCAAGAGAGTGTGGTACTTTCGGACACGTTCAGGACTCCTGGACCCCAACAGAGCTTCAATGCCTTCTCACGGGTAGCCATGCACCAGAACAACAAAGAGCACGTAGCAGGCCCCACAAACCGATACAATCTTACACACGCACAGGTAAAATGACACATACCTTGCGCGATGCGTAAAAGTGCAGGTGAGCCAGCCGGTATGCAGCCATTCGGGCTTACTTGCCACATACCAGGCTACATGCGATCTGAATGTGTTCATAGTGCAGTCCGTTGCTGTTCTATTCTCCTGGCCGCCTTTTCTCGTGCCTATGTAATGGAGGCACCGCTGCTTCTGACTAGGTCCCCCCAGTAAGTGCCCTTTTACCCTTTTTTGGGGGAGTGTTCCCCTATTAAGATAGACTACAGAAAAAAGGGTACCCGGGTACCCTTATTCCAACCTCTCTACTGGAGGACCTAGATGAAGGGGTGTCCAAGTGACTGTCGGGCTTCCCATTGCCACCAGGGCCAAGCTTACCTGGCGCCAGGAAATGACGCCATTCACAGGCTGGGTGCACTCCGGGTCGGACAGAAGTTGGGAGGGAACCAGGCATATGTTTGAGGGGGGGAAACCCTGCATGTTGGTAAAGCCTTCCGAAAAGGCATGGGATGAAGGGTTGGTTGCTTTTATGGTACGGATTTGCAGAATGTTCGAAGTTAGAAACGGTGTAGGTGCAATCCTTAGGGATGGCAAAGCTGCAGCTGAAGACAGGACGTTCCTCGTAGGTGTTCAGACATTTCGCTTGGTGTTCTCGCAACACCCTCCGGCAGGCATGGTTTGGCGTAAAGGTAAGGCTTTCCAGAAGGTGAGTATGACAGCATGTCGGCAATCAATTCCTAATAGTCAAAGGCCCTGAACAAAAATAAACAAAATCAAGGCCGGAAGTAAACTTAGCCAACTTGAAGCCTGTGATTTCCCGTGCCGACCCCAACTCTAGCTGTATTAGGGGTCTCCGGAAAACTACCCAATTCCTTTCAGACCCACAGGTTCCACATCCCACCTGTTTAAATCCAAAAACAGTTGCATGCTGCGAGCTTTGGTAGTCCAGGGAAGCAAGGTGTACTTTGTGCTGCAACTAAAGCTAGTCTCTGTTACAAAAAAAATGAAAACCAGGCCCCTCTTGGCAACTAGTGCCCAGTGCTGTCACCTTGCTGATCTCAAGAAAGGCTGTTGCAGCTGCTATGGTTTCCAAAGAGCATTAAGTGAATGACATTTATGTTGATTCAAAGGATCCTGCTTAGAAGCAACTACTTTCCGCCAGGCACCGCATTCATGCACGCGGAGAAGCAACTACTTCTGAGAAGGTTGCATCGCCGCATTGCACGCATCTTGATGTTTGGTGCACCTTTACCCTGGTAGCCATTAGGCAAATTACAATTTCCAGACCACTTCCCGTTTGTCGAAAGACTTCGTAGGGTAGATCTCCCAACCCATGGAATTCGTGCGGCCCCAGTCTGAGACTCTTGGGCCGCGGATGTTTTTTGGGGGCACACCCCCGCCACAAATGTGCAATTCGCATAGGCGATCCCCATCCCCCTCATGAAGGGGCTGGGGCTTCGGCTTGCATGTGCGCCGAATTCTGGCATCCTTTGAGACACCCAAGCGGAGCGGTGGAGATAGCAACTGCTCCCAGGTGCTTGCAAGGAAGGCCTAGGTAGGAGGATTCCTACTCCAAGGCAGACGGTATGGGCCTGGTGCTAGTCAGTGAGAAGAGTACTGGCAGGAGGAAAGAAGGCATAGCGCTCGCCTGCCGCCCGCGAACCCGGCCTTGTTTGTCGAATTTTGTTGGTGGCTCCCTCCTCAACATGGTCAATCCCAAAACGAATTTGCTCATATGTTCTACTAGGTTCACTGAATGGTTAGCTTTTCAAACTTGTTAGACATTTGTATATGAGGATCGTTTAACCCCCCTGTCTGTTTTGGATTAGAGAGATTGAATACGAAAGTATGTGTGGTGTTGTGATGTTGTGGTCACGGATTCTATGGCTGGGCGGACGCAAATTTTGCAGTGTCATCTCGTGTTCGGCACCTGGTAGGACATGAAACTGCCTATACTGGTGGCAGCCTTCGGAGTAGCTTTCTTGTCGCCATCCCGGAAAGACATCATGACTTCTGCGTGCGTCAACTTTCTGACGCATACTCATCTCTGAGACCGTGACTGCAAACTTTGCTGCCTGATCTGAGATAGTGTTGCCCGCAGTTGCTTAAATGGACCCCTCTCCTTCCCCAAACCGATAAATGGAGCCTGATTTCGAAAATGCAGATTTCGTAAGACTTCCAGAAAAAAAATAATCATGTACTCAAGCCTATCTGAATCAAAGGCTGAAAAGCTTATGTGTTCTCTTTATTACCAGGTGGCAAAGCGTTGGCTATGGTTGTAATTCGGAGTGGCCACAAGTATAGTTTGATTTGCCTACTATTCAGTCATTTTTATGGCAATCGGAAAATCTATTCTTAAACATGCGCTTTTTTACACCCCCAAACTCCCGCGGGACATGATTCGATGATGACGAGCGTAGTGCGACCATTACATGAGATTTCACGTTGGTGTTACCCTTGATGACCACTAACCGGGTTCCAAATTTGTATAGCCCACTTTGCAAGCCCAATGTATATCGTATTTATGTTATTACTTGTTGTTTTTTTTATGTTTGTTTATTATTTTTTGGGAGAAATAGGAATAATACTATTTGGCAAATGAAATAATATTATTTATTAATAAAAAAACACATATATTAGCATAGACCCCAGATATTGAAGAATAGGCCGATAATTATATATTAGTATCTCTAATAGTATTTTCCGAAATACTCGGTCGTTAATTATAGAAATGTGTTTATATTATGATCCCGAATAATATTCCGAATAATGTTTTGATATTTATTCCAAAGATTTAATTATTAATTTTATGAATATATAGTTATATCGATATTAATATTTACATAATATTTGTTACACATTATTTATATTAATAATTTAGATTATATATGTATTTATTTATTTTTATATATGTATATTGTTATTTGATATATATTAATATATGATTGTTTATTTTATTAATGTCCGAATATTTTAAATAATATTTATATTAATATATAAATTATATGGTTTTTTATTGAAATTATTGGTTTATTAATTTGGGATAATTAATTAATAATTTATATATTTTTATAATTGATAAAATATATATATATATATTAAATGAATATTATATTAATGATTATATTATTATTATTTTTTTTGAAACTTAAAATTAAATGGTGATATTTAAATAAATTCTATATATAATATATATTTAAATATATGATTTTTTTCTGAATTATAAATATTGAAATTGAATTTGATTATATTTTATTAATTGGTAATGAATAAATTATATTTTAGATTTATTTAACCAAATTAATATATATATAGGGGTTTAATATTAATTATTATTATTTGGATATATATATATATAAATAATATATATGTTTTAAATATATATAATTATTATAATTTATAATTTGATATAATATAATTTATGAAGTATAAAAGAATTTAATTCTATATATTTATATTAAATTAATATAATTATATATAAATAAAAATAAATAAATATAACCAAAATAAAACAAATAAATATATAATTTAAGAAATATAATTTTAAATAATATATTAAATATAATATAATATACATATAATAATTTAACTACTAATATATATTATATCCTCAATAGATTTATATAAATTCTGTTTTTTTCCCGAAAAAAATATCAATATATTAATTAATTTTAATAATAAATAATAAAGGAATTATTTCGTAATTAAAGAAATTGGTTGAAAGATGTCGGGAAACGATAGTTGGCCATATATATATATATAATTTTGGAGGTATAATTGAACGAATTCTCGTTGAAAACCTTATTATTTATTTATATCTCTCGATGTATATTTCTATACCTTCTAATATATAATTATTTCATTTACAATTGTTTTATTTAATATTTATTTTGCAGGATTATTATTATTTATGGTACGAGGAATTTATGATATTTGGATCAAGATTCTCGATATATTGATTTTCTTCTTGATTTAGGTTCCATTATTGGAATGAATTGATCTAATTTTCGTGCCTAAAATGATTAGATTATACGAAATATTCTTTCCCAATTCTAATTGATTATTTATATATTCGAATATATCGATTTCCAAATTATAGATTAACTATTTTTTTTTGCATCATAAATATACAAACACACAAACATACAAACACACAAACACACAAGCACACAAACACACAAGCACACAAGCACTCAAACACATAAATACACAAGCACACAAACACACAAGCACACAAGCACACAAATACATAAGTCCACAAACATTCAAGCACACAAACACACAAACACACATGCACACAAGCACACAAACATACAAGCACACAAATCCAGAAGCACACAAACACACAAATCCAGCAGCACACAAATACACAAGTATACAAACACATAAATTAAATCAATCGAAATTCGATATTAAATTGGATTCATATAATCCCATATATTTCATCCATCATATAAATAAGAAATCGAATAAATATATTTCGTTCTAATATCCAATCCACCGAATTTTCCCAGATCAGAGACTTACAACCAATATTTTAAACGATATATCGATTCCAAAAATTATCCTGAATATATTTATAGTCAGCATATTGATCTAACCATAAAGGATCATTCCCAAAATATATAAGTGGAAAGGAGAAATACCCTTTATATTAAGGGCCAATCGTGGTAAACGATGTCAAGAAGATTTAAGGATTTCAGGGATTTCCCGGTAAGTCTAATACGAGGGTCAACAGGTGAAAGATTTATAGAGTCCAATAAGGATTTGTGCCAATATACAAAGCCAAAGACAATGCAATATTCTTCAAAATATTATAGGTAATAAATTCTATATATTAGAAAATAAGATATTCGAAAATATCCAAATTCTAATAAGAATTAAAAACATAGTATTCTATTCAAAATAGCCTTATAAAAATATCTTGAATTTCAATGGGACGTGTCCTAAGCCAACCATCTATTCCTGAAATAAAAAAAAATATATAAACATATTTATTCAATTTCACTAGTTCACTCCATCAAAAACAATTCACCTTAGAATAACAAAATATCAATAAATATTATTTATTATATTTTTATTCTCGGATCCTAAACAATACAAACGTCACAAAACAAAAAATACACAATACACTAAAAAACACTAAATTTCGTACCCCATATCAATTTAAATCGGAAACAAAATAACATAAAGATCTCATATCATTGAAAGATACATATATATATGTTAATATCGAATACATATTCTTTTAGCAAATATCAATTCATAAATTAAATCTTATTTAATAAATATTTTGATTTACAAAAATTCAAATCGATTCAATATAATATAAATTATATATTATTCCATATAATAAAAATCAATATATATATATATATACCAAATGTTCAATTATACATACACATTTCTCAATTTATCTATATTATATATAATTATGAATATATATTAAATCAATATTTCAATCAACCATTATAAATCGAGAAAACATATCATCAATAATATATATATATATATTTCTAAATTTTAAATAAATATTCTATATTTTGTATTATATTTACAAAATTAACATATTTTTATATTTGTAATGATAAATTATGTCAGTGGGGGCCCGTTGCTTTCCAGCAACGTGCGAGATGAAATCCATGACAAGAGAATAACAGAAAAAAACAAATAATATAGACATATTCCAATTTAATAATTATAAATAGATTTCTATGATTATACTCCCAGAGACAGAAATAGGTAAACCGAAATTTCGAAAAAATGGATTTTATTGAACTAAAGACCCAATTCTAGAAACCCAAAAACGAATATAATAAGAACTTCTCAACAACACCTCAATATAGTTCTTAAAACACTACGATTCACAAAGCAACAATATATCTCAGATGTCCGATATCAGAGCATATAATCAATAAAAGGTAATCGCCTAAATAAGGAAGAAAAAAAAAAAAAAAAAAAAAAAAAATATAAATTAATAATTTCAAAAGACCCAATCCTCATATCGCCCAATTCTCGCAAAACGGGCATAATATTTCAATCAAAATATTAATAAAATCTAAATAAATTATGCTTCTAATTTATAATAAAATATCCTTCATAAATATATTCATACCAATTTAATTTCGATCAACTTAAAAATCATATACTCGAATCTCTTAAATTAAATCGAAATCGACCAACTTCACCATATTTTTTAAATATCCTTTTATAACATTCTTTATTAAACCTAAATAAACCAAAAAAAAACCTCGAAGAAGAAAATATAGATTCCAATTTAACAAACCATTCCATTCCTTTAAAAAAATATTTCTTATTATTCCGTAAATTGTTCAACCAAAACAAATATATATATATATATATAACACATTCAAAACCCAAACCAAAATAACGACCAACAAATTATCGCATTTCATATCCCAATACTATTTTTTCAATAACCTCTATCACTAAATTATTCTTAAGACAATCCAACCTATAAAAATCTATAACATAATATTTTCAACCTTACTCTTAAATATTACGCACACCTAAATATAATATCCTCCAATTTCCATCAAAATTATTCTAATTCTCTTAACAACATAAAAAATAGGCGTTACACTTTATAAATTCATAACCATTAACCTATATAATATCAACTAAATGTCATAAACTCATAAAAGTGAGCCTATACAAAATCAATTTCAAATACATAAACAAATAAACAAATACAAAGACAAAGGCAAAGACACAAACAAAAACAAAACAGAGACAAAAGCAAAAACAAGAGACAAAAACACAAACAAAAACAAAGACAAACACAGACACAGACGCAAACACAGACACACAAACAAACGCACAGACACAAACACACGGACACACAGACACAGACACACAGACACACAGACACAGACACACAGACACAAACAGACAGACACAGACAAACAAAGACAAACACAGACAGACAGACACAGACACACAGACACAGACAGACAGATAGACAGACAGATAGACAGACAGACAGACAAAGAAACAGATACCAGAGACAAAGAGACCAACAGACAAAGAGAGACAGAGACAGACACCGACAGAAAGACAGAGACAAAAAGAGACACACCTCCGGCGCGCAACGCGCCGGATTCTGATGACACGCCACAGGCTTCGCCTACGCACGTGCACGCGTCCGACTCCGAGCCCGAGAGCCGTGATGCAGACGGGCTGCAAGAATGCGCGTGCGAGCTCTCAGCTGCGCGTGCCCCAGTTCCACGCGGCCGCTGGCCGCTTGTCCCCTGGCGCCCTCGCCCAGTGGAGCAAGCCAGTGGGTTGTCACGCGCTTGTCTCGGCGCTGCCCCGCCGCTTTGGACTGGGCACCCCGGGTTGCTACCGGCCCTGGCTTGGATCGGTGTTTTGGAGGTTAGGGGATTCAACTTCAACATGATCCAGGGGTTCAATCCCCAAACCACCAATCCAAACCAGCAATTGGGGGTAAGTTGAGGCGGGTGCCAAAAAAGGGCCGAGCTCTCAGGGGCCAAGGTCCAGGCAACCAACATATTTTATCATCTCATATGTATCAAAAAATGTATACTCGTCGCATGCGAAAAGCATGCTGCCGTTCTCCAAACACAGGTCGCGAGACGCACTGAGGGCCGGGCTGGTCGCGATAAGGTCACGCCAAAGAGTCAGTGAAAGGCGGTCGCCTGAGCAAGGTGAGAACGGATCCGCGGGCTGTTGGCCTCAAAAGATCCATCCACACACGCAGTTGTTGCGAGCGCAAGCGAAAACGCGATCGATCAGAAACATCCTGGGAGCAAGCAAAGCCGAACTGATTTCGCCCAAAGCATTGGGAAAAACACCACTGGTCGCAGCAATCGGCCGCGGCTCACAGCTTCTCGCATCACCAAACTCTCGGAAGATGGGCCAAGATTTCAGCCTAAATTGCTACGGACAGGCAGATATATGCCCCGACTCTTTATCTGGAAGACACAACGGCTTCGTTCAAAGCCCGGACCATTTTTCCGAAATATCCCGGATATTTCGATAGTCGCACCCCAGACCATTTTTCCGAAATATTCCGGATATTTCGACGACAGCATTTCCCGAAATATTTGGAATATTTCGGGAAAACGGTCCCCGAAGTATTCGGAATATTTCGAGAAAATTGTGGGTGGCTGCGATTTTCCCGAAATATCTGGAATATTTCGGGAAATTGGTCCCTACAAAAAATTAAGCCACTGCATCTTCCGGATTATGGCCGGGGTAGCCCGGACAGATTTGGGTAAGCGGTCCGTAGGAAATATGAAGCGGTTACAGTACATCTTCCAGGGGCAGTCCGGACCAACTTTCCGAAATATCCGGGAATTTTCGTAAATTATAATTTTATATAAACCATAAATAAATTATACCTATATAAATTATTTTCTTTAAAAATAAAATAAACTCACAAATCGAATTGTTTTCTATAAACTATCTATAATTCGAAATACACAAACTTATATTTTAAATTATAATTTTAAAATTGATTTTGTTATATTCTCTAAATCTCAATCCTTTAGTTTTCTAAAGACATTGTTGGGAGCGTGGATCCAGCACTCTAGGCATGGATCATGGGGGTCGGGGCAGTGAGCAAATTAATATATACCAATATGAAGAATTCCTCAAGCCACTATTGGACAAACAAGTGAGGACTATGCACGCAGCGCTGCTCCGTCTTGCAGTGATGGAGTGACTAGCCACTCAAACCAGCGAGAAACTTGACAGAACTCTTGCACAGGGGATTGTGAGAGCAAGGCCAAGCTCGCCTGCCTTGCAAGGTTGAGAGAGTTTCGAATTTTTCTGGCGCGTATCTCCGGATTCTGCAGCCAGCTGCCTCTCCATATCCACAAGGCTGCGCTCCTCTTCAACAGTCAGGTCTCGTGAAGCGCGCTCGCCGGATTCGTGCCGCGAGCGGAAAAACACACGTGTGGTTTGCGCATGGCCAATCCATATTGGCTCGCGCCACTGAAGGCAATGCCGTTTTGCGAAACGCGTACTATGCCCTTTTCTAATCCGGCTGACATATACTGAGAAGTACGCAGCTGTCATGTTGATGCTCCATTCCGCAGTGCTGCCTGAAGGTTCAACAACTTGTTCTGTAACCCCATGTGACATGATGTGATATGCGAACTGTTAAACTGGCTGCAAGGCATGGTGAGGTCACCAATTTCCGTATAGTGTTCCTGTGATTCATCCTGGATGGAATGGGCGTCCTGTTGAACCCTTGGCAAAGCCGAAGGATAACGACAACAACGCTGCTGCTTTGTCTTTGTCAAGTAGTCCGTCTTTCGTGCGTGGAACAGCTACTTGATGAATTTATTTCACCCAGCCCATGCTTCAGATTGGCAAGCTCGCGGCATTCTTTTTCAATGCCAGATGTGCCGGTTCGTCGACAATGGTTTGAGGCAAAAAGTTGGCATAGCTTCAGCCTGCCTCGGAACCGACAAGGACACAGAACTTGCCCGAATGTCCTCATCTGTCGGGCTTTTCATGGGAAGAACCCCTTCCCAGGCCCCTAAGCCCTTTGATTCGTCCGGGCTTGCAAAAACAAAAAACAACCAGTCAGCAAATTGTGCAGCTGTCACTGTTCAAAGGCTTAGCCTCGACAGCAGTGACGGAGTAGCCCTTGCGTAGCCATTGCTGCACTTCCGGATACCGCTCTGGGCTGAACCGTCTTTGGAAGATCTCAGTCCCGGATGAAATCCTCGGCTTTGGCCCTTCAATGAACCACACCCTCTTTTCTTGGTGTCTGGGCTCCTGCAAAAATATTGCTAATAAGCCCAGCCAAAAGGGATTCAGCTTAAACTGGCAACTCAAGCGATGATTCAAATGGCCTACAGAGAAGGTTCACCTTGCTGCCCGAGTTTCTTAACCCCATCGGACCCTTCATTGATGGGTGCCCAGACTAACCCGAACCATGAAAGCCACTAAACTTGCCAAGCAAACGGCTATCCCCAACGTAAATGTTTAAGCTGGCCCAACGAAGATGCCTTCACTTTCGTCTCCCTGCTTGGAATCAGGCAAAAAAGAGGGCTTCCTTCTCGTTTTTGTTGAACAATTCCCTAAAACAGGAAACATCCGGTCACCCCTGCTTCCACACCAGCCAAGCAATGGCTTTCCAACCGACACAAACATCCATTTGCTTAAGTCGTTTGCAACAAATATTTATTTTCCGCAATGAAATCGATTCCCTTGAAAATCAACAGGTGGAAACTAAACCATAATCTTAAGATCCCCAATTAAAGGACCTTTATCATGGCCTTCGCTCGTTATACTCCCGAATCGGTGAGAGCTCGCTATAGGCAGACAACTTGTCCAGCTGGGGATCAGTTGGAAGAGCTCGCCAGTCAGCTCCGCCTGGGTCTGGGCCGTTTGCATCTTCGCCCCAGGCACGCCTCGGGACATCTCGAAGACGCGGGCCACGACCTCGCGGCACATGGCAAAACACCCCCGGAATGGAAATCGGACGGCCTGTTTTGGAGATGCCTGATATGTCATCAGCGGCGATACAAGGTGGCACTTGTCAATGAATATACATATACATATACATATATATATAGATAGATAGATATAATACACTCGGCAAGTACATGAAACTATACATACGCACATACACGCATCTATATATATATATATTTACATGTATATATATATATATACACTACATACTTATATGTGTGAATAAACCTACAAATATTCTGTCATACCAAACCGGAGTTGCCACATCTCTGACTATGCTGTTACTCGGGCAAGTAGACGCCCCTGGCATCCAAGACAGTCGCCCAAAAACATGTCCGTGTCCAGGAATACGGGATGAGCAGGTTTCAATCATACAACTTATAATAGGCCAGATCAGCTGCCACTTAGTAACAAATAATCCCAAACCCTGTCGGGTGGGAAAACGTTTTTTTCAGTGGCGGCTGGTCTGTGACTTTGAAGTTTCCCCCTTTCAAAGTGGGAAACCAAGAGGCAAACACCCCACCACCAACCGGCAGGCAGCTGAACTGGGGTCTCCCGACCAACTCTTTTCCTCCTTCTGGGTGGTTTTGAAGGGAAAGCTCCCCCAAAAAAAAAACACCAGATTTCTTCAAATAGGGAACCATACCATAGCCAAAACCGCCCACTCCGTGCAACGTTTTGCCGTTTTTGCGAACCCACACCTCCTTCAAGGAGGGCAGCACCAAGACCGCCAGGTCAGCGTCCCAGTGCAGCCGGCTGTTCACACAGCATTTCCCGGTGACCTCTAGGGTGATTTGCAGACGAACCTCGGGATGGCGCGCTCTAGGGACATTCGGGTATATACAAATATATATATATATACATATATATATATATACTTTTATACATTTATATCTCGACGTCTTTGTATATATATATATATATTCATTTATAGTGGCAAGGAAACTGTACATCCCATTGGGGTTTTCGGGTTTGCGGAGAACACCATCATTCGGAGTGGCCATCGGCCGCCAAACAGAGACGTGCCCCGAAACTATGGGATAGAAGATATGGGGTATTCAAGATACCTTGGGCACGTGGCTTGATCTAGCCATTTGACTAAACCTTGCGTGTTTGACCCTGCCCAAAAACACAATTGCACATGCAATCACATCTACAAATGCGTAAATGCACATACATCAAGCAAAACCCATGCAAAGGAACATCCAACTATGGTGATGGTCTGGCCTGACCCGCCGCCCCAAATGGTCACGGTTTGGCTTGAGGGGTGGGCAAGTTTAAGCTGGGTTGCGCATGGGGACCAAAGAGTAGAACGGTCCAAAGGGACAGCAACCAAGCAAATGGGGGGTTCCCCTCGCCGAGGCACCATTGTCACAATTCCGCCCTTCTTGGAAGGGAATCCCATGGACACGGCCTGGCGATCATGAGGCAGCTAGGCCGGGCAAAAGGAAACCCCACCAAATGTGGCATGCTTTCCGTCCAGCCCAGTGCCCTTTCAGAACAGGCACACTCCCACAAACCAGCATGGAAGTGCACAGGTCCCGGCCAAAGCAAAGTCGCCTTCAAATCTCTGGTGCACCATGTTGGTTGTGGTCAAGGAACTCCACACATGGCTCTCCAATCATGACGTCATTCGGTTTATAGAGCACCCCATAGCCCTGATGGGAGTGCGGGCCCCTGGCTGTTGTTGGACCTGCAGTAGTAAGTTGACCATGCCATGTCTGTTTCTAAGGCTAGCAAAAACTCGTGCCGTGAGAGGGTGTGTTTCTGTTCAGAGAAGTGTCACACTTCGAGGAGACAACAAAACAACAAAAACAATCTCCCAGACAAAAGGTATCGGGCATGTCTCAAACAGTGCCCTCAGGCCTTGATTGTTTTCTTGTTTTGTTCCTCTCCCCCCCCCCCCCCCCCCCGGATTTTTTGTTTTCCTCTTCGCCGCTCGTCTTTTTTTTAGGAGGAGGGGGGTTGCGGTCTTGAGGACCTTGTGACACGACCAGCTTCGACAACTGTTTATGTAGTTTCCATTTGATTTCTGCTCAAAATCTTACTTGGAGAGGAATTCCAATTAAAATCTGATTTAGAAGGAACAACCAAGCTGTCGTCTTCCATCCCATTTGTCATTATATTCAAATTAGAGCCCTAGATCCTTGGAACCGACATCCGATTCGAAAATACAAGGGGTGCTATCAAAATGTCGTTCAACATAAGAGACCTACTTAAACTCTAGCGGAAGCCATTCTTGGAAAGTAACTCCGCTTTGACATAATTATTCAAATTCAAGTCTCGAATTAATTTCGCATTTAAACTGAAAGCCTTGCAATTTAAACTCGAAACCAATTTGGACGGGAACTTGCGTGTTGCATCGGTTCAAAACATAATCAGCTCGTCTTTCCTTATTAGATTCTACTTAAATTCAATTTAAAGTCTATCTAAACTGCTTCTTGGAAAGGAACCCCATTCAGCATCCAATTGAAAAAATATAATTCAACTATTATCCAAACTGAAAGCCTCGCAATCTAAAGCTTGTGCTCCATTCCTTCTAAGGGCAAACAAATTAGACGAAACGACCGGCTTGTCTTTCCACACCATTTTCTATTTAAATTCTAGTTCTAAGCATGCATGAAAAGGAAGATGCAAAGATAGTTGGAGCTACCCTGGCTTGAATGAGCAGCAGCAATTGCAAGTTGCAACAATTCATGTAGACACGTTCCCACATGCTTTCAAAAGCAAAAAGGCGGTTTTGCGTGCAATTCACCAGCTTTGCAGGCAGGGGCCTCTTAAGGCTAAGGCATACCACGCCTGCAGCACCTGGTTTTTTTCTCCCATGTCGAGCTCGAGGGCCTTAGTCAACAAAACTCTACTCGCAAGGTCCGGCCCGGGCGGACGCTGAGGTTCAATATCTTTTTCTGACGCTGTTCCCCAGCCAATCCATTTGCCCTGGCGCCGTATCATAGTGGTCTCCCTTTTGGCTTCCCTTGCAAACCCCAAAACATGTTGCAGGCAACCATCGTATGTAACCTTAGAGGCAAACTCTAAAATGCAAACGAAGACAGTCGGGAAACACATAGTTTACAATTTCCACTGCTTTCAAGGGATGCCACATTTTTGGGCTACCAAAAAATCAGGTACCAAAAGGGCTTATTGCTTTGGAGGGATCCAAACTTGATTGGTTGTCAAGGGAAACCAAAGGCATACCAACACAACATGTCTAGCTGAAAGGAAACATGGTGGCAACAAAACGGCCTGATAGGAAAAGGGACCACGTGGGTATGTCTGAAAATGGGGGGACCCCCTAAACTAGTTTAGGTTGGTCTCCTTTTGGTTTCGCTTCAGCCAAGGGCCTGAAAAGAGATGCCCATGGTCCTGAACCCTCCAAGCGGCTGTCCAAACCTGGTCATGCCGGAATATCCTTCGGTCCTTTGGTGGTCTGCTCGGCTTCTTATGTTCATACCAAACAGGTGAGGGATCCTCAGCTGCATTTCGCGCGCCTGCCCCAAGGGAGAACAAATGCACAAGTGTGACATTTAAGGCTGGGGGCTTCACGCAGATCGGGATCCGGATACACACACACATGGTTTTATCTCTTGACCCCCTTTTCTTTACAAGGCTGTGGACAAGCGGATTAATCAGGTGTTCAGAAGGCTTCATGCATCGCATCTAGTACGAAGTGGATTTTGCGCATCATTAATTGGGAGTTCCTTTTTGGAGACAACGACCCCTTGGATGAACTCTACCAGCTACTGTAGCTACACTGACTTCAGCGACTGTGGGTTCTTCTAGGTCCTCCAGTAAAGCGCTTAGACAAAGGGTACCATTTTTTTCTGTAGTCTATTTTAGTAGGGGAACCCTCCCCCCAAAAAAGAAACGGTAAAAGGGCACTACTGGGGGGACCTAGTCTTACAAACGGGCTCCGAGGCCCCCCTCGTATGGGTTCTACTTCGATCCGTTCGGATCGGTCGCTCCATGGCTCCCGGCCAGGTCTCGCAGCAGAATCTGCGAATGTCCCGGAGGGATGCGCTGGCCCAAGTCCTCGCGATTTGGGTTTTCCGCAGGAAGCGGATGAACCAAACCAGCCAAATTTCCCTAGACAAAACCACTGGCCAAATCGCCGAAGAGGAAACGTGGAACAACAAAAAAGCAAACCCCAAATAAACAACCCCCCAGCAAAGCCAAACAATGTCATGGAAGTGCACAGGGCCGTCTGTTTGGAAAGGAAAGACATCGGGAGTTGATACTAAGCTCGAGAATGCCATCTGCATGGGGGCCAGTCACTGCTGAGAAACAGCAAGGTATCCCATTTGAGGAGAATGCTTGCCAATTGGCTTTGCAACCAAATATGTTTAGCATCATGGTTTACAATAGCAACAAGGGCGCATTCGTTTCACGGCAACACCCACACAATTGGGCAAAAGCTGAAACAAGTACCAGCCGTCTTGCCAAACCGCAAGCGAATCTCCGCTAGGGGTGGGGCTTGAGGAAACCTGGGAAGCCCGACCAGGAACCAACAGTAGGCTACCAATACTACTGCCCATTGCCCTTTGCTGCTTTGCCCGTTGCTCTTGTTGCAAGGTGTTTTGCCGAAAGACAACCCCTGCCTTGAAGTCCGTGTTCGCTCCATGGAGCCCACAGTCCAGGCCAAATGTTTCCAGCTTAGTCACAAAAGGGACAACTGGTGTCTATCACTGGAACTAACCAAGGGGTAAGGATCCTTTCTCCCCCAGTCACTATCCGGGTGTCTGGGCACCCCAACTGGGCAAGATCCTAATGGTGGACATCAGGATTCGGTGGGGATTCACGCCCACCAACCACCTTGAGGTGGTTCGAACTCTTAAAACTCAAGCCCTGCATCAGTTCAACGGCCACCCAGACCCCACCTCTCCCCAACTCAACTTGGTCCTCCAGTAGAGAGGTTAGACTAAGGGTACCAACTTTTTTTATTCAGTCTGCTTTAGTAGGGGAACCCTCCCCAATCAAAAGGGTTGGTAAACGGGCACCTAGCTGGGGGACCTAGTCAACCCCAATCCCATCCCCACCCCCCACCCCAAGGCACCGTGTCAGGCACCTCCTGGCCTAAACCCGGCGCTCCCTTTTGGCTCCTCCTCGAGGTCTGCGAGCAGCTTCTTCAGCGCGCCGCTGCGCTCCTGCGGTTTGCGGCCGGTCAGAGGAAGCTCACCTTGAAGCCACTGGATCTTTTCAGTTCATCCGGCAACCAACCGGTGCTCTTCGTTAAAAAATACAAATGTCGGAGCAATCCGCAAAAAGACCTGAACTGAGGAAGCTCTTGCAAAAGCCGCCCAAAAATCCAGGCGCCGAACGAAGAAATCCCGGTCCTTGGAGAGCTTCAGCTCCCCAGAGAGCGTGGCGCGCTGCGCCTGGCCGGCGACCACGGCGACTTGGGGGTGGGGGGGGCTCTTTGGAGGGGAACCGGTTGGGGGCTGAAGGTGTCATTTTGTCCTTCTTTTTTTTTCCGGGGGAACCCCACAAAAAACTGTGGTTTTCATGTTTGATTTGCCGTAAGACCCAGCCAAAACGGGGTTCCCCCAGAAAACGACACACCCTCTTAGGTGGTTTTTATGGGGAAATCAAAGGTACCCTGAAAAAAGACCCAAACAGGAGCTTGGTGGCTTTGAAGGGAAATCAAAAGGGACACCAACCAAAAAGGATACCCCCAAGCAAAAAGACGAGCCACCCATCCGGGGCCTTTCCGTTCCGATTCGACGAAGGGCACCGGATCGCTTCAGGCCTTGGGATCGGAGACCGGCAGCTGGCGGACCACCTGACGGGAGGGCAGTCCCCCCGTTTGCCGGGTACCCTCCCAGCCAACATGGAAGTGCACAGAGCTCTGCTCTGAAAAGACTACTTTCCTCTTGGAAAGGCTTGGCCTTCTTGCACAAACCTATGTTAGATGGGAGGGCAAACCCACCCCACGGAACCACAACACCAGGGTAAACTGCGGTAAAGGGGGGGGTCCCTGGTCCATCTCAACCAGGGGGAGGGTCTGTACTGTGGATGGACGAAATGCTGCACCACTTTGAAACTATGGGAAACCATTGATTGTTGGTAATTATCACTTCAGAGTTTCGTAGGTATGAGCCCATATGTCTCGAAGTAGAAACGGCCCCCTTTTTTGAGCAGAGCAGCTCTTATTTGAGAACCCAGAAGAAGACAGGCTAAGGCTGCTTCTCTAGACCATGTCCTATCATTGGCCCGCATGTTGCCTTCATCATGCTCGGAATTGTGCCCCGCGAGCTTGCCATGACCGTAATATTGAGTGAACCTTGAGCTTGTTTGGTAGGAGTTGTGAGGTGCAAAGGCGTTGAGGTGACTGGGAGATGGCACGCCCACTCTGGCTGCAACCTTTTGATTCTTTTGAAGGATCCTTTTTCCACATAATTTCCCCCACACACACAGAATACGAAAGCAACTACGGAACACAAATTGGAAGAGTGTGGAGGCAATCCTCCAGCTCTGGGCGTGACTTAGCTTGCAAACAAAAACCTCAGAATCGTCCTCGCACCAGAACGGCCTCTCTTTCTGTAAGCATCTTGTTAAGCTCAGTCATATTGCTAAGAATACTTTCCAGTCGCGTATCCCTCACAAATCCTCAAGCCCAGACAGGGGTGCCTTTTGTTGGTTGGCTGAAGGCCCAGCCCCAAGAGAAGCTGAAAACAAGAGGGATGGGTACACAAAGGCCCACCCAGGTGGGAAGCCCACGGAGACCAGGCCTGGGCATAATGCTTCAAGCCGCACAAGGCCTCCGAAGCGAGCCAGCCGTCAAGGACCCCGCCCGCGAGAAAAAGATCCATGGCGCCCGGCAAAAGCTTTGGGTGAGCACCGTCCCAAAGCAACCTGTGCTTTGGGCGGGGGAGGGGGTGTTGGGGTTTCGCCAACCACACGTTTTTGGAACTTGGGCGGTGCAAGTGATCCTAGCATGAACGGTACAAGCCAACCCCGGGGGGCTTAAAAAGCCTTGGGGGTAAATACGGCGAACTAAGGCCAGTTTCGCCTTGTCAGTTCGTTATTGTTTGGGGGGGATGGCCCTGGAAAACGGGTGCCTGATGCAAGAAAAGGGGGCATGTAAAGCCCTCTCACGCACAAGCAATTTGTGCAACACACTCAGCCTAGAATCTGAGTTGGTGCGGGTCGTTGTGACGGACTCCGGGTATGCAACTAAATGAGCATAACTCAAGCAATTCGCCAAGCTGAGATGGGGATGCCCAAGAAAAGCTGCAGCATTGTCCAGAGCGCACCCTCCCACCAGAAAACATGGGGATGCCCTTTGTAGGGAACTTGTAAAGCATTCTTCCCAGAGTTCTCTTAGAAAAGTGCCGAAAAAAGGTTGGCCTCGGTTGCGAAATGCTAAGTTCGTGCCAACAGAGATCCCAGCTGCAGTCAGGGCCGCGAAAATCGTGGAACCTTCCAAAACCGGCGCCGTGGGGGTTCCTTGAGCCTTCCGACCACCCCACGTGCTACGTGCCACGTCCGCCTCCAGACCCATACAGCTGACGCCCAGCACTGGCTCGCCCCCACTGCGCAGTTGCACCACCTGCCAATGGCCCCCCGAAGCCCTACGTGCACCTCAACTAGGTCAGAAATCAAAGTGCCACCGCCTCAGGAAGGATACCCTTAAAAAAGACCCAAACACGAGCTTAGTGGCTTTGAAGGGAAAACAAAACTACGTCCTCCAGATTTGAGAGGTTAGAACAAGGGTACCCGATTTTTTTCAGGAGTCTTTTTTAGTAGGGGAACCCTCCCAACCAAAAAAGGGGTTAAGAAGGGCACACTGGGGGACCTAGTCAAGGAAACTGGGGGGTCTGCGAACAAAACCCAAAATCGCCAAGGACCCCAGGGATGGGTTCGAGCAAGGCTCGCCTAAGTTCTCACAGGGAAACTGCAAGCTGTTGCATTGTCCACCTGTATCATGTGCAAATGTTCCACCCACGTGATTGCCCACACAGCGAGCAGCACACACACACACACGAAATACCAGGAGCAACCACAACGCTAGTGGATGGGCGAAATCCACGCAGGCACCACCTGGTAAGGATGAAACGCCCATAGATGGGGCAAAGCACCTATCAACTGCGAAGCAGATTTCGTCCATCAACAAGCTAGGGCTGTGCTGAGGGGCGTTTGCAGGTCGCAGACATGGGCCGCCAACATCTGCCAGAGCTGGAATTCCCTTGTTTGAAGCAACAGTATCGCACCTAATTACTATGCAAAAATAAGCCCCCATCTGCAACAGGGACAAGCAGCCTTTCCTGTTGCACGGATTCCAGCACCGCTCGAACCACCCCGGAGGCAAACATCTCCTTCTCTCAGCTGAAAAACGATGCAACTGCCAGAGCCCGAGCTCGGCGTTGGGGCGTGAGACCGGACACAGTTTTGGTTGCGAGGGGATGTATGGAACGAAAGTTCCACCCTGGTGGAACCTTTTGTTGCTTTGTAACAATTAAGCCCCATCAGCTGCCAGGGGAGGGGAAACATACGACCACCGACCACAAATCTTGGGGCTCCTTCCCCTTTCGGGGTTTGAAACCCGGGCGGGGGAATACGCCACTGACCAAAACCGGCCGTGGCTCCTTCCGCCAAGCGGACGGGGCCTCGGACCCCTCGGCGCCTCGGCCACGTCTTCGAAGCCCATGCGCTTCCAGAACTCCACGACCTGCACCTCGTTCTCGTCGTCCTCGTACTCCCCAGGCCGCTCCAAGGTGACCTAGCGCCAGGGGCTCGGGGGTTGGAAAAAAACACGCGTGGCTGTGCCACGGCATGTTTTTGGGGGTGAAGCCCCAAAAATGGCTGGGCGTTGTTTGGTGGGGAGGGGTGCTTTACTGGTGGGTGTGGACATCAGCCATTTTGGGACGACGAGGGACTTGTGGAAATCGTAGCCTGGGCCTAACAAGCTGAAATGGGTGTCTGGTCTGGTTTGATGAAAGCCAAATGAGTAGCATGCATTTTTAAGGTCCCCTAGTTTTAAGACAACCCGAATTTGTTCCCATTCGAACATGCAGCAAGTACGGTGAGAAAGGGATCTGAGCAAATCAGATCTATCCACCAGCGGATTCCTTGAGGAGACCCCCTTGGCTGCCAAATGCTCTTCCTGAAACCTCCATTTGCTTAAGTCCCCTGGAAAAACTAACATATTTCCAGTAGTGATAGATTCCATTTGAAACCAGCAGGGGAAAATCACGCATATTCTTAACCAAATGGAAGGAAAGGCTGTGCTGCTCGGCTCCGCTCCTCCGAAAAAGAAAGCCTTCTTGATTTCTCTTCCGTTGAGCCGAAAGATTTTGGCGGGGAACCGGGCCTCGCAGGCCGTAGCCAACATTAGGGGAGACCCCGAGGTTAGCAAAAACTGAAATAATTCCAATCATACCAAAGTGAACTCGCCATGAAAATAGGGCAGATGAATCCTGGATTCCATTCGCCTCCCGCCGATGAACATGGAACCTGACGTTCGCGTCCTGGCTTGGACCACTTCCCGTTTAAAGGGACCGGGTCCCGCACGTCAGGTTCCATGCTGAAAAGGGTGGGAGGCTAAAGGTTCTGATGGAACCCCTGAAGCAACGCGGAGTGTGGTATGGGTTCACCCGGGTGGGTGAACAATAGCCTTCATGATGAACTTGGCGAACTCCGTCTTGGCCACGGCTGGGGCGAACATGGCGGTCCAGCTTCTGCCCGAGGAGAGGTAGCCCACGCTGCTCAAAGAACTGCCTGAGGCAAAGATGGACACGGCTGTCCCAAAGATCAGCTACTTAAACGGGCGATCAGGTACGTCAGGTAACACTGAACGGAGACTTATAACCGTAGCCTCAGTAGGAACCAACATGTATGTGCACAACAAAATGGATGCAACTATCATATTGCATTATGCACTGATGAACAAGTGCCAGCCAAAGTTGCATGACCCGGACTGCCAAGTCAACACTAACTAAAAGTGTATAGGTTTGATTCCTGAGGGGCTGGCAAAAAAAAACAACGGCAAGGCTGCTTCATTGCCACAACCCCAACACATGTCCTGAATTCGGGGCTGTTAAGTTCGAGAAGGCATGTGTGTTCGCAGCCGACCCGAAGGACGTTGATACCTTGATACCTCAGCCCCGCGGGCGGGCTCCGGCACTGCAAAATCGAATCGAGCTCATAGATGAAGCAATGCTTCAAACATGCGCTTGGGAATCGACCCTCGCAGGAAGATGTGAAAACGTGGGGAGTGGGGCCCCCCAATTTTCTCCATAGGTATTCCTGTTGCAACCACATCTTATGCTTATGGGGAGGCAGCCGGCCCTTCAATTGGGGTCCTCGATTTTTTTGGATTGGGGGCGTCTATGAGCCATTTCCCCTCCCCAAGCTTTTGCATCCTTACCAAAATGGCCACTTGGTACATGGAGCCAAGAACTAAACCTGCGCAATCCGAGCTCTCGAATTTTGAGCCACATACATTTGGCGCGAAGGCGTGCCTTAAACCCTCACCTCGGATCTTAGGCCTTGGGAAATCAAGTGGCAACTGGGTTGAAGAAACCAAGCCCAAGCCGTTGCGACGAGCGGCGCGCATGGAAGAGTTGGAACCCGGTTTGGGGAGTTCGAGGGTGCCACTGAACCACCGGGCATTGGACGCTGCACATGCAATTGCAAGGGGGCAAGAAAGAATGAGTGGATCAAGCTGAAGCCATGACGTAAAAAGGCTGCTGCGATCTTAAACCCTCCGGGGGCCCTTGTTTCACTTGCGAGCTTCAGAAAATCAACCAGCTGGATCGCCGGTTGCTGTTTTTCTCCACGCACTTTACCTCAAAAACCAGCAACCGTGACTCAAAAAAGCAGCAACTTGGCTGTCTAGGCAGCATAAAAGGGCATGAGGCATTTCCTTGGCCCCATACCGTTGTTTGCTCATGTGGCCCTTGACTGAACACACATTCTCCGAAATGGTTCTACGAAGGTCCGGCTTCTGCCCGGACCAAACAGGTCTCGGGGCTTCAGGTTCATGAGTGCATGCCCAGTTCAGCGACCCGGGTAGCAGGCATCGGACCGATATTGGGCTTGTCTCTGCTCAGGGAAGCCATCAAACAAAAAGGGAAGTTGCCTTCGCTGAGCTGGGAATGAGATAAACGACCACGATTGCCGACCCACTCGGCTCAACGGGCATGCAAGATCCGTTCCCCACCCAGCGGTCAACCCTGTGATGCCAGTCCGTGGAGCTGTTCGGTCATAACATCTCTACTCTTGGTATGGTAGCAAAAAACTTTGTTTTTTGCGGACCCCCAGTAAAAATGAACAGAACCAAACAACCAAAAAACATGCCAAGAACCGCGAAGATGAGATCTCGTAAAGAACTTGAACCCAGGTTCGCCTTCCACTTTGATGGTCTTCGAGCCAGCGCGTCCCGTAACCCTGGTTTCAATGGAGTATCAAACAGGCAAGGGGGTTCAGCCAGGCGTCTTATGACCCTTGCTGGTGCGTAGGAACGAGCCAGGGTGTTGGGAATGAACCCAGGGTCCACAAAGGAGACCATCAGGGAAGGTGTATAGGGGGTCATTCCCTCATTCCCTGCAGAGGACCTGCAAGTAGTTCCCCCTGCATCCAAGGCGCCTGACTCAATGCACCTGGTCTCGCTGTCCTCAGTGCCCACTGGATCTCGGCGTTCAAACACGTTGCTTCGCATTGGGAAAGGCTGGGCAAAAAGGCAAGGAAAAAGCAGGGGAAGTTGTGCGAAGCGAACATTTTCAGAACAAAGAGGGGAAAACGCAAAAAACAACGAGGTCGTTCCTTTTGCGCCTCCATGTCTGGTATGTAACAGAAAATGAAAAGACAGGAAGACAGGCAGGGATGGACCAACCTCTCTACACATGCTCAAGCATCTCTTGTTCAAAAAGCATCTTTTTCGTTTCCATAGCGAAACAAGGGGCCGTGCCCAAGCATGTGTTGCCCCAACTCTACACAAAACAACCCCAACGCCCCCCAAACAAAACAAACAGCACCCAACTCTACACAAACAACCCCAACGCCCCCCAAACAAAACAAACAACACCCAACTCTACACAAAACAACCCCAACGCCCCCCAAACAAAACAAACAACACCCAACTCTACACAAAACAACCCCAACGCCCCCCAAACAAAACAAACAACACCCAACTCTACACAAAACCCCAACACTCCCCAAACAAAACAAACAACACCCAACTCTACACAAAACAACCCCAACGCCCCCCAAACAAAACAAGCAACACCCAACTCTACACAAAACAACCCCAACGCCCCCCAAACAAAACAAACAACACCCAACTCTACACAAAACAACCCCCCCCAAAAAAAAAAGAAACGCTGAAGAGGCTGAGTCTCGATCTTGGTCTCCAAAGCCTTGAGACTTTGCGGCACGTCGGGCAAGAGCTGGGGCACTTCGAGCTCTTGGACATCCTCACGTCCCGGCCCAAGAGCGCCGAGTGGCGAACGCCAAGCCGAGTGCGGAAACCACGGAGGCTGCCCCACTCCAAGGGAAGAGTTTGAAGGCTTCTTAGGGTTCTGAACGCCTTTCTGTGGGTAAGGGGATGGGGGATAAAGCACGTTCCCAACCTGAGGGGGGGCTGTTGCCGAATCCGATGTCCTCTTCTTCTCAGAGAAAAAGGGAACATGGAATGACACTGGAAATCCGATGATGCTCCCCTCGCCAAATCCATGTTTAAGCGGGTGGGGATTGAGCAACATGAAGATGGGTGAAGTGGGAAGCGGGGCGTTTAAAGAACACCATGAGCCTGACCACCAACAGCTAATGGCATACTGGTGAAGAGCACGCAAGGCGAAACCTAGGAAAAGCTATGGGAAGGCTTCTAGACATTTGATGCCAATACCTGTGAGCACGACTTCTGCCTATTTCCCATTGGCCGTGAAGCCCATTCATGCGGCAGAAAGCCTTGTCCAGCGTTCTCTCTCCTGCTACCTCTCAGCTACGCTCATAGATCCACAGGCAAGGCCAGTCTGGAGTCACGAGGTCACAAATCAAGGGCAAGAACGTGGGTCAACAGCATGGGATGGTACAAAACAATACACTGTTCAGCTGGGTGTTAAAAGGGAACCACATCGGGGGGGGGGCTTCGCCTTCTTTGACACACACCCCAGTTGGAACAAGAACATGGGATCCAGCTGCCAAGCCAACTGTACTTGGTCTCTCGTAATGAGCTTCCCTAAAGCGAAAGCCTCAGGGCATTTGAGCGTTCGGGTAGCCTGGGTTTGCACACTGCGATGTTGGGTTCTGCGGTTCAACCACATGAATTTCAAAAACCCGATTTCCCGAGCTTGGTCCATCTTGCATATTTCTGAAATGACCCGAACGGGACCTCAAAAAGAAGAGACGCCTTCATGCAAAGGTCGTGAAAGGCCCGGCGCGTCAGTTGGCTCACAAAGGCGGGCCGCGGGGATGCCGTCATGCTCATTGAACAGCTTGCAGGAGTTCTTGCACAGCGAGATGAGGGACTTCCCCACGTCCCCGATCTTCCTAACTGCTGCAGCCCTCAGACCTCTTCCCCAGGGCAACATCTGCAAACTACTTCCACCCTGGACCTACACATAGCCTTGCATAGCTGGCATATTACCAAACAGGGCATTGGGGTACAGGGGTATACGTTCAGGGGTGCACGACAAAGGCACCTAACCTGAAACATGCCGCAGGGTGCTTGAAGCGGCCAGCTTTAAACAGGCTATCCCTCAGGGTTGGCCCTCAATCAAGTGGGAAAAAGAAGAAGGCCACTACATCTCTGGACGCATATTCACATCGAACCCTAAATGCAAATATGATAAGCTCAGCGAATGCACCATACATATGAACCCTCGCCAGTCATGGTGGGCTGTCCTAATGCCTAAGGCTTGGTTTTGTCAAGTCAAATCCACCTAGCGAGTTGCACATAAAGCCATGCTCGACGGCGTAAACACGGCCAACCCCCACATGACAAAAATATTCTTCCCAACGCACACAAGCCCCAGAACAGGCACACCGTGTAATTTACACAGATGCCTCCTGTCCATCCGCACATCTGGTGAAGGTGCATCCCTGAGACCTCCGCACCTCCAGATCACTCGCGTTTGGAGCCCCAAGACTTCCGACCGAACTCAAACACCATCATCTACCTTCCGGGAAGCTGCCCAAACAACCGGCTGGGAAACACCAAACAAAACTCGCTTCCCTCTAGTTGGTGATTTGGATTGGTTGTTTAGGTCAGGTGGTATCCCATCTTAGCCTCTGAAAGAAGCAAAGGTTCAAATCCCCAAACCACCAACCCAAGCCACCAACCAGGGGTTTACCTGCAAAAAGGGAAACCTATGGTGGATCGTTGCGAAATCCACAAAACGCACCACTGCTCAGAGCTCGATGCGATTCCCCAGCATGAATACCAACTAACGTTCTCGGTTTATTCCCATGGTTTCACTTTGCCTTAAGTGACTTCGCAGCCATCAGTATGGAGCAGTAGCCCAGGTTTCATGTCCAAGTGGCTTCTCCACCTGTGCGATGTCCAGGTCCTGATCCGCCGAAATCCAGAGAACGACATCATGAGGTCTTCGTAAGGGAGACCTAGGGCCCTACAAACCTCAGGTATACGCTTGGTTGCTGGTTTGGAGCCCGGTGGTTCAAAGGAAGCCAAATCGGCAAGGTAGGCCATTAACATGCAAACCACCAAACCAAACCACCAAACCGGGTAAGGTGACGCCCTTGCCTTCGTAAACCCGGCAGTTGCGGAGACAAAGAAGCACTTTGCGACAAACAACCGAAGGGGTCTGTCTTGTTTTTAGGGGACCCCTTTGTTGCTTTTATTTAAAGGGATCCCAAAAGGGCAATCACAGTTTTGGGCGAGTCCCCCAATAAAAAAGGCACAACCCAAATGCTGGTGCGTCCTGGATCTCAGTCTCCAGCGAGCAAATGGTGGACCGCGCTTCGTTGGCGTGTGTCAGGATGCCAGGGGCACAGTGGGTCTTGGCGTACTCGTAGTTCTTCGACCAGTTCGTGAAAGTCACATTGTTCCAAACGTAATTCTCCTCGGCTGGGCTGTCGTTTTCGGGATAATCATAAATGGCTTCGGTTTTCCTGTTGGATGCTTGTCCTTTTTGTACAAACAGAAACAAGCCACGAAACACAACAACTGGTCCCCTCAAAAAAAGAGACGAACCACCCAAGATTGCCACGGCTTCTGAGCCCTTTGCTGGCTTCCAACAGCTACCCAAGTTCGGGTGGTTCCCTCGCGTGTGAAGTTTATGACATTGTGCGGCAATCAAGCCAAGAAGCACCTCACGAAACAAACAACCGCTTGCAAATTGGATTTTGGTGGTGTCTTTCTCGATGGCACACCCCTTCAAGGCTTTGGCTTCTCAAGGCAATCAATAAACCTGCCAATGTTGCGGAGTTCCCCGAACAAAATGCGCAAGTAGAGGGTCCAACTTGATTTACTCAGGGAGTTTGTCAGCAGGCAAAAGTGTCTGCCTGCGCGAGTAAACTCTGCTCAAGTTGTAAGCGAGAAGAGGATGCCCAGGAGTCCTCTTGCGGCACTGAAGGCACCAACATCACTAGTTTGGATCGGAAAACGCCCGTTTTTACACGGATGGCTTAGGCTGAAATCGGTCTCGGCTCGGAATTCTTCATCTTGCCCTTCGCCAGCACCGGAAGCATGATCTTGTCCAAGGCCAGCATCGTGGTCTGCACCTGAAACCAAAGGCTCTTCATTTCAAGCGCTCAACGCCTGAGACTGGGTGCAACATGGGCGCTTCAAAAACGACACATCCTGGCCCCACCAAAGGAGAATAGTGTCAAGACCTTGAAGAAAATGCTTGGCCCTATTTCCAGCCTTTTTTTGGAAGAAGCAAACACAAACACGTTGCCCCGCCGTTCCTTTCACGTAATTCATGGAGCTTAGGTAACCTAGGTGTCCTTGTTTAAGGGACCCTATGATTATGACACATTTCCTATTGTCCGCGAGAAGGACCTGGCCGGCTGCCAAACATAGCTGAGACATGAGTAGTCACCTGTGGGTGAAAACATCGAGAGACGCGCAAATCTCTGTTTGCCTCCGTGGCTCCACCCTGACAGCAACTCAACAGAAGCTTCCTCCTCGTGACGTTGGAGCAAAACCCCTAGCAACGCTAGCATTCTGGTGAGCACCCCTGATTTCCTCGTGGTAGCTAGGAAGGTGTGCCTGTTGGCATCGCTTTATAGCTGTAGATGGTGGTGAATATGGACTGTTGCTCATGCCAGGAACCCTGTGCATAAACATATATTTTCAAACAGTTTTCTTTACACTTGATCAACGTCCGCTCATGGAGAAAAACATAGATGCAGGCAAAAATGCCACTATTCTTTTGTAGGTGTGAGCTAGAGGGCCAGGAAACCAACGCCTTGGGGGAGCCGACAATCAGTGTTCTTTAGCACCTGGAAATCATGAAATGCTGCAGCCAAAAGTGGCAAATCACATGGCCTGCCTCCACTTGCTTAAGGGAATCCACCTGGAAGAGTTGCTCGGCAACCAGGGAGAGGGGAGGGGGGAGGGGTCCGGTCGTTTCCAAGGGGGCGTGCGATCACACAGCCCCGCGGCAAAAGCAGCTGGGAAGCTCCAACGATCCTGCGTAAACTTTCATTGGCTTAAGCCTCCTGGACAAAAAACAAACCAACAAGTATATGATAGATTCCTTCCATTTTACCACTAAACAGCTGTAACATGCAATTTGTCCACCAAAAAAAGGAACATCAACAACTTGTCTTCAGCAAGCGGAAGCCACACGCTCCCCCAGCCCCACACTCCACCGATCTCCACCGCCTCCGCCAGGCGGTTCCGCACGAACTTCAAGGTGCTAAGGGCCAAGTCCTGGCAAGGACACCGAACGACACGCGTCCGCTGCGCTGCAACCCGTTCATCGGAACCCCTGGAAAGGTTCCACTAGGTCCTCCAGATTTGAGAGCTTCGAATAGGGGTACGCGATTTTTTCTGTAGTCTATGGTAGTATCCTGCCCCAAAAAAGGGTAAAGGGGGGTACCAACCTTTTTTCTGCTTTGTTCATTGTAGTAGGGGCACCCTCCCAACCAAAAAAGGGGAGAGAAGGGCAGTACTGGCGGACCTAGACACCCTTCTGGGCTTGTCCCCTAGAAAAAAACCCGCAAATGTCGTGTTTTCCCTAAAGTGTGGGTAGGGGGTTCAAAATTAGCCAATACCTGAAATATTGGACCGCAGGGTTGAGTCCGTTCCATTTAGGGTTCCATGGTGGGGTTACCCATTTTGGACCCACGGCCAAATCAACACCCAAATTGCTGACCTGGAAATATGGGACCTTTACTACAAATGGACCAAAAACCGAAAACCGAAAGGTCAAAAGCTCGATTCGCTTTGGGCACCTGAGGCAGGGAATGAGAATTGGAATGACCCCAAGAAGAACCATCCCTTGCTGGTGGTTCCCTTTGAGGGGACCAAAGCCTGGGTTCAGCCCCACAGTCCCTACTGAGCACCAGCAACAACAGTTGATCTAAAATCGCGGAAACCGACAGGAAAACACCCGCAAAAGTTGCTCATTGGAAACAATGTGCGGAAAAAGAAAAGCGAGTCTTTTGGGGGCCAGGGTCATATTCAAAGGGAATCACGGAGATCACTGCAAGTGAGCATGGCATGGGACAGGGTGCTGCAGGTCAGGAGGGAAACGATGCAAAGCCACTGGTGAAACCAAAAACCTTGCCCCCGGATAGAAAAGCAGCCCGAGCGGTCTTTTTCTCTCTTTCCACCTCTTCAAGATACGCGCGGACGGGCGCAAAGGCCTCCGCTCCGCAGAGAGCGTAGCTTAGCGTGGGTCGATGCCGCGGCTGTAGTTGTAGAGGGCGCCGCCCGGCTGCCACTCGGGGCCCTTGCGCTCGTGCACGGGCGTGGCATTGGTGGTGGGCCAATTGTACGGCGAGGTGAGATTCCGGCCGTTCATCCGGCTGCCAAAGTAGACCGCAGGCCCGTTGTCGAAGGCGAGGCTCTTCACTGTGGGGCGCCACTCCTGCGGCATCGCTGGCGCCTCCAGCTGAGTCTTGTCTCCGGGGTGGGCCAACCTCCAGGACATGGCGAATGGGCGGGAGTCGCGAGTTGCGATCGCGCGTGGCCCCAAGTTTGGTTGGCTTGAGCAGAAAGCAAGGAAGAAGACGAATTGGAATCATGCCAGGACACTGGTCAAACGGGCAACCCACCAAACAAAAAGAGTTGATGGGTTGCACTGAGCAACCGGATTGACAAAGGGGATGCTCAACGAAACTTTCAACCACTTTCACACAGCTGTAGATAGTTGAAGCCGTGAAGCCGTGGTAACCCCAAGCATACTGAAGCAAGCACGCGTGAATGACTGGTTGTTCGCCATACATGAATCCAAGGCCTCGGAGCAGGTGTCCCACTTGAGCGACAGTGAATGCTCACTTCACCGTTCTCTGACCTATCCGCAAACACAATAATTTCAAAACCAAGGGATGCTCTAAGGACCTACGTGGCTTCTGGTGGTTTCTCCTCCTTTCGTCCTTTCCTGTGGAGGCGCCTGAAAAGCTGTGTGCGGGGTCCACCCCTTCGTGCTCCAAGAGGAACCTTGGGTTCCCGGCCTCGTGTCAAAGGCATGTATGAACATAGAACAAGCGCGACAGCACTTCCAAGTTGCTCAGTGCCTATATGGGAAAGAAACCCTTTCGATTTCCGGGCTGATTCTCGGTGAGGGGTCACTGGACTTCGCATTCGCAAGTTGACATGTTGCTCGTAGGTTTGGACGCAAACGAGTCCAATTGCTACTTTAAGACGCCCAGCAAAGTGAAATCTACTCCTGCAGGGGGTTGCCCATCTGCAGGATGAGGCTTGGCAAAGGGGGCCCCCTAGCCACTCTGGAGAGTGAATCTGATTCGATGAGTCGGGAACCCAAATGGGTGCCCGTTCGAAGGAACGAGCAAACTTCAGAAAACAAAAGTTCAATCCCGCGGCCACCTGAAATCCGTGTGAGTCAGGCCTGGTAAGTTAAAGGGAAAACAAAGGGCCCCGTTTCTGGGTAATCCTCAGGCAAGAATTCCGCCGTTAGGAGGCAATCGGGGTCTTAAATAGAGGGTTTGGAAAACACAAACAGTGCATCTTTTCGGTTTCCTCTTTGGAGACAAGCAAGGCCAAAGAAATCTGTGCTGTTGATATCTCCATTGGGTTTCCTCCTGCTTTCTCTGCAACAAACAACGCCTGTGGCGCCTATAGTGCTGCGATCCTCCAGTACCAAACCGTGAAACCGCGCAGAAGAAAAACCGTGACTTGGCGACGTATTCCTTGGAGGTCTGCTTGGCAATCAGCAGCTCCCCACCGAGACAGGACAAGGTGTAGGCATGGTCCATCATCCTTGGAGTGAGTATTGGCATAGGTGTCCTTTTCGGGAAAGTAGACGGCCCTGGTCAATGAAATGAAACAAACATCTATTTCTAACCCAAATAACCTAAAACGGACACCTATGCATGAGTATTGGTAGTTACCCCCTTTTTCACATGGAAACGTTCGACGTTCCGGGGGGGTCCTGAAAGAAAACAAATCCTTTTCAAGGGATCGGGTTCCGAACGTCGAACGGTTCCATGTCGGAGGGTAGAAGGGCCCAAATCAACTGGGACTAAAAGCTTGACATTTTGATTGGACATTTGCAGTTGCAGGACTCAGACTTTGACGCCTTGACTGAAAGTCGCATGGATCACCCCTACCACGCCTCAGATAAATTTGGTCTAAAGTCTATATAAATCGCTGTCTCATGGATCACCCTTCCGGAACATTGCACTTGCATGGAGATCATCGCCTACTCCCCTCCCCCCCCAAAGACCTTTCACAGGATAGTAGCTAATAATCCTGGTTTTTTAGCAACATCTTGACTGTTTCTGCCGCCCTTCAGAACAGGACCAACCCACCAACCAACCAACAAAACAACAAACCAAACAAACAGAACAACAAACATGGTTAAACACAGTCCGACACTAAAACAAATCGGTCAGAGCATTTGGACAAACAATCACAGACTGGATATAAGGAGCCCTCCCAAACATTTTTGAGGTGAATTGAGAAGGCAAAACTGACCGAAGGAACTTCTTTTTTTTTTTTTTGGGGGGGGGGGGCGTCAACATGATTCTAGTTTTTAAGGAGTCTACCGCAAAAGGCATGCTGAAGAGTCAAGTGAGCGGCGAGCCCGCTCTCATATCTGAATCATTCCTGGGAAGCCCCACCGTCCGGAATCAGTTACAATTCTGGCGCAAGGGGCCAGTCGCCTCAGAGCATGCCAAATCAAGAGAAAGGGCTGATTTCCTGCAGGAATCTGGGGTCCTCAAAACATTGGCAGTTCAACATGCCACCGCCTTTTGGGCCAATGCTTGTCAAGCTCCTGGTCGGTTCTGTCATGTTTCAAGGGGGCATATTTAAGGAACCGTGGGACGGTTGCTTAAAAAGCGGACAGCGCCAGCTCAGCGTCGCGTAGTCTCAGTTGATAAGGGCTATGTGTTTGAGAGCATGCTGTAACACAGCGTCGCTTCTGAATGGAACGTGCCATGAAATCAGCCTGCTGGAAGTGAAGGTCGGTTCCCCGCAGAAAGGCGATAGCTTGACTCTGGGCTCACTGTGGAGAGACAAAATCCATTTCGCACCACCTAAGAAAACACACAAATGATTCGATTTCCCTGCAAATACCAACAATTCATGGTTTCCCATATTTAAAGTGGTGCGGAATGGATTTCGTCCATCCATAAGAGCTGTTCGGAAGGTTGGCTTGGACCCAGTTTTTCGCACGGGGCTGCCGCCAAAGCGTCTGGGCACCAATCGCGAAGCCCACTGCCTACAAGGGATGCACTTCTGTCTACCATGGCTGTGGTTGTCAAAATCGTCTTGGGATCCCAGTTTGGTTGGTTGGTGTACCCCACCCATTTTAGTCTATTTCTGCCATCTGTGGTTGTCAAAACCGTTTTGGGATCCCATTTTGGTTGGTAGGTGTACCCTACCCATTTTAGAACCTATTTCAGTGATTGGATTGGAATGTTCACTTGGGGGTACGATTTGGATTTTGACCCATGGTGACATCTGTGGTCAACCCGAAGGTGAACAAGTTGCGAGCGCATGCAAGCCATGCAAGCCACAACATGAAGCCAGCCAGAACATACAGGAAGTCCACCAACTGAACCCCCGCATATCTTTGGTGGTAGCTGGCTTCTCTGCTCACCCCGAACCGGCCAATTTGTCCTAGCATCACCCAGTACTGGAGTTATCCCTCAGTCAGGTTCCAGCTTTTGGGTACCTCCTTTTGGGTTCTGCTAATTTGCGGGGGTGTAATCCAAGAAGGGGTTGCTATTAACTTGGTTGCTGTCATCCCGTCTGCAAACAGCTTGAGTTGTTGTGGGTCCATTGGAAAGTCCGACCTAGTTCAACCAAAAAGTTAAAGTTCCAAGATCCGCTACCAACGGTTTTCCGAGAAGCGTCCAAGATGAGCAACCCGAACCGTTCTGCCAACTTACACTGAACCAAGGAATTCGGAAGCAGATCACTTCGTTTCAAGTCCACGGGCTAAACCATATGGGGCCTCCGCAAAAAAGAAACAAACATATCGGCCATCAGCTGTTGGTGTCCGGCTCCCTTTCAACCATCAGCTAGCCAAGTACTAGACAGTACTAGGCAACCATCCCTTCGGCCTCTCGTACCAGAGTGAGCCACAGCTCGATGGCGGATCGTCGCTGCTCGGGACTCATATCGGTCTCGAAGGCGAAAACGTTGCTGGGTAAGCCGCTCTCATCTCCTGGGGAAACCATTGGCCCACGCCCAAGAACTTCTCGAGAACGCCTTCTTTTAAAGATAATCAGAGCAGGTTTCTTGGCCCTTTCTGTCTTTCTTTCTGTTCTTTTTTTGTTTTTTTTTGGGGGGGGCTGATGAGACTGTCCAACCAACAAATGGCTTGGTACACAAATCTCTTTTGGACTGCTTTCGGCTGGAAAGTCTGGTGCGCTGGAAAGACTGTTTGCAGGCTAGGGTGTCAAAGTGACTTGACCCTTTCGGGCCCCGACAAACATGACACAAACATGTTGGAAGGTTTCAAAAAGGGTCCACGTCTTCTAACTCCCGATTGATTCTCCAAACAAATGCGGGAAATTTTGGCTGATAATATAATGGTCTCGAAGTGTGGCTAAAGTCCAGGATCTCAAGCCGTGAGTGTTTGCGAACGTGTCACTCTAGCAGCAACACTTCTCGGTAAAAATGCATTTGCTTGCTTGCTTCTGTGGATTTGAGGCTGCTTTCATTGTTCTATCTTGGGGGTTCCGATTTTTGACCCACCCTCCCCCTGAGTCCATACCACCCCACCCCGCTTCCGGACCGAACCGAGCGAAGCGGAGAGCAGGCCTCGCATGTCTCCGATCTGCAGCACCGGCTCGCTCATGGAGCTGGGATCTGTCCAGGTGTCCTTGCCCAGGGTTCGGCGAACATTGGCATCGTGAGAAACAGGCAACATGAGGATTTTGACCCCCTGGTTTTATTTATATATATATATATTTCTTACCCCTTAGAACTCCAAGCCCTGGGCAAGTTAATCTTTTACAGACATATAGCCCATGTTACCCAACAAGTTGAAAAGTTGTGTTTTTAAGAGGTAAGATTTAATAGGGGGGTTCCCCTCCAAAAACAAGTAGTCGCAGAAAAAACAAAAACCCCATATTAATAAACAGGGGGGTTGATTGATCTGTGGACGAAATGCATTTCGCACCACCTAAGAAGCCCTGGAATGATTCGATTCCCCTGTAAAAAAAAGCAAACGATATGGTTTCCCATGCTTCAAAGTAGTGCAGGAGTTCCTCCATCTACCGAAGGACCTGTCGTCTTACTTGCCACATCCAGTAGAGGCGGGTGTTTGAGACAGCTTTCACTTACAAGCCGTCCGAGCTTTGCGCAAATTGTGCATAGTGGGCCCCCCTTTCTAGTCGTCTCACCCTTCCTCCGGGTTGCCCTTGCGTTCTTGGCAGGGGCCCTGAGAAATGGAACCTGAACCATCCAGGGACTGGCGCCAAGGGACTGGCGCCACCGTGGGACAGAGACGACCGGAGGGAACCCAGCTGTAATGGTTGTCCATAAATTTACCAAAATGAAGCCCCCTATGCTGTTGACTGACAGCCTTTCCCATGAGATGCCAACCAACATGCCCAGCATTTTGACTCCAAAGTATATAGACTCAACTCATGGTTGACCCTTCAAGGCTGTCTGGGCTTATTCGTCCAGCCGGGTCGCTGTTCAAACCCACTGACTGCCTTAGAGGGTCCGCCCCAAATACTGCTGGAGGAGTGTAGAGGTGCCGGGTGCAGATTAGAAGAGCATTTGAGTTGCTGTGAGCATCAATGGCAGTTTGTTGTCTGCGAGGCAATAGTTTGTCTGCGAAGCAAAAGTTTGTCTGCGAAGCAATGCGACAACCACCATTTTGGGATTTCCCCAAGTGTTTTCAGAAACATCCAAATGGAACGCGCCTTTGCCAAGAACGCTCCGGAACCTGTGAGTAAGCGAGTACTGAGCTGCTTCAAAGCCTACCGCTGCCGCGCCAAAACCACATCTAGCAGCCTTCCTTTTGTTACCTCCATGACGCGGAAACGTAGTTCATAACGACCCATAGAAAAGAAAAGCTCGCCAACCAAAAAGGAAAGGAGCCTACCCAAGACTACGCGAAGCATTCAACGTGATTCTTGCCGCCCGATTTGTTTGGAACCCACGACCCTTCAACTTCCCGGAGGTCATCCATCCAAGTGGCGGACATCTGATGCAGGATGTCGCCCTGTCCGATGGTGAAAGGATGTTTTTGAGGGTGCACTGTTCACATTCTTGCTTGCTGTTGACCCCTCCACGAAAAATCACTTTGTGTGGGTCCAATGAAAATCCGACCTGTTTCCCGAAAAGTAGAAGTCCAAAGCTCCAGTTGGTCAGGGAAACCGAAGAACCATGGGTTTCCCTTTGACATTTCCCGTGGAAATACGGAGCCAAAGGACCATGACTGGCCGATGTCCAAAGCTATCCAAATTGAGTTAACAGGCTTGCTGCAAAGATCCGAACGGTGCCCTTCCCACTCACTCGAACTTTTTGGTTGCCACTGAAAAGGTCTTCCCAACGGTAGAAAGTCCAGCACCTCTTGTGGGGGTTACTTCTTTTTTTTCGGGGTAGCAGGCATGGCCACGTTCTGCGTTGCCGTGTTTTGCGAAGGGCGTAAGGTGCCTCGTCAAGAGCACCTCGTGAGCCAAGGGAACCTCAAACAGGTCGAGCCGAAGGGAATGTGATGGGTAGGCCGCATCCAGCCTGAGACGGCATGGCTAGACTCAAGGTATGCCAAGGGCGGCTTCACGTAGTGGGAACCCCAATAAAGCGTGTCCCATTTCAGGTTCTCTTTCTTTCTCCGGGGGGGGAGGATCCTCCAACTACTCCAGCAGGTTGAGCATTCCTAGGTTGAGATCAGCACGTGCCGTGAAACGAACTTCTTCAAGGGAATCCTCCAAAGCAGCTGGCAAAAGTAATAATTTAACAGGGCTGTTCTCAAGTCCACTGCTAAAGGTTTAACTGTTAGTGGCCTTTGTGGACTCTACCACTAATCCCTAAAAGGCTACAAGCCTAACGGGATGGCTGGGAACCACCAAGTTCAATGGCCCGAACTTATCCTTTAATAAAACCCTTTCGTTTCCCTTTCCGTCCCCTCCGGCGAGGGCCTCATGCCCAGTGTCCATGAGCCGTTTCGTCCACTTCTCTCGGTCGATGCTGTGGTTGGTGACGGCGTTGTAAACGTTCTCTTGCAGCATCAGCCTCGGGAAACTGCCGCACTGATTCCATTTACACTGCGTAGTATAGTAGGGCCGCCCTTTGGAAACAAAGCGGAACACATCTGGCCTGGGCTTACAACAACTTCCAAAATGGAAAACAAATCTCTCAAGTAAGGAGCCTTCATCATGGGTGACCTAGCTCTGCCCCGTATCTGGCTACTGCAGGCTCTCGCCGAAAGGTGGCAGCTGACCGCTGGCCCATAGGCCCCTGTCTGGTTTTACAACCAGGGAACCCTCCAAGTTTGCCTGCTGAACTTCATGTCCGACCTGGCCATTAGATGAAACCTCCGCTTGTAAAAGCACTCGCGAACAAAACCAGACATGCCACGGATCCCGCGTCGATGTATGCAAACACCGTGGTAGCTCAACCCTGAGAAGCTCCTCCTTATGCAGCTTCAGACCTCGAGTGGTCTGAGGAACACATCCGCCTTTGTTCTCACAGATCCCGACGTACCCCCCAACAAAATGCAGGGCATGAACCCGTATAAGGCGTGCGGTGAGCATGAGCCCATCCGGCCCATCCGGAGTCTTCGTGCGGGTCTCACCCTTCTGGTTCGAGACCCTGGTGGCAAGGGGGTCCTGATAGCCCAGCGAAGACTTGAACTGCACTTGACATAGGTGTCCTTTTGGGGCAAATAGATGGGTTTCGCTGGTAGATGAGAAAGAACCACCAGGTAAACCAGGAATCGCCATCTATTTTTTCGACCAACACAGCCAAAAAGGATGGTACTTGACCTTGAACAAGTGCACATCCAGGCGTTGTGAGATGAAAGGATAGGACAACGAGTGAGCCCCATGAATCATGTGCTCAAGACACTTAATGATTACAGAGTCCTAGGGCTGTGAGGATATCGCAATGGGCAACACATGCACTAATCACGCCGGCGGCCAAGAATATGAACGCCCTTAGTGGTGTCGGTGTGTGTGCTTAGAGGTTTGTGGTTGCAATACGCTTGCAAAGGGAAACATCAGTGCCCTGGAAGGAACACAGGACACTTGTGTGGTCGCTTCCATCGTGAACAAACCAGAAACGTAGACCTGAACAGCTGGGTCATAGGCATCCCCACCCTCAAAAGAAAAACCAGGGAAAGCTGCCCTTGATCTTGCTTCCCTTCTCTCAGCAGTCCCCCATCCCGTTCCCTCCCTTCCCCTCCACTGCATACACCTGGACGTGCACGCCAACCCCCCCCCCCCCCAAAGCCCTCCCCCCCGAAGGTGGAGATGGAGCGGGGGTTGTTGAGGCGCCAGTGCATGAGCTTGTCGTGCACGCTCTCTGTGTCTTTGATCTCCGGGTGCCAGTCCTGGCAAAGTCAAGGCACGATGTGGAGTTTTTGTGGCCCAAACAATGGCACAAAAAAAAAGCACAAAAAAAGGCGTGGAGGTCAAACAATCGGTTGGACAAATGGCGCCCCCGAAAGCACGCGTCGGCTGTGCAACCCGCTCATCGGACCCCCTGCAAAGGTTCCAACTCTCCCCCAAAAAAGGGGTAAAAGAGCACTACTGGAGGACCTAGATAAGATCATATGTCAGGCCCCTTGGATGGCCTTAAACTTCCCCAGCTGCGCCGAGAACCGCTTCCGTCCGTCTTACGTCCTGGGGATCGAAGGAGAAATCCCCGGCTTCGCACTTCAAGACGTAAAAGCTGTAGCCCAGCAAACGCAGCAAGGCCTCGAAGCGAGGTGACTCAGCGCCTAGAGAGGCTGGAATAAGGGCACCCTTTTTTCTGTGGTCTATGTTTCTGGGGGAAACCTCCCAAAAAAGGAAAAAAGTCTCACTACTGGGAGAACTAGCAAAGTATAAGCCAAAGTGAGACCAAAGGGGGCCAAAACCCAAGGGAAACTAAAGGGGAAGCCAAAGGAAAACCACTGACCTGAAGATCACATTGTCGGAAAAGGGCGGTTCCATTTGTGGAAATCCCCTTTCTTCCACAACGCTTCCGGGACAAGCCTGACAGTTTTGCAAGAAATGCTTCCCAGAGATGACGCGGAAGTTGCATCGGGGGGCCTGCCGATGGGGGCCAAGATGCTCAAGGGGAGGCTTATCACCTCCTTCTTTGTGTCACACAAACCGGTCAAAGCCTCCAGCATCAGACAGCGCAGATGTTCATCCTTCATCTTCCGAAGCTACCAAGGGAAGACCCCCCTTCGTGAGGCGAAGCGTTTGCCATGTTAACGGCTAGGGCACCAGAGACACTACCTAGTGTCTTCAAAATGGGCCATCTCAGTGGCCAGGGACATCGACATAGCTCGATTTACTCTTGGCGACGCCCCAACCTGGCCGCTAATGCGGTCGAACACCCAGATCACACATCGCTTTGCCATTGGAACCTCCCACACTTGCTGACCACAAGCAGCACAACAAAACAAATCGAACCGCATGCCCCGCAAAACAGACACACAAACAGAAACACACATACAAACGCACGCCGCAACCACACCCCACAGGCCCGAATTACTCCAATAAGCAGGTGCCATATCTCTGTATGGCTCTTTCATTATATATTTTTTAGAAGGGGAGGGGCTTTCCCGCTTGGAAACCACTGAATTTGATTTCAAGAGCATTAGCAAATGGGAATGTCTGTTGTTTTGAGGGTACCCCTGCGGGTTTGGAATAATTCAAGGGACATCAAAGGAACACCATTTGGGGGCCCTAACAAAACAAAAACCCAAACAGGAATCTCGCAAAATGTCATAAGATTGCGGGCACTCCTTTTTTCCTCACTGGAACACATCTGGCACCCACGTTCTTTTGGTGTCATCTTGCGAGACATGGCCAGTTGTAAGGAGGAAGTAAGGGGAATTCCGTGATTTTCCCGTGGTCTGGTTGGTTGGTTCATCTACAACACGTGGAGGGGTTCCCCGAGCTCCGAACGCAGCACACATGAAACCAGCCCCAAAGACCCCGAGACAACTCGCCACAGCGCAATGGCCTCCTGCACCACTTTGAAACCATGGGGAACAACTCTGCGGTATTTACAGGGGAATGAAATCATTCCGAGATTCCTCACGTGGTGCGAAATGGATTTCGTGCATCCACAGTTGCAAGTGGGGGGGGGTCCTTTTCCTGACATGCAAAATGTGAGGCTTCAGGCTTTTCCTGTCATGTCCGCGGCACCTGCGCACATTCTGGCACGAACGCCACTGAGCGAATCTAAGCCCACCACGGCATCCACGTGCAACTTTACGGCACGTATCTGCTCCTGCCGTGCGAATCTGGCAACATGCCACGGCAGGGTCCTAGCACATAAACACACTATCTGGAATTGTCTGTGCCACATGCGTCAAGCAGATCAAACGTACCTGGCATGTCCCAAATCAATTTGGGGGCCGCTTGGGACCTCAAGAGTTCCAGCCAGCCACCAGGAGTTCTTAGCGCACATGTTCAACCAAGCGTGCTGTCAGTGCTTTGGCTTCACCGGACTTCCAGATTGGCACAAGTCAGCACAACGTAAAGCATTGCAAACTTCGGTGCTGCTTCCAAGCACATCACACAGTACGAAGTGACTCTGGTCCATAAAAGCCAGCGAGTCGCCCCAGCTTCGGCGAATGACATTCCCCGTGGGCCTAGACATCAACTTACCCCTTAAAACTCCAAGCCCTGGGGAAGTTAACCTTTTACAGACATATAGCCCATGTTACCCAAAAAGTTACGAAACGTTTTGCGTTTTTAAGAGGTAAGTCAAACATACCTTCAACTCGTGAGGAAGTTTTCACATGGCCAGTTCAAAGGTCCGAGAGCTTGCCGAGCTTGCAACTGGTCCCAGGACCATACGCCACCCGAAAGCACCATACGCCACCCGCCTGAAGGGCAATAACTTGATGAGGAGCAATCAACATCCCTTCAATTGGTGGTGTGTCCTTAGGGGTGGTTTCTCATGATTTACCCGCCCTGTACAAGAACCAGGGGTTCAAGTCCCCAAACCACCAATCCAAACCACAAACTAAGGGTTACCGGAACACAAATAGAGCTTCTACTTTAGAGGTCGCTGCGGATCTATGAGACACACTTGGCGTTCAGCCCCAAGTTGATGCCAGAGGGACCCGTTCAAGAAGGAATCAGTTGCTTTGAGGAACCCCCAGGTAACAAGGTGTATGAAGCCTGGGGCATTCTTTCAGAAGCTTACAGTTTTTGAAGGGGGGGCCCCAAGATAGGTCCCTTCATCAGTCGTTGGGGTCGCAAACTAAAGGCCCTTGCGAGGCTATAGGTCGTGTCGGCAAAAGGGTTGGGCTCCCTTTAGTTTCCATACAGCAGCAGCCAATACGAGTTTCCTAAAAATTGCCGTCTGTGCCCGTTGGTCACCACCTCTGGGTGGCACCAGAGCAAGGGATAGATGGATGGCAGTGCCCTGAAAGCTCGTTCGAACGAATTGGAATGGAGTGACGTACCCCTCCCACCCTTTTCAAATGGAACCTGATGTTCGGGAGGTCCTGGCTCGGACCAATTTTCCTTTCAAAAAAAACGGGACGTCCACAGGGCCGTGGGAACTGTTCACTTCCGTGCACTGTGATGCCACTGAAAGGCCTACCCAAAATCAAACTCCTGATTTAAAGGGAAGCCTCCCTGACATGAGGCTACATTTTCACAACCCTGTTCGCACCTCATTCCTGCAAACCTGTTCATTCTTAACCCATATCCTAACGAAGTGGTTGAAAAATGCCCGCGAAGACTCCTAACACCCTGTCCCTTTGCTCGCGAAGTTCCGTCCTGCAGCTTCTGCTGGGCTCGGAAAGCTGGCCATAAGCTCCTGAGCGGAAAAGTCGCCGAATTCGCAAGCATATGGATGTGTCCCAAAATAGGAGGATAAACAACATGGTGGCTGCCTTCTGGGTTACTTTTCAACCAAGGCGGGCAAGGTACCCTCGAAAACAAGAAAATCCACATCATCCACCAACCTTTTGTATAGCCTTGCTGCAACCTTGTTTGCTTTCTGGACCAGTGCTTCGGAGACAAATCAGCTGACCAGCTCCACAAAATACTCGGGCCTCTGTGTCAAGAAAACCTTCAAGTCCAACCGAGATTGCCTTTTCAACACCCCAAAATCCTAGGTATCCCGGTAAGCCTTTTGGCCCTCACCGGCAAAAGCGCCTCTTGACTGTAGCGGAAGCGTGCGATTGGCCTGCGATACTGTTGTCAAAACTCCTTCGGCCGTTCGCGAGCTGCGCGGCCAAAAGCCCACAAAAAAGTGAGCTCTTCGCATCGTCGAGAAGTGTAATAGCAAACTGCTCTGGGAACAAGGTGGCGGCTCATATTCTTCTCTCTGCCTTACCCCTTAAAACTCCAAGCCCTGGGGAAGTTAATCTTTTACAGACATATAGCCCATGTTACCCAAAAAGTTGGAAAAGTTGTGTTTTTAAGAGGTAAGCTGATGTCAAAAATAGAACCGCGGACGGCATCTTAGCTACACCCCGCCTGCCCCTGTTCCGTGGTTTTTGGAGGGATCTCCCGTGGGAATTGGGGAAACTCATTCCGTCACCCTTGGATTCATCCAGCTATCTTTAAATCTTCCCAAATACAGATTATATAGATACATATAAATATATATATATATATATTATGTACACTAAGTATATATTATACATGCTATAGTATATTATTCATAGATATGTCGATAAGTTGGCTCACACATGGTTAAAACCGCCTGGCTTGAGTAGACGCCGAGGTGCACGATCTGTCCGAGCTCTTCCTTTATTTTCACCTAAGCAGAAGGGCTTCACCCCATCACCCAAGGGCTTCACCCCCTTTTTCGGATCCCCTGCTCAACGTGACTAACTTTAGTGGGCTAACTAGAAAACTTACTAAACCCAAACAACCTTTGGGGGGTATGGGTGCAGGCGTCAAACTAGAACAACGGGTCCCACAAATGGCGCTGCTTGCGCTGGTTGCGGTTCTAAAGGGAACGAGAAACCTTTCACCACTCTGGGTAATGACACGCAGCTTGCCCCGCTGAACTGGGGTGAGGCCTCCCGACCCACAACCGCCCCTGCTCAGTGAGGAGGACCCCCCCCCCCCTCAAGCTCATAAAGGAGCTAAGTCGAGTAGCAAAAGGGATGGCACATGGTCAAAAGATGCTAACAGGATGCGTCGATTGGGACCTGGTCACTCGCTTGGGTTGCCAGGGTGTGGATACCGCAAGATTGGACACTTGCCAAACCCTGGCATGTGAGCCCAGGACTTGGTCTTCAATCAGCCAAGGCCCACCAAGCATGGAGCAGAACCAAACAATTTATCACGATTTTGTGGCCTAAGCCGCCATGAGACAAAATAGATCCAAGGACCCTTGATTTTGCTGCCCGAGTAGCCATCAGCGCAAGGAACGGCCGATACTTGTGCATTCCGATGTTGCAGCGGGTGATGAAGCATTCAATGAGGTTGATGCGTGCGCCAACATCGTTGATCACCTCGGATTGGCTGGTTGGTTGGCTGGCTGGCTGGTTTGGTTGAGTTGGTCGGCTGGTTTGGTTGGCTAGTTGGCGGGTTGGCTTGGTTGGCTTGGTTGGTTGGTTGGTTGGTTGCTTGGTTGCTTGGTTGGTTGCTTGCTTGGTTGGTTGGTTGGTTGGTTGGTTGGTTGGCTGGTCTGGTTTGGTTTCTCTTTCTCTCCCTCTCTCTCGCTGCACCATGGCTGGTTTGGCTGCCTGGTTTGGCTTGGTTGGTTGGCTGGTGGTTGGTTGGCTGGTGGCTAGTTGGCTGGTGGCTGGTTGCTTGGTTTAGTTGGTAGGTTGCGGGGTAGGTAGCTTGGTTGGGTGACTGCAATTCAACCTGGGTCTAACCGCGGAGTCTGAGACTTCAGCCAAGAGAAACCATTGCAACGCAGCCATTCCCCGGCGACAAAACAACAAAAAGTCACTTGGCCTACCGAAATCCAAGTAAGGACACATTCCGCGGCAGCTATTTCTGGCGGTCCCATAACATTTGAGCTCTCACCTTGCTGGGTCGCACTCGATTTCCCCGTCTAGCCTTTACACACCTGAAGCAAACAAACCAACACATACACACACACATGCATCCTGAGTTGATTCTCGCATCTTTCAGGGGAGGATCCAAGCCTTTTTCACAACCAAGGCAACGCTGAGGAGCGCCTTTTGGCAATGTTGTGAAACACCAGCGAGCAGCGTCTATTGTGCTGGGACCTCCTCTACCCAAAATGTTGGTCAAACGTTTGCTAGGCATCGGAGTTGTAGGGTCAGGTTGCAATACGGGTTTGCCCCCGCTGGCTTTCTGTCCCCGGAAAAAGAGGTACCCTCCTAAAAAGGTAACTACCGTCAAAACCACCTAAGCGCACGCACCCTAACCATTTGCCGGGAGAAAATGTCGGATTCTTTCAGCAACCGGGGCCCAGTTTGGTTGAGGCTGTCAAAACATATCCTCAAACTAGGACTGGTTCTTGGCTGATCTTTACCTCCATTTGCTTAAGCCCCCCTGGAAAAATAAGAGCAAACTCGTGAAATCGATCCCCTTGAACACCAATAGGGGAAACACAAGTAACAAAAAGAACAAATCATTTCAGCAAATGGAAGTTTACACTCAGATGCTCGGGGAGCACGGGGAGAAAGGCCTCCGTTTTTTGGTTGGTTGAGTCTGACGGGGAACCCTTTCCCAGTGCAGGTGGCAATACCAAGGAGGGTTCCGGATTCCTTTCCCAAGTGCAGGCACCTTGGGAAGGCGAGTCCAGGGCTAAGGCGCCAACTGATTCCCAAAAAGGTCGGGGTGACGTCGAAACCGTCCCCCAAAGTAAAAGACTCGAGCCGCCCCCGCCATCCCTCCCTCCCCAGAAAAAGAAAAGAAATAAGAAGATGCAGCCACACCACCCCCCCTCCAAAACAAACAACAACAAAAGCACAAAACCAATGCAAGGACGTCCGTTTCGTTTTCAAGTTGCGTCAGAAGTGGGGTTCATCTGGCCCGCGAGCTTCCGCACGAAGTGGTGGAACTCGTTCACCACCAGAGCCGCCGCCGCCTTTTTCGCGCCCCGAGGGCCGCTTCGCCGGTCGACGGCGGATTCGGTTTCCGGGAAGGACCTGAAGTAAATCAGCTTCCCTCTTGGTGGCTTGGATTGGTGGTTGGGGGATCTGAACCCCTGCATTTCGTAGCGGGGTAAAAAGAAATCACTTCCTAAGCAACTTGGAGGAAGCTGAAACTAGAATTGGAATCCCAAGTGCAACTCTTAATATGAGGTCGGCTTGCCGTGTTGGTTGGTTTTGGTTCAGGGCCTCTTTTGGATTCGGGTTAGGGTTGGTAACACACCTGCCCTTGCTTAATAACACCCTAGACTAATATAGACGGATGTTTTTAGGTACCGTTCTCCCCAAATCATTGGACCCCCTACTGGTTGAAAGGGCAACTGAAGAGATGCAGGGCAACAAGTCTAAGTCAGCTCGGTCTGGCAACTTTTTTAGGGTGAAACCCACATTTTCCGGTATATACAAGACGAAGCATTGACAGCCAAAGACCAGTAGATTGGATGTGGACACTATGGATGCTGCCTTGTGCTTGTGACCTTGTATTCTTGTCAACTGTTTTCTCTAGCTTGCTCATGCTGGTCCGGCGAGGCCTCTGGCGACAGGCCCGGGGCTATCAGGCACTTCAAAACGAGGGACGTCGCAACTACTCCATGTAAGGTGGGTAGCAATGGAGTGAAATATAGCCTCCCTGACCTTCGTTTGTACACATCCTCCGAAGGAAAGAGACCTCGTCACTGATCCTGTCCCAAGCCGAGAAAGCGCTCACGAAACTTAATGTTGGGGAGTACTTTGCCCTCAGGAAAGCATGCGGGATTCTTGTGGTGGACCCCCAAACTGGATAATGTTCCAGGCTTCAGTTTAAAGGCACCAGACATGAGGTACGGTACTCTCCAACAAAGGACGAGCCACCCATATTCCACCTGGCTTAGTTTCAGGCGCTCGGCTTGGCATTTGACACGTGGATGGCAGGGCCCTTGCATGGTGGAGCCATTTTATGAGCTCACCCGAGTGGATTGGCCAAACAAAGTAACCAAACTTTTTTCCGAGGCCGCTAAAATGGAATCCACACCCAGTGACTAAAGTCCGAAATGGAACTCAGCGAGGTCCTCCAGTAGAGAGGTTAGAATAAGGGTACCCTTTTTCCGTAGTCTATTTTAGTAGGGGAACCCGCCCTCAAAAAAGGGTAAAAGGACACTACTGGGGGACGTAGTAAGGTTCCCTTGCAGGGCGTAAGGGCATCTCCTCAAGCCTTTGCCACCGCATCTCTGGCCGGGCCGCGTGACGGTCGTGCGGTGTGTCCTGGCACAGGCCGTTGTCTGAGGAAATCTCTGGGACACTCCATTGGGCCCCGGCTGACTTTAACTCCCCAAAACAGTCAACGTAACGTCTTTGGGATGCTTTTTATTTGGGGTTAAGGTCAGAAACTGGGGTTGGCTCCCTTTAATCTACCACTTGGTGAGTTTGAGCATGGTAAGGTTATGGGATCGGTTCCATCGCCTGGAGAATCATCGCAAGCCAAAGCTAGAGGTCTGCGGGGGGAAGGCTGTGGGCGGGTAGGTGGGCGCAAGGAAGTTTGATTCCTGGACAACTTGAACAATGCCAATTGGACATCACCGTGAACAACACCAATTGGACACCACCGCTTCAAAACCTGCAAAGAAAGACTAAGCACATGCAGAAGCCGAAATGAACTTCCAACCAAAAAACAAAAGCTAAAGACACGCTGAGATGATGTCAGCCGTTGGGCCATGCGGCTGACCGTAGCAAATTCGCAACCCCAAAAAGGAAGTCCCAAGATCCCTCGAAACATGATGGTAGCTTGAGTTCCATGTGGGCCTGTCTTTCCAGGGTACCCCTTTTTCGTGGGTTGGAAATCAACAGGAGTGCCGAAAATTCTACTTTCTGGGGCTAAAACAAACGAGCCACACATGACCTGCGCGATTTTTTTGTTCGAACTGGACCCCCAACAACCAGAAGTGTCCTTTCAAAACCCAACCTGAGGGCACCAGCTGATCGTGCCTTCCACTTTCCACCATCGAACCCCTCAATTGGGAGAACCATCGATGGGGTTCCCTGGTCAATGAAACACAAAACCCGAGTGTAAACCAGTGGTACCCGTCTAACCAAACTAACCTAAAAAAGACACCTATGTCCAAACGAATAGCCATCTACTTTTAACCAAACTAACCCAACAAGGACACCTATACACCAGTCCCTTTGTACTGGCTTCGGATTTTCGCGCATGCGAACTCCCTGGTCGTTTCGGAACGAAAAGCCCTGCCTCATGGATCTCTGTGAGCTTGAAGTTTCTCAGAGTCACCGAGAGGCCTCGGGGCAAGCAACGCGCCAAAGGAAAGGGTGCGCGAAAGGAGCGAGAAAGGAGTTGCCCGTGTTTTTTTGTTGTTTTCTTGAAGGAGTTCCTCGCCTGTTTTCTTGGCTTTGTTCTTTCTTCTAGGGGTACCTTCCCCATTCTTTCCAGGGATCCTTCTTTTCAGGAACCATCAAAAACCCGAGGAAACAGCCGGTTTTGAAAAGAACAATGGTTGAATAGAATGGGGAATCAACCCCGGTCGTAGATTTCTTCTTTCTTCCGAGGCCAGCGGCTGCAAAGATGTAATGTGAGACACCCCCCATGCCATATGCTCCAAAAGCCAACTGTGGCACTTGGTGTGCTTTAAGCAATCTCCTGTTGGCACATCAAAACCACAAGTGCGTCAAGTGCGTCTGGAGGCAACTGGTTTTAAGCGGGAAAGAAGTGCCGATTGATTGCCTGATCGCAGTTTGAACCCCCGATGCTTCCTTGTCAAGTCTAACGCTGCGGATGGTTGCGAAATCCAATTCGCACCGCCTAAGAAACCCGGGAATGGTTCGAACCCCTTGTAAATACCAATCACCAATGGTTTCAACCATGGCTTCAAAGTGGTGCAGGATTTCGTCCATCCACAGTAGCTCATGTCCTTACTCAAGCTTCTTTGCATAGAAAGCTTGGCTCCTTTCATGGCTCATTTGTCCAATCTTGGCTTGGCAATAGTAACCCCTAGGCCATAATTGTCACTTGCAGATGCCAAAGCCATCCTTGGTCTCAGTCGGAATCGACCAACCAACGCAAGAAAACACGGACTCCTTGTTGGTTGCCCACCTTTTCCCTGTGGCCCCTGGGGTTTTCCCCCGGGAAAACGGGGCCGCTTTTCCGTGTAGCGAGCGGCTGTTTGCCTCCTTGCCGATGAAGCCGATGGAGTGGGGGTCCGGGATGTGGATGTCCTCTGAGCTCGGCTTGGTCGCTTGGGGATCGCCGTTCAGTTGGCTTTGAAAAGAAGCCGGCTTTAGGGCTCTTTGGGGAACCCCTTTCAGATAAAAAAAAAAAAATCAGACATCTGAAGGAGTTCATCTGGAGAGATCCCTGATCGGAGACAAACCCTTTTACATCCTTGCATCCTTTTTCTAGAGGCGCGCAGCAAGAGCGGGAAACCCGGATGCCCTTAACATGCAGGTGGAACCAACAATCATGCGGTTCTTTCATGGCGCCTAGTGGCGACATAGTTTAGAGAAATCTGGAATGCAGAAGGAAGCACCCGAACCAAGTCTTTCGCAAGACTGCACCACACACACATAGCTTCCACCACAAAAATGTCATAAAGATCCTTGGGAGGTCTGTAGAACACATGTTCGTGGGTGGAAGCTTGCAAGAAAAACAACACATGGAGAGTTGTGTCGAGCCGATTTTTATTCAAAGACTGTTGAGGCCTGGTACATCTCACGGGACTCTTGCAGCCTCACCGGTTGAAGCTACAGCTCACAAACCTGAAATAGAACATCCCCAAGGAAGGAAGCTTCAACCTGGATGTGGGCATCATGACATCCGTGAAGGTATTGTAACTCACCCCGGCATCATTGCAAACACGACGCACGGCTAACATCACTCACATCAGCCCAGCCGAAACCTCAGAGCAGGCATGGGTTCTCACAAGTTTCAGCTGTTCCGGCAGCTCGTCAACTTCAGTCAGATGGTGAACCCGTCTGGCCAGCTGAGCACAACCACTGGCTGTCTTTGCTTAAGCATCTGTCTAGCAGGCGGCTCTGCTTCAAGTTACCCCCGCAAAAAGAAGAAGAAGAGACAACAACAACAGCAACAAGTACTTGCGTGCCCTAAGGCTCGTGCAAGCCTCCCGCTTCACCAGGGCAATTCTAACCAGCGGTCTATTCACCAGGGCCTGAAAGAGCAAGAGGAGTCGCTCTAATTACTAAAGAGCAACATGCGCAGAGTCCATGCTTCTTTTGGGACAGAATCTTGGAGGTGCAGAACCCTGCTGGAGGCCAGCCGTCTTCGCACTCTTCTTGAAGGCAAGTGCAGTACTGCCTGATGAGATTGAGCCTAGGGCCCGGAACAACCCATATTGCAGGTAAAACAGTCAATGCACAAATACGGTTGTGTCTTCACACCTCTTGGCCCCCGCCAGGTTTAATGATTTCCCCGAGGTCGTCCTTTAAAACAAACCCAAAAAGGTGGAACCCAAAGCCATTCATCCGGTCCCGGGTTCGCTAGCCCGAAACATGTCCATTGATTTTGTTTCAACTGGGTTCCCAATGCAGGATTTCCCACCCCCAACAGAAATTGTTGACACCTCAAAATGCGGCCCCCACTCTAGGGGACCCGTTTGATGCCTTGTGTCAAGTGAGTCACCCGCCTTTTTGCGGCCATCAAAAGGCCCCAGAGGACTTCCGAGTGTCGGAGTGTGTGACCGGGAAGGCAGCCCGGAAGTAGTTGCCTTCAAAGGCGCCAAAGAAAAAGGTGAACATGCTGTTTCTCACTTAACTGCCCGACTCTTTGCCCATTCCCCTCCTGGTCAAGCACCAAAACTAGAAGTTGTTTTTTCAATTTAGTTCTAGTTGTTTTAAGAGTAGTCGTCCGTATGCCCCCAACATCCCTCCTGATGATATATGTTTTCCTCCACAATGCACAAGACCAACCCAACCCAGTGATTCCATGTTCCATACGGTGGATGGTTGTGAAGTCCATGTTGCACAATGAAATGACACCATGGGAGATCTGGGTTGGTTGGGATTTACGCGGGAATTGTTATCCGAGGGTTTCTTGGGCGGTGCAGGATTTCGTCCATCAACCGCAGGGGCCTAACTAATTTGGATGCGGTTGTGGGGCACGTTGCAGCCAACTTTAACCATGATTAAATCAAAGGAGTAAACTATCTATGAGATTATCAGCAACAATTCAGTCGGTGGCACTACTCCTCACGCTGGGCATCTTAGCAAAATGTGTTGTTCGGTGCAGGCCCCCCGCAAGAAAGAGAACAGAGCCAAACCATAAACTTAAACAGCTGCCAAAAAACAAAAACATGTATCCCCGACGTATACTTCTTGGAGAAACGCACCAACCGAAGAGGGAGGGTGTCACCTATCCCCGCTTCAACATGACTCGATTGAGCCTGTCAAAAGCTTCCCTCAGCCCGCCCATATCCGCGGAGTGAGATTCTCTGAACTAGCGCGTTCTGAACACCAGAAAACACAAGTCGCTTAATTGTCTTTGAGCAAGCACAGAGATGATGGGAATGATATGTCTAACATCCCGGTACATCGTACAAATCGACAGAATCAACACAAGCCAAGAACCAAACCAAATACCAAGAACAGCGTATGAACTGGCAGTCTGAAAAAGGCACAGCCAAAAACAAGTTTGGCTTTCCGGACGAGCGGCCCATCCATCCATGAGACTGTTCCACCTTGAAGGGCGCGATCTCAGGGGGCATAGGTACGATTCCCAGGTGTTTGTACCTGGGACGAAAAGCCGGGTTTGGGGACAAAAAGGCGTGTGTGTGTGTGTGTGTGTGTGTTTCAATATCCCCCCCCCCCACCCACAAAAAAACACACACATGGTGTCCTTTTGGTGGCCCAAACAAAACAAAACAACATCACCCTGAAACAAACAACATTTGGCATTCCCTTGGTGTCTCTTTAAGGGTAAAACGGTGCCACAAACCGAGCACTTCCAACCCCCCCCTCCCTTCCACACACTAAGTGCTAAATATGTTCGGACCTGAGTTGCAAAAAAAGACACGGCATCCCCTTTCGGCTGCCGCGAAAGGCACGTGTGCCATCTTGGTTGCTGTTGACCCCGCAAGTGGCTCACTTGCTGGGATTTCAACCAGCTCAAGTCCAAAGATCCGCCCAAATCGGCAGATTTCGCCACTCGGGTCGCAGATTTTGGCTCAAGGGAACACATATCGTCTTGGGAGAGGCTCTCGGGCACCTCCAAGTACCCCTGGTCTTTGCAGCCTTTTGCTAGGGTCTTCAGATTTCCCGACTACTGCAATGGGAAGTTTGATGGCCATGGCACTGCAAGGTTTTGTTCGTTGCAAAAGGGAGGTAGGTATATGTTATTATGAACTTTGCTTTCCAGGGCCGGTTTAGGATCTCCTTCGGGGAAAAAACCAGGGCTCTGAGGGGAAGCTGGGCCCCAAAAAGCGCAAGAACCCAAGCCTGAAGGTTGGCGCCAGTTGCCAGCTTTTCTGCAACACAAACAAAGCATCCACGCACGAAACGCTTGCCGCCTCCATCTGCTCATGTCCCCTGAGCCTGGAAAAACAATATCCGGTAGTGATAGGTTCCCTTCAAAACACAACATATTCTTATACGAAGTAAAAGTTGGGAAGAGAAGAGTCATTTACCACTTGAGACGAGACTGGGAAGGGAAGGGACCTAAAACGGCTCAAACAATGTATTCCAGGCACTCTGACCTATTTCTTTCAATGCTTCTTCTATAGCAACTGGACCCAGGGACTAAAACAGGCCCAACATACATGACCTCAGTCTGGCCTTCGAACATGTCTCCTCCAGATCTCTATGACACATTTCTTTAATGAAAAGACACCCCTTGCAGGCACCTAGGTGACCTGGGCATGGTTTTCGTTGTTTTTGGTTCTTTAAAAAACCTCCCCAAATGGTGGTGTCTCAATTCCCAACTCGCCCCCCCACGCTCGGAAAAGAAGAAGAAAACCAACAACATCACATCCAGTCAGCTGGAAACACATTTAATGCCTTTTGCCTTTCGAGCTGTAGCTGTTTGAGGCTCCCGACACTCCGAGGATTGGGGGGGTGGCATCCTGAGGGACGAGGGGCTGACTCATAGCCCCGCCTCCCCATAGCCATCGGTGGGGTCCATGAGTGACACGTGGGACCCAAAGCTTCGCGCTGGAGACTCACTGCCGATCGAGTGGATTGGATCCAAGAAAAGTATTGCGAAACTTTGTGTTATGGTCCAAACCCAAAAGGCGACTAAAGCCCAGGAACTCAGAAAGTGCGTCACATAAATGCTTCTTGAATTCCATCTGCTGGGTATCTCAGATTCCCCTTCCCAAGGGCATTGCCAAGGGACCTTTCTGGGGCTAAGTAAAGGCATGTTTCGCTCCACAAAACCCCATCGGTCCGCTCAGCTCGAGTTTTTTCAATTGCTGTTTGTAATTAAGCCAGAAGTAACTTTTTATTTTCCCATTTTCTAGGGGTTCATGCCAGGGTTTTATCCACGCGCATTTTTATTTAGCCTTTTATTTTTGGTTCTGCTTTGAGTCGCATGTCATTGATCTCCCCGATGAACTCCGCCTCCTTCTTGTGCAAATGCCATCCATGAAGCTTGTCTTGTTCTTCGCCCCCTACGGCCTCGCCAAAGAAACTCAGAACTACAAATTCATGTGGGCTCCCGAAATTTCCCCACGCATCACACCATGAAGGAACCCAGGTGATACTTACAGTGGCTTCAAAGGCAAATGAAGGAACTCCCTGACTGAGGCTTTGTGGGGTGACCCATGTGCATCTGTGCAGGGGGGGGGCTAGGTAATATACTTAACACCCGGGCCATCTACTTTTCCAAGCTGGGAAAACGAGCCCAAACAAACAACACTCATCAATGCTATGTTTCCCTTTGGTGCGCACCCTTTTTGGGATGCAACCCATTTAAGGACACAACCGTTTGGGGATACAACAACCGTTTGGGGATGCAACATGATACACCCTAACATGGCCATGGGAATCAATGGCACTACGTAGCCAATGGCACTAGCCAATGGCACCTCCCCCAACCCAAAAAAACACATGGCTGTTTCCTCTTTCGTTTCCATCAAACAAGGGGTGCGCAAAACCACACACACACACGAACACACACACAAACACACAAACACACAAAACACACACAAAACAAACACAAAACACACACAAACACACAAACACACACAAACACAAACACACAAACACACACAAACACACACAAACACACACACACAAACACACAAAAACACACACACAAACACACAAACACACACACACACAAACACACACACACACACAAACACACACGCAAACACACACACACAAACACACACACAAACACACACACACACACAAACAAACACAAACAAACACAAACACACACAAACAAATACAAACAAACACAAACAAACACACACACAAATACAAACAAACAAACACAAAAACAACACAAAGAGACACAAACAAACACAAACAAACACAAACACACACACACAAACAACCACAAACAACCACAAACAAACACAAACACAAACAAACACAAACACACACAAACAAACACAAACAAACACAAACAAACACAAACAAACACAAACAAACACAAACACACACACAAACAAACACAAACAAACACAAACAAACACAAACACACACAAACAAACACACACACAAACAAACACACAGAAACACACACACACAAACACACACAAACAGAAACAAACACAAACAACCACAAACAAACACACACACAAACAAACACACACAAACAAACACACACACAAACACACACACACACAAACACACACACAAACCACACACAAACACACACACACACACAAACACACACAAACACACAAAACACACACAAAACACACACAAAAACACACAAAACACACACAAACACACACACACAAACACACACAAACACAAACACACAAACACACACAAACACACACACACAAACACAAACAAACACAAACACACAAACACAAACACACACAAACACAAACACACACGCAAACACACACACACAAAAACACACACAAACACACAAACACACACAAACAACCACAAACAAACACAAACAAACACAAACAAACACACACACACAAACACACACACACAAACACACACACACACACAAACACACACGCAAACACACACACAAAAACACACACAAACACACAAACACACACAAACAACCACCAACAAACACAAACAAACACAAACAAACACAAACAAATACACACACAAACAAACACACAGAAACACACACACACAAACACACACAAACAGAAACAAACACAAACAAACACAAACAAACACACACAAACAAACACACACAAACAACACACACAAACACACACACACACAAACACACACACACACACACACACAACACACACGCAAACACACACACAAAAACACACACAAACACACAAACACACACAAACAACCACAAACAAACACAAACAAACACAAACAAACACACACACACACAAACACACACACACACAAACACACACACACACACACACAAACACACACGCAAACACACACACAAAAACACACACAAACACACAAACACACACAAACAACCACAAACAAACACAAACAAACACAAACAAACACACACACACACAAACACACACACACACAAACACACACACACACACACACAAACACACACGCAAACACACACACAAAAACACACACAAACACACAAACACACACAAACAACCACAAACAAACACAAACAAACACAAACAAACACAAACAAACACAAACACACACACACACAACAAAAAACACACACAAACAAACACACACACACAAACACACACACAAACACACCAACACACACACACACACAAACACACACAAATACAAACAAACACAAACAAACACAAACAAACACACACAAACAAACACACACAAACAAACACACACAAGCACACACACACACACACAAACACACACACGCACACACACACAAACACACACAAACACACACACAAACACACACAAACACACACAAACACACACACACGCACACACAAACACACACACACACAACCGCAAACAAACACACACACACACAAACACACACACACGCAAACACACACACAAACACACACACACACAAACACAAAACAAACACAAAGCAAACACAAACAAACACAAACAAGCACGCAAACACACACAAACACACACAACCACACACACACAAACACACAGACACAAACAAACAAAAACACACAAACACACAAACACAAACAAACACAAACAAACACAAACAAACACAAACAAACACAAACAAACACAAACAAACACAAACAATCACAAACAAACACAAACAAACACAAACAAACACAAACAAACACAAACAAACACAAACAAACACAAACAAACACAAACAAACACAAACACACACACCCACACAAACACACACACACACACCCACACACACACACACCCACACACACCCACACACACACCCACACACACACACCCACACACACACACACACCCTGAGCCCCACCGGTTTCTAGCTTTCTTGCCTCACGGGCCTGCAAATAGAAGGTGATCACCTTCTTGGGGCCATAACAAATTCACCCCCCCCCCACCCCAGAAGAACAACAAAACACACACACACACACAAACACACGCAAAAGGCCAGGGAGAAACCCCAAAGCTCAGATTAAGCCGATTCGCTTTAGTTGCCATGGCACCCCAGCGCTCGCCACAGAAGTTGCCGCACTGGCCACCGCCGCTTCTGCCACCACCGCGTCCGCCATCTCGACGGGTGCGAGAGATCGATCCGGGGGTGGGCGGTGCGGTCGAGTGAAACGCGGGGAGCGGAGCTTGCTTCGAATACAACAGGATGCTCCAGTCACGTGGATGTGGAGAGGCTTTTTCTGGATGTGGATTTTGGAGTATCTGCCTAAGGTTCTGGGCGAAAAGTGCTGGTGTGTTGCCGCGCTGGCTGGTTCGCCGGAGGGGGACAGGTGGACAACTTGCTGAAAGCCCAGCTGGCTCTGAAGCGACTGGCCTGTGAAAATCGCAAATGTTTGGGCCTCCAGAATTCTTTGCCAGCAGCGAACTTACGGAAACCTATCATTGGAGGTGCGAGCGTTTATCTGGTGCCTAAAGTGAGTATTGCAACCGTCCACCCTGCGCGTGGCGCTGGTAGGGGCCCAAACCGATCTGCACATACGGCTGCAAAGGGTTGGGGTTGGCAGGGTGGGTTGGAAGCTGGCGGAATTTGTGGGGGGGGGGGGGGGGTTGGAAGGTTGGGAGATTTGGGGGGGTGAATGAAAGCTAGTCTTCCATTTGCTTAAGCCGCCTGGAAAAACTCCAAATCTTTTCTGTAGTGATCGCTTCCCTTTAAAACCAACAAAGTCCGGCGGGGAACAAAAGTGGAGCCGCGCAGAGGGATAGAGGGATGGCTCCATAGGCCCACTTCTCTGCTTGGCAAACTTGCGATCGGCGCGATAGGTAGGGACTGAGAATTGAAATGACCCCTATCAACCATCCAACTGGTGTTTTTTTTTCAGAGAGTCCCGGGGTTTCTTCCCACATTCCCTACTGAGCACCAGCAAAACAAAACATATGTTGGCAAGGGAAACCCATTTTTCTGGGGGAGGGCCGCTTTTTTTGGGTCGCACCCGCGTGAGGCTTTTGAGGTGCCTGGATCAGCTGGCCCAAGCGACTCACGTCGGGTGGCCAAGAGGGCCTCTAGACAAGCCAGTCAAAGACTGGTTAAACCCGCTGTTGCTTTCTTCTCAAGACCCGCGCTATTCTCCGCTGGCTCCAGTGCTTCCCCCCTCGCGCCGATTTTCGCACAGGGCAGTAACCACAAAATCCACCTCTGCGAATGCCGCGCTTCTTCGCGAGAGAGGATGTCCGCCGCGGACAGCAAGCAGTTTTGCACTAAGCCGTTGGACAGGCCTGGCGTATTCCTCTGCCTTCTTTTTTTATTCGGGGGAGGGGTCTGCTTGGCTGGTCTCTAGTTGGTTCAGGGATTTCTGGCATGGAGTCGACCTCCTTTCAGACTGGGAATCTTGGACGGGAGCTCTGGCTACCTCTCGCCATTTGAAGGCCGCTGATTAAAAGGCAGTCAAGAACTGGCCTGTCAATGCTAGAAAAAGGCTGTATCTCCCAGTAAGACTGGGGGTCGTGGAAAACCATCTTAGAGCCTGAAGTGGATTCTTTAAACGAAACCATGATGCCAAATGAGTGCAAAACATGGCCGTTTTTGCCAAATTTGTGGTTGGCTTGCTTGTTCCCTCCAAAACCAACCCACAATCATTTTCAGACACCCCCCGAAAGTTGGCTCGGCGTCCAATGTGCGATCCCTAACTTGCTATAACATCAGCGCAATGGTTGCAGGACTCTCAGTCAAGCCCTTCCTGATGGGACCGGCAAAGGCTCCCCATATCAAGAGACAAATCAGATTGAAATATGTCTGTGCTTCTCGCACATCGGCCAAGTCAATCTGCTTGCCCAAGGTTCTCGGGCAAAAGCCAACCCAATCCAACACGAAAAGGACACACTGCACCAGTGGATATCCAGGAAAGAAATAAGGCAACCGCAGGTTCATGAACCCTGAATTTCTGGGAGGGCATCTCATTTTAGATGTGATCGTGCTGCTGCTGTTTCTTTTTTTGGGCGGGGGCATGCCTATTAATTTGCAAGGCGAATTGATCTTGGCTTTGGTCCCTTGAGATGGCCTGCCGCTAACTCACTGGCAAGTTTCGAACCTGTCCAAGGATTCTACCCTTTGAAAGCCCAAAGCAAAGGACACCCAAAGGAAACCCAAAACAACTTCAGTTCAAGGCATCCCCATGCGGAAACCCAAAGGTCTACTAAGTTGCCCAGAATGGACCCAAACATAAAAGGTGATCTCACCTTTTGCCATGACCAAAAGCGGACCAAGAAAGGGAAACCAAAAGGTCAAAAGATCGCCTTTGAACTTCTGTGTGTGGCTCAAAATTTTACAGCTGGGGTCACGCAGGTGCTAGTCTTTGTTTCCTTTTACCAAGCTGCCATTTTGGGCCACTTTTTTTGACCCACGGCCATCTGAGCCTGGGGAAATGAAAAGCTGAGATCCTGCTCGCTTTGACTCGCCTCCGCGGCATCCATCTGTTGGCTCGCGCCACTTAGCTCGCCAGTTGCGAGCGCAACGAGCTCCCGCCCGCGCGCCGCGCGGCGAAAGCACCGGGGACACGCAGGGCTGCATCCGCTCAACTGGGCAACCATCATGTATGACTTGGTTTTCAAACAAGGAAACCTGGAAAACATGAAATGTGCTACCCTTGTGTGTGTGTGTGTACGGATGGTGTAGCAACCATGCAAGATGGTGTGATGCTTCCTTCGGGCCAGTGCACCCTTTGGTCGGTGCCTAAAATCTAAACCAGCGTCAGGGGCGGCCAAAACAAGGAAGGGGATGGATGCTCCCAAAGGGAAAGCAACATGAAATGACCCAGAACTCGCGTTTGCCTTTTGCAGGTTTGGGAAATCGAGTTGCTTGCAATATCTCACCTAGGCGCTTTGGCTGTCTTGCCCCACGCCACAGAATGATGCCAACTCAACCGTGGGCCGGTTTTCAAGGAACCTTCGCAGAAATTGTTCGAACCTTTTTCGGAGAGCTCACCAAGTTTGAGTGCGAAAAATGAGCGGGGTGCTTCGTGTGCCGCCCATTTTTGCCGGAGTTTGGCATTGGCTCTGAGAGTTTCGTGAGTGAACAGACTACATCGGAGTATGTGTCAAGATAGGGGGACCCCCAAAGATGGTGATGTTTTCTTCCTGGTTCTCTTTGAACCACCCCCCCCAAAAAAAGAAAGAAAGAGTAATTACCCGCGCGCAAAAAAATAAGAAGACCGCACTGACGCCCCATAATTTTTGCGAACAGCTGAAGCGAGTTCCAAGCGAGCTCCACGGGTTCCAGCGACGCTCAGTCCACCGCCAGCGACTCCTTCGGCCTGGGAATGCAAAGGGCTACGTCTGGGCGGGGGTCACCAGGTTCTGTGGATGGTTGCGAAGTCTATTCCGCACCGCTTTAAAAGCATGGGAAACCATAACGTTCGTTGGTACTTACAGGGAAGTCATCATTCCAGGGCTTCTTACCTGGTGCAGGATTTCGTCCATCTACAGTATGTCCCTTTCCATTTAAGCATCGCCACCAAAGGCTTTTTCAACCAACAAAAGCACCCACACACCCGAACGTTGCAAGACACCTGCCATCAGCCATGACAAATGGCAGGAATTTCCTCTCCATGCCGCGCACCCCGCACCCCGCCACATACCAGTTGGCTGGTTTGCCTTTCAACTCTTCGCAGCTTGCTGGTGGTTGGGCTGCAAGGTACATGGCGGGCAAAGCTGAGTTGCAGCCGCTTGAAGGGTAGCTTCATGTCAAAGAAGGTTTGCCAACCATTTGTCAGGTTAGTAAGGATTTCGATTAGCAGTTCGATCCGCAACCTTTGTGCTTGGCTGGCCCCGTGCTCCGTGAACATGTTACGCCTGAAGAAGCAAGCCTGCAAAGGCCAACTGCCACTGGCAAGCGACCAAAGTCCGAAATGGATTGAACCGGGAGTGAGGAGTACAGGGCTAGGTCGTCCAGTAGGGAGGTTAGAAGAAGGCCGCCTTTTTTCCAGAGTCTATTTTAGTAGGGGAACCCTCCCCCAAAAAATTGGCGAGAAAGGGCACCTAGCTGGGGGCACCTAGGAGGGCCCACGCCCTTCAGCATCGAGTCTCCGGCGCCGCTTCAGGCTCCTTGACCTGAAACGCCCAAAAGGCGTCCAGCACGCGGCTGGTACATGAGACTTAGGACCAATGAGTCATAAGAAACTCAGTTGCTTTCTGCTCCCCTGCTAAAAAGTTCAACTTTTGGTGGTTTCATGGAACGCCCATTAGTTGGCAAGAGGTTAAAGTCCCAACATCCAGCGTATTCATAGTGGTGGTTGGACCCCGGTGCCTTTGTGCCCAGTTTAGCAGGTTGAGTCACGCCCGAAACCTGGTATTAAAATGGTTCGAGAACTGAGAACCATGTGAAGACTTGAAAAGGCGGGCGGGCCTGTTTATGGTTAGGATTCACTCTTACTAACCTTCATCTACCCGGGTTTTGCTCGGCTTTAAACAATCTGGGCAACTTGCAATTAATTCACCAACCCAAGATGAGTCCAGGAAGAGGAAGCTTCACTTTGGGTGGCGTTGCAACCCCGGGTCTCAAAGTTAAGATTTCCAGGACTCCTGTTTTTGTTTTTTCACCGGGGTGGTTGCCTTAAATCGCAATTTATAATGTCATTTTGATGTTGTCATTTCAATGGACCCGGTGGGAACCACCACAGAAAACTTGATGTAGAAGGAGTAGATTTTCTGGAGCAACCGATTTACATGTACAAGGAGTTGGTTTTCTTGGGGCAACCGATTTACTGTTTGACAGTCAAAAACAAGAGAATGGGATGAAGCTGCGCCGGCGGGAAGGCCTTGTGCTTGCTGCACGTGCAAGGCAAAGGTCTCACATCATGGGGGGGGCTGGAATCTAAGACTTCACTCGCTGACCCCCCAGACCAAACTCCAAAGAAGAAATATGAAAGTTCAGCCTTGCTTAGGGCTTTTTATCCGTTATTTACTCCGACTTTTGGTGGTTCCCCCCCTCCCCCTCCCCCCCATTTTGCCACACGCCCATGTACTAGTCACGGTTCAAAGCAGAGAAAACCATATGGCCGGTGCTCCCTTTGGGACCTATCCTTTTACGCACCTATGGGAGCTGGGCGCACTGCTCAAACGATGTTTTGCCCTAGCCTGGAACAAGTGTAGAGCAAGTGGAGCCTGGTGGTGGGGAAAATCGGAAGAAGCTAGGCCAGTGAACTAGAAATTGTCCCGTGGAGGTTTGGTCATCTAACTGCCGCAGGAGCACTCCCAGTTGACAGGTTGGATTCGCATGATATGGGTGTCTTTTTTGAGGGTACCCTTGTTGGGGCTGGTTTACCATCTTCTTCTTCTTTTTTTTTTTTTTTTTGGGGGGGGGGGGGGCATATTTTTAAACACACCCGTTTGTCAGACGAAGCAACCACGTCCAATCCAGTTGCACCTATACTTTCAAAACAATTTTGGGCGGTCCCTCAAGAGGACACACATTTGTTGGCTTGACCTGCGTAGTGCATCATTGTGCTCTTACAGTCTGTCTGGGTCTACGCTGGTATTTCTACCATAGCTTCCAAGATTCGAGGAACCAAACGCCCCAACATGGAGCCAAGGAACGAAAACCTAAGAACCGGCCCACAACTCCGAGCCAGTCGCCGCGATCGACCCGCCCTTCGAGGCGCGCGCCTTGGAGAAGACCAGCTTGTGGTCCTCACGGCCCATGCCGGGGCGGTGGGCTGAATTCTTGTGGTTGAAACTCGGTGGTTCAGTGACTGGAAAAAGTTCTCACTGGCTGAGTGGATGGCCCCAAAAAAAGTCCAAACTTTATATTTACCACTAAAATGGTCTTCCCAAAAAGTTTAAAGTTAATGAACTCAGAAAGGGAACCAACAAAAAGGGGGAAAAGGGGTGCCACTGAACAACTGAGGAAAGAAACCCTGGCTTGTTTCCCTGTAAACCCCCCCCCCCCATTTTGATACATGCCCTTATTTCCGACCTAAACCACCAAGGCGAACATATGGAGCCGCGGGACGATTTTGGGACCCTGTTGGGTCTGTGCAAAGCTCCGCAGAAATTCCTGTAGCTGGTGTCCATGACAATTCAGGCTGTTTGCAGTGTCCCCTGAAGGATCCTTTTCAAGGGGGTCACAAAACCCCCCCCCAACAAGGCACCTCCCTCGTCGAACGATCCCTGTTCCGCGACTTCCTCATCTAGCGGTCGCTGGTCCAAAATCCGGTCATTCAATGTCAGAGGTAGGTGTTGTTCTTGTCTTGGGGGGGTAGGGAGTTGAACCGGCAACGGATGCAACAATGCAGCTTCAAGTCTAAACTCGAGCCCAAAGCCACCCAGCGGCCAAGTCGTTTGGTTTGAGCTGGCAGCGGTGCAAATGATGCGGGTGATGCAGAGGCAAACCTGCAAACAGCAAAACAGAGGTGCAAATGATGCGGGTGACGCCGAGGCAAACCTGCAAAAAAGCAAAACAGCGGTGCAGATGATGCGGGTGATGCCGAGGCAAACCCGCGAAAAGCAAAACAGCGATGCAAATGATGCGGGTGATGCCGAAGCAAACCTGCAAAAAGCAAAACAGCGGTGCAGATGATGCGGGTGATGCCGAGTTTTTGCAAATGATGCGGGTGATGCCGAGGCAAACCATGATGCGGGTGATGCCGAGGCAAACCTGCAAAAACAAAGCAAAACGCTGCAGAATGTGCAGATGATGCGGGTAATGCCGAGGCAAACCTGCAAAAAGCAAAACTGTGCAAATGATGCGGGTGATGCCGAAGCAAACCTGCAAAAAGCAAAACAGTGGTGGGTGCAGATGATGCGGGTGATGACGAGGCAAACCTGCAAGAAGCAAAACAGCGGTGCAGTTTATTGCGGGTGATGCCGAGGCAAACATGCAAAGTCAATGCAAATCCCTGCAGAATGCGGCAGCGGTGCAAATGATGCGGGTGATGCCGAAGCAAACCCGCAAAAAGCAAAACAGAGGTGCAGACGATGCGGGTGAGGCCGAAGCAAACCTGCAAAAACAAAGCAACACCCTGCAGAATGTGGCAGCGGTGCAAATGATGCGGGTGATGCCGATGCAAACCTGCAAAAGCAAAACTGCTGTGCAAATGATGCGGGTCATACCGAGGCAAACCTGCAAAAAGCAAAACAGCGGTGCAGATGATGCGGATGATGCAGATGATGCGGGTGATGCCGAGGCAAACCTGCAAAAACAAAGAAACCCTGCAGAATTTGGCAGCGGTGCAAATGATGCTGGTGATGCTGAAGCAAACCCGCAAAAAGCAAAACAGCGGTGCAAATGATGCGGGTGATGCCGAGGCAAACCTGCAAAAAGCAAAACAGCGGTGCAGATGATGCGGGTGATGCCGAGGCAAACCTGCAAAAAACAAAACAGCGGTGAAAATGATGAGGGTGATGCCGAGGCAAACCTGCAAACAGCAAAAAAGCAGTGCAAATGATGCGGGTGATGCCGAGGCAAACCTGCAAGAAGCAAAACAGCGGTGCTGTTTAAGGCGGGTGATGCCGAGGCAAACCTGCAAAAAGCAAAACAGCGGTGCAGATGATGCGGGTGATGCCGAGGCAAACCCGCAAAAAGCAAAACAGCGGTGCAGATGATGTGGATGATGCCGAAGCAAACCTGCAAAAGCAAAACAACGGTGCAGTCCATGCGGGTGATGCCGAGGCAAACAGCGGTGCAGATGATGCGGGTGATGCCGAGGCAAACCTGCAAAAAGGAAAAACAGCGGTGCAAATGATGCGGGTGATGCCGAGGCAAACCCGCAAAAAGATCAAAAAGCTAAACAGCGGTGCAGATGATGCGGATGATGCCGAAGCAAACCTGCAAAAGCAAATCAACGGTGCAGTCCATGCGGGTGATGCCGAGGCAAACCTGCAACAAGCAAAACAGCGGTGCAAATGATGCGGGTGATGCCGAGGCAAACCTGCAAAAAGGAAAAACAGCGGTGCAAATGATGCGGGTGATGCCGAGACCAGCGGTGCAAGTGATGCTGGTGATGCTGAAGCAATCCCGCAAAAAGCAAAACAGCGGTGCAGATGATGCGGGTGATGCCGAGGCAAACCTGCCTAAACAACAAAGCAAAACTCTGCCGAATGTATCAGCGGTGCAAATGAGGCTGGTGATGCTGAAGCAAACCCGCAAAAAGCAAAACCGCGTGCAGATAATGCGGGTGATGCCGAGGCAAACCTGCAAAAACAAAGCCACACCCTGCAGAATGTGGCAGCGGTGCAAATGATGCTGGTGATGCTGAAGCAAACCCGCAAAAAGCAAAACAGCGGTGCAGATGATGCGGGTGATGCCGAGGCAAACCTGCACAAACAAAGCAACACCCTGCAGAATTAGGCAGCGGTGCAAATGATGCTGGTGATGCTGAAGCAAACCCGCAAAAAGCAAAACATCGGTGCAAATGATGCGGGTAATGCCGAGGAAAACCTGCAAAAACAAAGCAAACCCTGCAGAATGTGGCAGCGGTGCAAATGATGCTGGTGATGCTGAAGCAAACCCGCAAAAAGCAAAACAGCGGTGCAAATGATGCTGATGCCGAGGCAAACCTGCAAAAACAAAGCAACACCCTGCAGAATGTGACAGCGGTGCAAATGATGCTGGTGATGCTGAATCAAAGCCGCAAAAAGCAAAACAGCGGTGCAAATGATGAGGGTGATGCCGAGGCAAACCTGCCTAAACAAGAAAGCAAACCCTGCAGAATGTGGCAGCGGTGCAAATGATGCTGGTGATGCTGAAGCAAACCCGTAAAAAGCAAAACAGCGGTGCAAATGATGCAGGTGATGCCGAGGCAAACCTGCAAAAACAAAGCAAACCCTGCAGAATGTGGCAGCGGTTCAAATGATGCTGCTGATGCTTAAGCAAACCCGCAAAAAGCAAAACGGCGGTGCAGATGATGCGGGTGATGCTGAGGCAAACCTGCAAAAACAAAGCAACATGTGGCAGCGGTGCAGATGATGCTGGTGATGCTGAAGCAAACCCGCAAAAAGCAAAACAGCGGTGCAAATGATGCGGGTGATGCCGAGGTAAACCAAAAGCAAAACAGCGGTGCAAATGATGCTGGTGATGCTGAAGCAAACCCGCAAAAAGCAAAACAGCGGTGCGAATGATGCGGGTAATGCCGAGGAAAACCTGCAAAAACAAAGCAACACCCTGCAGAATGTGGCAGCGGTGCAAATGATGCTGGTGATGCTGAAGCAAACCCAGAATGATGATGCGGGTGATGCCGAGGCAAACCTGCAAAAACAAAGAAACCCTGCAGAATGTGGCAGCGGTGCAAATCATGCTGGTGATGCTGGAGCAAACCCGCAAAAAGCAAAACAGCGGTGCAAATGATGCTGATGCCGAGGCAAACCTGCAAAAACAAAGCAAAACCCTGCAGATTGTGGCAGCGGTGCAAATGATGCTGGTGATGCTGAAGCAAATCCGCAAAAAGCAAAGCAGCGGTGCAGATGATGCGGGTGATGCTGAGGCAAACCTGCAAAAACAAATCAAACCCTGCAAAATGTGGCAGCGGTGCAAATGATGCTGGTGATGGCGAAGCAAACCCGCAAAAAGCAAAACAGCGGTGCAAATGATGCGGGTGATGCTGAGGCAAACCAGCAAAAACAAAGAAACCCTGCAGAATGTGGCAGCGGTGCAAATGATGCTGGTGATGCTGAAGCAAACCCGCAAAAAGCAAAACAGCGGTGCAGATGATGCGGGTCATGCCGAGGCAAACCTGCAAAAACAAAGCAAAACCCTGCAGAATGTGGCAGCGGTGCAAATGATGCTCGTGATGCTGAAGCAAACCCGCAAAAAGCAAAACAGCGGTGCAGATGACGCGGGTGATGCCGAGGCAAACCTGCAAAAACAAAGCAAGCCCTGCAGAACGTGGCAGCGATGCAAATGATGCTGGTGATGCTGAAGCAAAGCCGCAAAAAAGCAAAACGGCGGTGCAGATGATGCGGGTGATGCCGAGGCAAACCTGCAAAAACAAAGCAAACCCTGCAGAATGTGGCAGCGGTGCAAATGATGCGGGTGATGCCGAGGCAAACCTGCAAAAACAAAGCAAACTGCAGAATTTGGCAGCGGTGCAAATGATGCTGGTGATGCTGAAGCAAACCCGCAAAAAGCAAAACAGCGGTGCAAATGATGCGGGTGATGCCGAGGCAAACCTGCAAAACCAAAGCAAAACCCTTCAGAATGTGGCAGCGGTGCAAATGATGCTGGTGATGCTGAAGCAAACCCGCAAAAAGCAAAACAGCAGTGAGGAGGATGCGGGTGCTGCCGAGGCAAGCCTGCAAAAAGCAAAACAGCGGTGCAGATGATGCGGGTAATGCCGAGGCAAACCTGCAAAAACAAAGCAAACGCTGCAGAATTTGGCAGCGGTGCAAATGATGCTGGTGATGCTGAAGCAAACCCGCAAAAAGCAAAACAGCGGTGCAGACGATGCGGGTGATGCCGAGGCAAACCTGCAAAAACAAAGCAACACCCTGCAGAATGTGGCAGCGGTGCAATTGATGCTGGTGATGCTGAAGCAAACCCGCAAAAAGCAAACAGCGGTGCAAATGATGCTGGTGATGCTGAAGCAAACCCGCAAAAAGCAAAGCAGCGGTGCAAATGATGCTGGTGATGCCGAAGCAAACCCGGTCCAGATGATGCGGGTGATGAGCACACCCTTCAGAATGTGGCAGCGGTGCAAATAATGCTGGTCATGCCAAAGCAAACCCGCAAAAAGCAAAACAGCGGTGCAAAAAAAAACAAAAAATGATGCAGGTGATGCCGAGGCAAACTTGCAAAGTCAATGCAAATCCCTGCAGAATGCGGCAGCGGTGCAAATGATGCTGGTTATGCCGAAGCAAACCCGCAAACAGAAAAACACTGGTGCAGATGATGCGGGTGATGCCGAGGCAAACCTGCAAAAACAAAGCAACACCCTGCAGAATGTGGCAGCGGTGCAAATGATGCTGGTGATGCTGAAGCAAACTCGCAAAAAGCAAAACAGCGGTGCAATTGATGCTGGTGATGCCGAAGCAAACCCGCAAAAAGCAAAACAGCGGTGCAAATGATACGGGTGATGACGAGGCAAACCCGCACAAAACAAAGCAACACCCTGCAGAATGTGGCAGCGGTGCAAATGATGCTGGTCATGCCAAAGCAAACCCGCAAAAAGCAAAACAGCGGTGCAAAAAAAAAAACAAAAAATGATGCAGGTGATGCCGAGGCAAACCTGCAAAAACAAAGCAACACCCTGCAGAATGTGGCAGCGGTGCAAATGATGCTGGTTATGCCGAAGCAAACCCGCAAAAAGCAAAACAGCAAATGCTGGTGATGCCGAAGCAAACCCGCAAAAAGCAAAACAGCGGTGCAAATGATACGGGTGATGCCGAGGCAAACCCGCACAAAACAAAGCAACACCCTGCAGAATGTGGCAGTGGTGCAAATGATGCTGGTCATGCCAAAGCAAACCCGCAAAAAGCAAAACAGCGGTGCAAAAAACAAAACAAAATGATGCAGGTGATGCCGAGGCAAACCTGCAAAAACAAAGCAACACCCTGCAGAATGTGGCAGCGGTGCAAATGATGCTGGTTATGCCGAAGCAAACCCGCAAAAAGCAAAACAGCGGTGCAATTGATGCTGGTGATGCCGAAGCAAACCCGCAAAAAGCAAAACAGCGGTGCAAATGATACGGGTGATGCCGAGGCAAACCCGCACAAAACAAAGCAACACCCTGCAGAATGTGGCAGCGGTGCAAATGATGCTGGTCATGCCAAAGCAAACCCGCAAAAAGCAAAACAGCGGTGCAAAAAAAACAAACAAATGATGCAGGTGATGCCGAGGCAAACCTGCAAAAACAAAGCAACACCCTGCAGAATGTGGCAGCGGTGCAAATGATGCTGGTTATGCCGAAGCAAACCCGTAAAAAGCAAAACAGCGGTGCAATTGCTGCTGGTGATGCTGGTGATGCCGAAGCAAACCCGCAAAAAGCAAAACAGCGGTGCAAATGATACGGGTGATGCCGAGGCAAACCCGCACAAAACAAAGCAACACCCTGCAGAATGTGGCAGCGGTGCAAATGATGCTGGTCATGCCAAAGCAAACCCGCAAAAAGCAAAACAGCGGTGCAAAAAAAAAAACAAAATGATGCAGGTGATGCCGAGGCAAACCTGCAAAAACAAAGCAACACCCTGCAGAATGTGGCAGCGGTGCAAATGATGCTGGTTATGCCGAAGCAAACCCGCAAAAAGCAAAACAGCGGTGCAATTGATGCTGGTGATGCCGAAGCAAACCCGCAAAAAGCAAAACAGCGGTGCAAATGATACGGGTGATGCAAATGATACGGGTGATGCCGAGGCAAACCCGCACAAAACAAAGCAACACCCTGCAGAATGTGGCAGCGGTGCAAATGATGCTGGTCATGCCAAAGCAAACCCGCAAAAAGCAAAACAGCGGTGCACAAAAAAAAACAAAATGATGCAGGTGATGCCGAGGCAAACCTGCAAAAACAAAGCAACACCCTGCAGAATGTGGCAGCGGTGCAAATGATGCTGGTTATGCCGAAGCAAACCCGCAAAAAGCAAAACAGCGGTGCAATTGATGCTGGTGATGCCGAAGCAAACCCGCAAAAAGCAAAACAGCGGTGCAAATGATACGGGTGATGCCGAGGCAAACCCGCACAAAACAAAGCAAAACTCGGCGGAATGTAGATGGCAACACCCTGCCTGACGCGCAAGTTGAATGGGGCAGTGGTGCAGATGATGCGGGTGATGCCGATGCATGCAAACCCGGGGGAGAAAAAAAACAACAACAACAAAAACACATTCTAATTCCCTGACCCGCGGATGCTCAATGGGGGAGCGGTGCGGCCCCCCAAAACAAGTAAGACAGGTTGGTGACCCGCAAATGTTTCCATGGGGCAGCGGTGCAGGTGATTCGTGTGATGCCGAATCAAACCAAAACAACTAAGCAAAAATGGTCGGTGACCTTTAGATTTGCTGTGGGCAGCTGTGCCAATGATGCGGGGGGACGTCCAAGCAAACCCCAAACAACTCGGCACAGATCTGAAACGGGGGGTAGGGTGCCGCTGATGCATTCCATACTGCCCACGACAAAATGCCCACGACATGAATGCTTGTTGCACATAACTCTGCACTGATGCAAGTGAAAGTACAAACTCGTTCAGCAAAGCCATGCAAGATCCGTAGCAACCTAATAGCGATTGGTGACTGCTTGGGGCAGAAAGACTGGCTTTCTCCGAGTCGGCCGCCCCATCCCAGACCCGACTTTCCGCCTTTCGGATGTCCAGCACAAAGCCCAACTGCCGCTGCGTTTGGGCGTTGGTGTAGAGACTGCGGGCCGATGACGGCGGGCAGCCATGCTTTCAGAGCCATTGGCACGTTGGAGTCCCGCAACATTACAAGGGAACAAGAGAAGCCCTTTTTGTCGTAATTGTCCATATTTTTGCGTCTGGGCGTGGTTGCTTCGCTCAAAATATTTAGGGAATACTCCTTACTGTTTTGGAAACCCCAGGATCCGAGCAATTCAGCATCACAGCAGCCGGAAGTCATCAAACTACCATGAGCTAGTCGTTCCATCATCATCCCCAGCATTCCTCCTCATCATCCCCTCCTCCTCCTCTTCCGTGGCACAGCTGGCCCGGTGGGCCATTAGGCCCTTGCTTCTTTCTGAGCATTCCACTCACAAAAGTACAGCCTGATCAATACCTCTATTTCAATGAGGGATGACTTACTCAGTTACCCAAAGGACTCAAATAAAGGCCAATTTACTTCACCCTTTGGGGCGAAACTACAAATGAACCAAAAAGGGGCACAAGGTCGATGCGCTTTGGGCAACTGAGAATAGAAAGTGTTGAAGGTTTCTTGGAACTGAGAGGCAAAATAATAATATCCTTGTCTTAATGCAAAGCCCAGCATCCAACGAAAAAGGGCCAGTACATGGTTCCCCTTGCAACTCCGCGCGTCAGTACTGGATGTTCCTTATATGCTCCTAGTTCGCTCAAAGAAAGTTTTCATCACCTACCGCCACCCCAAAGTTGAACTCCGAGATTCCGGCGAAAGCAAATGGCCCCATGGTCTTTCTGTAAAAACCCTCAAGGGAACGACTAGACTGCGGAATTCGCCATCTACTTCACCCACACTCTGGGGGAATGTTGGCCCTGGACTAAACAATCTGGTTGACTCTCACTCCTTGAGTCCATTCGCCAAAACAGTCCGACGTTTTTGTTTGCTACTGAAATGATCGCCCCAAAAATCCGGCGGGCTATTCATCGACTGGGATCCGATGTGAGTTCACCTAGATGGTTGTAGCCATGGTGACAAGGAAAACTGGCCCCACTTGGCCCGGTGACAGCCATGGAAATGACGTAGCGACGCAGGCAAACAAAAAGATGCAACACCCCTCAATTTGCGGTTGATTTCATCTTGGTTTTCCCCGAACCCCCCGAAACAACAAAAGGAGTTCAAGCGCGGAATCCAATCGACGGGTGGGTAACAGTGGGTGTAACCATTACCTGGCAACTGGGAGTAGGTTGTAACAGTGATAAGGGCCAACCGGTCCATCGTGCGGGTACTCTTTCAATTTTGTTTAAAGGGAAACCACAATAAAACCAAAAGGTACACTTGTCAGATTGGTTTTTCATTGGAAGCAAGGACAGCCTTGCTGGTTCTTGATTGTTTTTGGGGGGTCTCCATATGTTGACCCACACCTGATAGGCTCTTCCTGCTTTGCGCCCTTCATAGCACGCACTGGGGGCCCCGGCTCCAGCACTTGGTCCTTGGACAAGCCCCGGCCCATGTCATCCTCCGTCAGGTGCCGGCCTGGCCATTTAGATGAGACACATCGAGCCCGACATCCAATTTTTCCCACTTCCGATCGAGTAGATGGGCCCAAAAAAGTAACAACATGTTTGTTGACCACTGAGTTGGTCCAGCCCCAAAAGTATTACTTGTATAAAATGTATCATTTGCACATTCAAATGCAGAAATTCATGAACTACATTGACCACCGGTAATTTGTATGCAAATATTGACAGAGTCCAGCAGTCTTGTCTGTCTGGGGGGATGGTCCTTCGCCCGGCCGGGCCCGTTGGGCCGGCGCCTCCATTGGGTGCCGCAGCGATGATCAGAGAGTTGAACGCCTCTTCCTCAGTCTCAGGCACACCCAAGAACAAGACTGGTGCCATCCGCAAATGAGTCATAATCCAAGTTTTGATTGTGGCTCAAGTGAAGCTCCGCACATGGCTTGCCAGCCCGCTGCAAAACAAAGCGTCGTGGGCACGCACGCACACACGCACACAAACACCGGCAACCACACATGCGTACAAAACACGCAAGCACAAGCGCGCATGCAAGCAAACACATACAAATACACATCAACATGCACAACACGCAAATGCACATACATGCACAAACACACTCGAAACAAATCACACACACACACATGAATCCAAACACAATCAAACACAGAACACATACCTGCACGTGCACACGTACAAATGCACACAAGGGCCGGGGCAGCTTGTTGTGGTGAGTCACCAACACAACAGCAAGATTCTCCCTTGACCGGGTCAAGAGAGGATGTCACAAACCCACTGCGAAGGGAAAGCAACCAGGGCGATAGCAGTGAGTCAACTTTCTTAAGCTTGAGACCTCCACCGAACAGTTCGGCTCTGGTGAGGGGTCTGCAAGCGAACACGGCTTTTCTCCAGTTCCCTCAGTGGCAATTCCTAGCATGCAACCTGGAAGTTACGCCCCCTGTGTACCTTCTAATTGAGCTCAGTTGTTAGCAAGCACACGGAAGTTGGACTCGCATAAGCCGTATGCATTACTTATGCCTGGGAACCAGCTTGCCAATGCTGAAATTTTAAGCCCTGAAGAAAGGAGTCAGTCCCGGCACGCGACAATTCTACAGTCCAACCAGCCAAAGAATAAGCTCAGGTCGGCGAAAGCATCCCGAACTTCCGAACCACTCTGGAGCCACAAGTGGCACAAAAAATATGGCCTTTCCCATTTCAAGCTCTCAGCCCATGAATAATGAGCACTAGGCAGCACCCAAGAAGACTCGCAACTTGGAAGTGAGGCCCCTGGTGAAAAGCCCTAGGGAGCCTTTGACATTTTCCCAATATTAGTCATGTGAGTTGGCGGAAGGGCAGTTCCAATGTTGAAGGTGCTGCCCTTTTTTCCATCTAGTGTTCATCTTCTTTGCCACCCTCCCGTGAAACCTCACTGGTTCCTGGCTTACACCATCTTCCAACTGGGACCACCAGAATAATTTGGCAACCTCTGGGAGGAAACTTCTTTCCGCGATCGGCGCGTAAGAAACACGACTCCGAGGGCAAGCCCTTCCTTCCGACGCCCAACTTGTTTTGCTTCAGTCCACAGAGGTTGGGTTGTTTTAAACGGGAAAACAAAAGAATCTCCCCCCCCCTCCATTTCTTTTTCGTTGATTTTCTTTTGGGGGGGGGCTAAACGAAAAGAAAGACACACCGCGTGCCCCCGCGGAAACCTGTCTGAACCCAAAGACACATTTTTGAGGGGATCCCCAGAAAAGAAAAAAAGGGGGACACACCCACGGTCACCCACGCGCCGTTGCTTTAAAAAAAACAAAAAGGCGTCCGCCCTCTGTCTGCGTGCGTGCTTGTGCGCGCCGAGGCGCGCCCATCTCCGTGCCCTCGGTGGCCAGCTGGACCTTGGAGGTCTCCTGGAAGTTCCAGAAGCCGTCCTCGGAGGCAGGACGCCCTCAGCTCCCAGGGTCCCAGCAACGGAGATGGAGGTGGGGGGCCCCAAGCTTCCAGGTGGTTCCCTGGTTCCACTTGAGCTTCATCCAGAGACAACCAGCAGCCCTGTGGAAAAAAGAAAGCAGCCGGTGGGGAAACCTTGGAGAAAGGAGAACATGTCTATTTGGGGGGCCGGGACTATGTTGGAAGGGAATCACGGCGATTCTAGCAAGCAAAGCAAAGCGCTGCATGAGACGGTGACGGAGTTGGACAGAAGAGATGGAAAGCTCCAGGTGCAACCAAAGACCTTTGCCCTAAAAAGAAGCAACCCGACCTGCCGCCCGGATTTCTTTTCTCTGTTTCCACTCGCGACTGGTCCGCAAGATCCGCCTCTTAGGACGGCCACAAAGCCCTCCGCTCCGCATAAACCGTCGCTCAGCGCGGGTCGATGCCGCGGCTGTAGTTGTAGAGGGCGCCGCCTGGCTGCCACTCGGGGCCCTTGCGCTCGTGCACCGGAGTGGCATTGGTGGTGGGCCAGTTGTACGGCGAGGTGAGGTTCCGGCCGTTCATCCGGCTGCCGAAGTAGACCGCAGGCCCGTTGTCGAAGGCGAGGCTCTTCACTGTGGGGCGCCACTCCTGCGGCATCGCTGGCGCTTCCAGCTGAGTCTTGTCTCCGGGGTGGGCCAACCTCCAGGACATGGCGAATAGGCTGGAGTCGTGAGTCGCGCGTGGCCTCAAGTTTGCTTGGCTTGAGCCGAAAGCAAGGTGGCAAACGAGTCGGAATCATGCAAGGACATTGTCAAACGGGCAACCCACCAAACAGAAAGAGCTGAGGGGTGCCACTGAGCAACTGGATTGAGCAACGGGATGCCCCACGTGTACGACTAAAGTGTCCACCACTTGGAATCTGTTTCAAGCATAGGCTTGCATTTCGGGCCAGCGGCGCCGAAAGGCAACGCACATGCCGGAGCCGGCCTTGTCTGCGTCAAAGTGGTGGAACAGCTCCTGCGCGGCTTCCGCAAAGCTTTGCATCTCACCCATTTAAGGGGCAATGGGCATACAGAAATGGTGGAGCATTTTGCTCAAGAAAGAAAATGCTTGCCAGCACCATGCCTGCGTGTTTTTTTTTTGGGGCACGACACGTCGGATGTGCCACTTGCCACTCGCCTCTGCCAACTGCAATGTCTCGTTGGTCTTGGTGACGTTGGCCCAAAGGTCCTGGCCATAGCAGGGGTGCGGGGTTGTTTCTCTTGGTTCCCTTTCAGACTTGTCTAAAGGGGTACCCAGTTGTGACTAAGAAAAGGAACAATCTACCCATTTGATCGAGGTCTTAAATCATCCGGACCACTCAGAAACAATGCTGCCTAAGCAGAACCACGCAGGGCTGATGCCAACCCACCTAAATTTGCAACCACCCCGAATCAGCATCCCAGTTGCAACCAGCGACTGGCAAACCCTTTCTGAGGTTTATGATTTTGAGTCAGACACCCACCAAGCAACCAATTTACAATGGGCGACAAACACCCAACCGGCGTGGACCGGCTCTGCCGCGGCATCCTGCGCAGTCTTGCCCGCGCCGATCTGGGTCAATGGCGCCTGCGCAGACTGAAGGCACCAAAGCTGCCGCCATGCCGAGGGACTGACAACAAGCCGAAGAACTCCAACCCATCGCCTACTCCACTTTACATGATTAGAGTTAGGCCCAGTTATGGAATGTATATTTACTGTTTGCTTCACTTTGAGTCCCTGGAAAATGAAAAAATGTATCCTAAGTCTACCCCAGTTTAGAAGTGTTTGCAAGATGGCTTTGGGTCAATCGCCTTTTCAGGACATACCTGGCAACATCAGTTTGGGACGCTTTGGAAGCGTCCAACCAAAAAACAAAACGACCTGCTTGTGCCTGTCAACTAAGCAATGACCATTGTTCATTGTTCAATACAACTGAACAAACACTGACTGCCACGAGGTCAAAAGGCCTGTATTGGACGGAACGACATGAACTTCACTCCCCAGCCTGAAAGTGGTTTGAGCCAGGCTAATCTTGGACGAAAAAGCTAAAGACAGCCAGCCTCTTAATTTCGAGTCAACACTCTCATCACATTGGTTTGGACAAGGTGTGAGGAGCTCACCGATTCGGGGGTAAACGAGCTCAGGCATCTTTCTGCGAGGCTCCCTTATTTCCAAGTGAGATACAATTTATGGATCGCCCAGATTGATTGCTCGAGCGCTCGCCGCCAGGGTTTTGGAAGCAGAGCCTTGAAACACGGGTTGTTGAAAATGGGGGTACGAGATGGTACGAGAGACATCCCACTCATATATAAGGGGCGGGGGACCTGGAAAACGCATATGCACTTTTGAGGTCCCCCGCCCTCCACATTCATGTCCACATTTGTGCCAGGCAATGCCTCAAACTCACCAAAGCAAACAAGGATCCCGAACATGTGTGACTGTGCCTCCTTGTGGTTGGACGGCGCCCTCTTTGGTGGTTGGTTGGTTGGTGGTTTGGTTGGTTGATGAGTCCTGCCAGGGCAAATTGGCCCGAATATGCACATCACGTGGGTGTGTTTGTAGATCTTGACAGAAAAACAAGACAAACTAAAGCCTGAACCAAGAGTGCTCGAAGAGCCTCCCATTGAGCTACGATAGCGCGAGGCTACCAGACAGACATTCATTCTTGGGCGCAGATCTGCCGAGCGGAGGATCCCCGCAAAAAGACACACACAAACAGGCGACATCGCAGTCCAGTCTGGCCAACATCGGCCACGATCTGACTGATCCAGCCACGACCCAGCAAGCGTCCATGCGGCCGCGATCCGGCCGCGATCCGGTCGAGGCCGCGATCCAGCCGCGATCCGTCCGCGATCCGGTCGCCATCCGGCACAGCCAGCAGGCCGCGATCCGGCCGTGATCCAGCCAAGATAACAATGATTTCGCCGGTGGAAACGTCTTGTCGCCAGTGTGTGCCAAATCGGGCCAAATCTGGTACCGGCCAAGGGGCGTAAGCTGAGCCTGTCGGCGGATGTTTTGATGAAAATCTGCTTGCGCGGCCAGAAATCTGTTTCTGGCCGCTGGGCGCAAGAGGATTTGTCCGAAAGCACAGAGCGCCCGCTGCAGATAGCACACGCTGAGGCAGGCGTCAGCATGCCAGGCGTAGCTGTTAACAGGGCGCAGCCTGCGACATCCCGGCGCAGCTTTCCACATTCTTCGCGCAGCTCCTGAATAGCCGGGGCACGGCGCGGCTCTCAACATCCCAGGCCCAGGCACAGCTTCCAAACGCCCAGGCCCTGTCCAACGCCGCATGCGTGGCTGTCAACAGACCAGGCGCAGCTTTCAACGAGCGCAGGCCATCAACATCCAAGGCAGAGCTGTCAACTGCCCAGGCACAGCAAACAACCGCCAACCAAAGCGAGCGAACGCCCAGCCACGGCCGTCGACATCCCAAACACCGCTGTCAACATCCCAGGCCTAGCCGGGGCGCCGCGATCAACATTCCAGGCGCAGCTTTCAACATCCCAGGTATAGCAGGCAACCGGCAACCAAAGCGAGCCACGGACATCCCAAACATCGCCCTCAACAGCCCAGACCGGGCTTTCAATAGCCAAGGCCGCCATCAACATCCCAGGCGCAGCTTGCAACATCCCAGGCACAGCTTTCAATAGCCCAAGCGCAGCTTCAACAGCCCAGGCACGGCTGGCAATATACCGGGCATGGCCTGCAAAAATGCACGCCTTAAAATGCATAAAGCAAAAATGCACGGGGTTCCTAGGTCCCCCCCCTCTATGCATTTTTCTGGAATGGGGGTTTACGAGACGTTCCAGGGATCCGGAGAAATAGGATTCATTCGCAAGGTTTTCCCAAACGTGTCACCTTCGGTGGGCCCAACACATTGCCCACAGATTAAACACCGGCGCATGGCCTACATAACATTAAGCACAGTGATGCGCTCCATGTTTCTCTTTGAACATCGCCAAAAAAGAACACAGCCTAAACTTGGTATTTCCAAGAGGACTTAAACTAGCTTGACATGGACATGGGCCATCTTCAAATAATGTTCAAACTGACTTCGAAAGAACAAATCGTAAGATGGCCCATGGACATGGCCCCATAGTGTTCCACCCCTGTGGGCCTGTGTGCAAACCTCGATGCATGGAGTCCCAGCTCTGCCTGCATCAGCTCGGGCTGGGTCTTGTAGAGTGCCCACACCTCCTCTTGAGAGCCTGGGACTGGTTGGGACTGGGTGACTGGGTGGTTCGATGAGCCTCATGACCCCCAAGCCAAAGTGAGTCACTTGCTCAAAACCCGGTATTAAAATGGTCGCAAGCCCAGAACCATGCTTCAAGAATTAAGAAGGCGGAATTCCGCAACTATTTCTGGCTGGGACTGCCCCTTACTAACCTTCATCTGCCCAGGTTTTGATTGTGGCTCAAGTGACTTAGGGCAAAATGGGGATATACACCGAGTGTACAGTGTACCAGCCAGTGGCAGTTCTTCCCACTAAGCCTCCAGAGCCCTGTGGCGGTTTGGTGGGGTAGTGGCAACCATCTTAGGGTCACCTCATGTAGTCACGGTCACAGAACAGTCGCCTTGTTCTGTCTATCATTCGAAGAGTTCGTTCGGGAAAGGAGCTGTATATTGCTTCCTCCTTGAGAGCGGTTTGCATGTGCAAGCGCCCCTTCTTGTGGGAGGGTATGGCTTAACAATCAGAAACCGTGGGGTCAACAATGGTTCCACGCATCTACTCTGTGCATGTTGTTTTTTGCCAGAGTCCAGGCGGAACAGGTTAAAGTGAATCAGGCAATGCCCAGGTTCAACCGTTGTTCGGCTCAGGAAAGCGCTCTTCAAACCCCAGGTTGAATCCACAGTTGACCTGGCTGGACTCATGCATGCGTGATGCAGTTGAAGCCAAGGCTTCCGGTGGTCCTTTGTTGATCAAGACCGACATGTTGCAACGTTGCAACTGGTGGGCGTTTTCTGTCTCTTGGGGTTTTGGTGACTACCCCCTTAGCAATTCCGGCCACCTTGTTGAGACCTTTTTGCCTGGGAATTCTCCCTAAAACGGAGCAACTGCTTCCAAGCAGCAAATCAGGAAGTTACCCATCCCCATTTGGTCTCGTTTTTGGGGAATTCACCAAATGCGGACTGTGTGCTAAGAAGTTAGCATCAGAACCCGCTTCTAAGAATCAAAGCCAGAGCCTTCCATTTGCTCAAGCTCCCAGGGAAAAGCAAACAACAAATCCAGTAGTGATAGAATCCCTTTAAAACCAGCAGGGGAATATTACAAACATATTCTTAAGCAATGGAAGGAGCCAGACCGCCGCGAATCCCCCCCCCCCCACTGCCCACAAACGCCCAATCCACCTGCCACGCTCTTGTCGTGGCCCTCCTGCAGAGCCTTCAGCAGCGCCTGTGAAGCTGAAGGAAAACTGGAAACCGCCCCCAAAAGGCTGGGCCCAGGTATCCTTTTCAAGGGAAATCCACACGGAAAACAATTGTTAGGGGTCCCCTATTTTGAGACAATTCAAAGCTCGCTTTAGGGAGCTTTCCCAACTTCCCTGGTATGCCTAGTTGTACTTTCTATTTCTGAGCATTTTAGATCGGGGTGGCTGCAAAGGCCAGAGAAGAACGCACATCTCCTGAGCAAAACAGAGCAGTGAGTGGTAAATGATGCTCGCCAAACTGAAACCAGTGCCATTTCTTGGCAACTTAGCCTTGCAGCTGTGTAGGGTTCTGATCAAGGGGTTCCAGCTTGTACCAATGGCAATCACGTGGGATCGGCAAAAGCCGCGTTTCAGAACCCGTTCACCCAGTTTAGATGGCATTATTTAAGGATGTGATTCTATTTCTTTGATTCTTCTTAATTTAAAAGACGATTCACACAAAAATGTATAAAGTTGACCCCGGATGAATAAACCCCTGTTTAGAACAATATGGGGGTGTCCCACCCCCCTTTAACAATACACTGGGGTTCATTCATCCGGGGTCAACATTAGCAAACAGTTGTTGCTATCCCGTTCCCAATGTTTTTTTGTTTTTCTTTCTGGAGAACTGTTCGTGAACCTCAAAGCCAAACGCCATCTGGGTGTTTTGTGGGTATCTCCGAACGAGACTGCGAAAATCCTGGGCCATGTTGCCTCGAAAAAGGGAATGATCAAACAGCCGGTGGAGCACATGGAGCAATGAATTCCGGTGCGGAGGCTTCCCCCGTTCCCCTCGTATCACTCTCATGTGCAAAAGGTCTGACCACTCGGCCTTTGTTATTAGCAAAGGTAGCAGAGGAAGCGTTTTGCTTTTTTCGTGAAATTACAACCCCAGAATATTCAAGCAGCAATCCAAACCGTCAAAAGGCGGATTTGCTGTGAGCCAAAGGGGGCGTGTTTGACGGCTTGGGTTTCGGCCAGTAAGCGGCCAATCTCAGCGCCGCCTGGGTCACCTTGGACTAGGCTCTGTGAGCGTCGGAAAGCAACCATTGGTGTTTCGGCGCTTCTCAAAATTAGGGAGCCCTGCAGGTGGTTGGTTTCTATTCAGTTCCCCCTTACAACAACTCGTTACGTTGAGAGGCGCCATGTATCATCTACTATGCCTATGCCGAGGAAACTCAAAGCTTGGCATTTTGGAACCCAGGGTCTAGCCCCTTCAGTCGATTTGGCCTGGCTACAGTCTGGGAGAATGTTTGTCTCAAAGTCAGCCCCCGGCAGTTAACACGTAGGGAAGGTCTGTAAAGCGAACGTGGAATTGTCTCGAAATAGGAGACCCGAAGCAATTGCGTTCCTTGTGGGTTTCCCTTTGAGCCAGCCTTGGATACCCTAAAGCAAGCACACGCTGACACACAAGCACACATACACACAAACACACTGTGACACATACACACATAACATTGAATTCGCACACACACACACAGCTATCTGGTTGATGAACTGATAACCCTGGACAACAAATGCCGTGTCGCCTGGTCATGGTGAAAAAAGCGGCACTTAAATTTAAGGATCAACCCCCTCTCAGTTGCCCCTAATGGATCCAGAAACGACAAGTGAACCTCTGAAGCCATGACAAAATATTGACCAAAAGGGAAAATCAGAAGGTCAGAAGGTCGAGTGTCCTCCAAGTAAGAACGCAACACCACTGAAGGTGTGGGATGGGCTTCGCGCATGCTGGATCAAAGAGAACCACGCCCTCCTAAAGTCTTTGAAATTTTATTATGATTTTTTTAGCCAGCCAGAGACTGGAAATGTTGAAATATTTATTTTTTCAAAAAATTATCGATTTGGTTATCCTCAAACCTATCCAAAAATCATCCTACAATCATCCTCTGCAAAAAACATCATCGAAAAATCATCCTCTCCCTCCTCCTTCATCCCTCCTCCACATCGCTTCTATTCTCTGCGTTTCCATTTTCCTTTCCTTCCCGTTCCTTCCCGTTCCTTACCCTTTTCCATTTCCCTCTTCTTGTTTCCATGTTCCATCTCCTTTCTCTTTTTTCTCTTCCTTGTCCTCTCCAATTCTCTTTGCCCTGCCCTGTTCCTTCTTTCCCTTTTCACTCTTCCTCTTCCTGAGACTGACAGGAAAAGCAAAAAGTTGCAAAACCCTCATGTTTTTTTCAAAAAATCATCGAAAAATCATCGAACAATCTTCGAAAAATCATCCCCAACCCACATTTTCTGGACCAAACCCCCTTCACAGTGGTCAGGAAAGCAAAAAGTTGCAAAACCCTCGTGTTTTTTTCAAAAATCATCGAAAAATCTTCCCCAACCCACATTTTCTGGACCAACCCCCCTTCACAGTGGTCAGGAAAGCAAAAAGTTGCAAAACCCTCCTGTTTTTTTCAAAAAATCATCGAAAAATCATCGAAAAATCTTCGAAAAATCATCGAAAAATCTTCGAAAAATCATCCCCAACCCACATTTTCTGGACCAACCCCCCTTCACAGTGGTCAGGAAAGCAAAAAGTTGCAAAACCCTCCTGTTTTTTTCAAAAAATCATCGAAAAATCATCGAAAAATCTTCGAAAAATCATCGAAAAATCTTCGAAAAATCATCCCCAACCCAAATTTTCTGGACCAACCCCCCTTCACAGTGGTCAGGAAAGCAAAAAGTTGCAAAACCCTCCTGTTTTTTTCAAAAAATCATCGAACAATCTTCGAAAAATCATCGAAAAATCTTCGAAAAATCTTCGAAAAATCTTCGAAAAATCAAAAATCTTCGAAAAATCATCCTGACCGGAATCCATCTTCAAAAAATCATCCAACAAATTATCCTGCCTGACATCAACCTTCCAAAAATCATCCTCCCTATTTTCCTCCCCTGTTCTCCAGCCTGGAACACGATTTGAAACGAGCTTCAACACAGCCACCGTCAGACATTTCTTGCGCAAAATGGCTCCAACTAAATTGTTTCATGGCTGAAGCTGAAGGAAACCCACCAAAGCAAGCCAAGCAAAGCCAAGCCCAGCAAATCAAAGCAAAGCAAAGCAAGCGAGCGAAGCAAAGCAAAGCAAAGCAAAGCGAGCGAGCGAGCAGGCAGGCAGGCAGGCTTGAGGATAATGAAAAACGATGAGGATAAAAAAATGATAATCTGGAGGATAATGACCAACGATGAGGATAAAAAAAGGATAGTGTTGAGGATCATGAAATCGATGATTTTTTGAAAAAATAAATATTTCAAGACACCTCAGTGTGTGGCTGCAAAAATGTCATTTGGAGAACCCTGGCAAATGCGGGGCAACTTTACTTGGTGGCGATTCCCCACCCTGCCGGCCAAAAGTTGAACTTTTGTTTGATCGATTTAGCGAACACCGACACACATTTCCCCAATACAAGTTACTCACTTCCTGATTGGCCCAGACAAAAAAGCTCCAAACCTCGGTTGCTTTCTGCTCCCCTGCTAAAAGTTTAACTTTCAGTAGTTCAATGGAAAACCCATTAGTTGGCAAAAGGTTAAAGTCCTAACAGCCAAGCAAAATGCACCAAAGAAACCATATACTTTCCACTGAAACATAACATCGACAAAACCATGACCAAACCCAAAAAGCTTCAAGTCCGAATCAGAACCCAGGAAATGAGCTAAAGCTCACAGATCCAAGCAGTCGAGTTCCAGGGGCCCCAAACCGCAACCGCTTCTCTCCGCTGCGGGCCTCTGCCAAGTCTGCAGTGCCGGCCTTCAAGGCATCCTCCTACGGCGTTCGCGGTCGGGGGTGATTATACAACAGCTCGGTTGCTTCCTGCTCCCCTGCTAAAAGCCTAACTCTGAGTGGTTTCATACGGAAAACCCATCAGTTGGCAAAAAGTTGAAGTCCTAACATCCAAGCAACATGCGCCCAAGATCAGATTGCCAGATTCTGCTGCGGAGTCCTTAAGAAGGCGCAGTCAAACGGGAAAGGGGGTCCTTACACAGGCTCTCGGCTCCTCACCGCCTCCTTGTACCTACCCCCCTACGGGGGGAGGGTGTTACGCCCCACGAGAGTGATCCGGACTCCCAGAGAAGGACACCCCATTGACTAAGTGGGGGGTTGATTAATCCGGGGTTCCGATTCCCTGGCTTGATGGGTTCGATGTTCAGGGCAATATGAAGCTTCGCAACCAACTTCATAGGATCAGAAGCAGGGGTGCTCCGAGCCTTAATTAAGTTGACGAGACCTCCATGGCGGCAAATTGGCTTGGTTTCTTCTATCATTTGTTTCGGGGTATTTGTGTCAAGCTTGATGTAAAGGCGATTTAACGGGAAACCACCAATCCTGCGCGTTGTGCCGATGGGGCCGATTGCTTGACAAGTAAAGGGACTTTTGGCCCACTATGAGGTTCTCAAACCACCCCACTTTGGGTAACTCTGGGTGCCACACAGCTGCATAATCAACACGATGTTTTCCAGAATAAAACCAGAAAGGTCAGGATTGGTGGTTGCCCAATTGACCTCTTTCGGAACCAGGAATCCAAATCCAGGCCTGTTCAAGCCACCTTCGCGTTGCCTGAAAAAGCGGATGGCCCCTTTATTAAACACCCAGTTTCAGTTTCCTGTTGGTTTTAGAAGGGTGACTTTCTGGGCCTCCACAACTATGATATTTAAAAATGGCCAGGCGAACAAAGATGGAATCGGCCTCCCGAAGCGATCGGTTTCTCGGACGCCAGGGGCCTGTTTGGGGGGATCCTGGTCTCGAAAACGGCCCAAGCCCCACGGCGCCACGGCGCCAGAAAGGCGAATGGGTGCCCAAATATTCTTCCGCAGACTTTTCATGATGCTTTTTTTTTGGTGGGAATTGAATTAATTCACTTCCGGCTTGGCACAGCGGGAACCAACCCCTCATTATAGGTGTCCTTTTAAGGTAAAATAGGTGTCCCTGAAAAACAAGACCAATCTAAACCAGTGCTACTATTTCTATCCAGACTAACTAAAAAAGGACACCGATGCTCATTTCCAGAACTCCGTCGCTGGTTGCCTATCAAAGCCTTTAGTTCCTGTGCCGAGCTCCGTCCTCGATCTTGACATCCTGCAAATTCTGCATGCCGTCGAACCTCGGTATTCTTCACCCGAGCGGACCAACTGCTAATAAGAGGTCTTCAAAACCACGTCAGGGAGTTCGGCCAAGTTAGTAAGTTGATAGCTGGGATAGCAGCTACTTACAAATGGGCGAACTCTTCTTGGGACTCGCAGCAGGTTGTAGCCTAGCATATTCATGATTTGCCAACTGGCCCAAGACCCCAAGCAGAGTCTCAATTTTGGTCCCTTCATTTTCCTCTTGCAGGGAGTGAGCAGGTCTTCAAGACATACGGCCAAACGCACGCATCTGCAGGCTAGCAGGTGAATCCAGGGGAAAACTATCAACAAACTAAACCTGAAAGTGTGAAAGGATGACAAGTCAAAGGTCCAAGCAGTTTGGCCACTGGGCCGGACGAATACGCTGGACGTGGACCAAAAAGCCTCTCCAAGCAGATAGAGGTCCTCCAAAACCCTGCTGTCCACTTCCATGACGTTGGAAAGCGGGCCCAACATCCAAAACCCTAAACGTTTCACAAGATATTGACGCCAATACCCGTATGCCAAAACGCGTGGACGCCCAGAGAGCGCGTCGAATCCCAAAGACGCCTGGAGAAGTGCGTCGGGCCCCACCAAGCACAGCCACAGAAACGACAGCTTTTCAGGCTTCCCAGAATCCACACTGCAGCCAAAGGTCCATTTTTGACCGCCAGCCCAGGGGTTCCCCTTGCGAAATTCGACTACTCCTTGGATTAAGCCTACCTTGTGCTAATCAAAATCGGGTTCCTGCAAGAACATCCGGCCGCTTTGTTTCGGCCAACGCAACGAGGTTTTGTGTTGTGTTCCGCCCCTTTCCAGAAACTTGAATCCACCCAAAAGAAGATCCATCATCCATCCGCCCTCCTGCTCAATCTGCTGCCAATTGAAGGGCACGGGCAACCTGAGAATTATCCAATACCCTTGCGGCTGTGTGCAAAATGTCGAAATAGTCTGGCCATGAGAATGACTGCTTTCCTCTTCGCTCCCCCTTAAACAAACCCCAAAAAGGGCACCCTCAAAAAATCGCCACTCGTTGAATTGTAGCATTTAGGACCTGAAACGAAGCCTTTGGCATTTTACCTTCATGGGTTCGAGCTGATTTTACCCCGAATCCGTGAAACTACCACGTTTGGAGGGTCCAACCTTAACGACACAGCCATATTAAGTATATTTAAGTATAGAGCTACCTCCGTTCGACCTCGATCGACTCTTGGGCTTGCGCGTCACCGTGGCGATGCCGTCGGCTGTGGCCTCACGAAGGTCGGCTCCTTGTAAACAGTTTCTCGCCTCACCCTGTAGTTGGTGGTTTGGTTTCGTTTGGTTCGCTGGTTTTTGGTCTGGTTGGGTTCGGTCTACGTGGCTTCCAAACGGGGCGCGGACTCTCCCACGGCCTCTCTTTTGATCGCATTAGGTTTCTTTTTGGTGGTTCCCGTTCATTGGTCATTCAGGCCAGTCGTCGGTCTTCCTGTATCCCAATTGGTGTGCAGTGGGTGTTGTCCATCCGCAGTAGCAAGGGGCACTTGCTCGCTTCCGCAATCCGCTCAGAGTGGGGTGCCATTGAAGAAATCATAAACCATGAAGAAGCGATGATGTGGCTGTGGCTCAAAATTGGCACCCAAAACGGCAACTTGAAACAAAGGCTAAAACCTGCGTAACCCCGGGTCTTTCATTTTGAGCCATACCCATGTGAGGTTTGCTGTGTGATGAAGCACATGTCTGACCGGGATCCCTTCATTTTCCTCTGACAAACTCAAACCCACATGGCAATGGCTCAAAATCAACGAAATTCTGGAAGCTTGCAAAGCCCATTGATTTGCTTCTGGGGAACCAGTGAAAGGCATAGTGTCCGGTCCACGCAAGTGAAGCAACCCATCCCCCAATACCTTGCTAGTTCAAGGTGGACCCCACCCTCCGATTGTTTGTAGGCCATCCGGGTACAACCGCTTATGGACGTGCCACTGCAGAAGGGCAAGGAACATCATTGTTAACTCCCTCAGTCAGTTGGGGTCCAGATTTGCAAAAAAACAAAAACATTCAAGGTGCATCCATATAGAGGGCAATCCAGCCTCCAGCTGTGGCAAACTTGCCTATACTTGTTGGGAAGTTCCCCCCCCAGCGCAATGGAAAAACAAGGTCCTGCCCCAAGGAACTGTGCCTTCCCTAAAGAGTTGTGCAAGTCAAGCCATGGTATCCACAACTCGCACCCAAAGGAAACTCACCTGGAACCAACCAAAAGGAGCATGGAAATAAAACCAGACAGCTGCCCAAGTGGGAAGCCGCTTGGAGTGACTGCGCCTGGAACCGTTCAGTTGCCAGCTTGGCGCCCAAGTCTTTCATCTTGTGGCCCGCAGCCACCTGCGCCTTCGGGAGAGCCCGAATCGTGCTGTGTAGGCCGTCACATGGGCGTCACATGGCAGATATGGCGGGAGGGGGAAAAGGAGGGCCAAATGTGACGTAAACAGAGCACTCCTGTGCACGGTGACATTTCAAAGGCGGTTGTCGCATGCTGGCATGCTTGCTTGAACGGGTCTATGATTGGAAGTTGTTGGTTTACGTGGGTGGGAAATGCGGGGGGATTCCTACTGCCCCCAGCACGCGGAATCTGGACGTCTATCAAAATAGAGGGAATTGATTGTCCCTTTGGTTTGCCTTTCGAAGCACAAAACAGGGTAGAAATGCCGAAAGCCTTGTCCAAATTCACCTCAGCTGCATCCGTGGCAAAATTGTCGGCCCATTTGAAGCCACCATCCAGGTCGACTCTCAGCGCAACTCAACCTCTAGCCTTGACATGCCCCGCACCAAGGAACTTTGAGCACGCAGCTGGGCGCCCACTATGATAAGGCGCACCCCTGCAAAAGAACCGGGCATTGCTTGGCCAAGCCGAGTGAGCGTGCAATGCTACAGGGCAAGCTCATTACCCTTCAAGAGGCCTACACGGGCCGAGCACAAGGCACGTTGGGGCTCAAAGCCACCCAAACTCGAAGGATATCAGCTCATGAGAAGTGCTCAGCTGCATCCAACTGCCGATTTTTTGAAGATGACTGCAGGATTCTGAAATTGAAGAAGGTACTCCCATTGGCCTAAGACTACAGGCCAAACGAGGAACAACACAAATGGTCCAAAGACCGATTGCATTTGGACAAGCGCATGCTTGGTCCCTCAGTTCGTCGCAAAAAGCAAAAACCTGACTCTCCCGGCAAGTGTGGCCTGGGTAGCGCGCGGAAGTAAAAACCATTCTTTGGTTTGCCTCTAAACAGGGGACCCTCCCAAACGAAAACGGAGAGTTGTCCATTAGCTTCCATTTAAGACAATCCTAAAAGGTGCATCTCCAACACCATGACGGCCGACTTTTTTTTGCTTTAGCAAAAAAGCAAACAATAGTGATGGCCGTCTCACTTCCTGTGTGAACTCGCCACGCCAAACGAAGTTCAAACTTTGTGCAACTAAAACGGCCTTCTCAAAGTCCATGAAGCTCAGGAAGCAAGCAAATTATGTTCCTTTCACACGTCTCACCCGCCATGGCCCGATGCTCATTTCAGTCTTCCGAGGGCAGAGGGCGGCGAGCACCACCAGTGGCTTCTGCCTTAAGAGTAACTGCCACGAAATAAATGTGCGCAACAAAGCAAGTAGTGGCTTTCTGCTCCCCTGCTAAAAGCTTAACTTTTAGTGGTTTAATGGAAAACCAATTAGTTGGCAAAAAGCTAAAGTCCTAACATCCAAGCAAAATGCACCAAAGAAAGCAAGTAGTGGCGATGTGGCTTTGAAGATCTTTGAAGCCAACGGCTTTGCAACCAAAATGCAAGGCACATGCTCCAAAGAGAGGCCTAAATCAGAATGCAACATCCAATTGCATGAAGCAAATGGAAGCGAATCCCACACGATGAACACATCCTTGTTTCACACACTTTTGGCCAGCTGGCTGAGCCAACAGTGAAAGCCCAAGCACATGGTAATCCTCACTTCCCCGAAGAAAACTCAGAACATATTTCTCATTCAATTCCTTTAAAACCAGGCGGAAATCAGTTGCAATCCTTACAGGAAATGGAATGTTGGCCTATGCCCCGGTGACGCCTGAAGAAGTTTCAAGTTGGCCTTGGACTGCAGGGCCTGGCGCGGAATTGAAGGACCGCCCCCTTCGGCCCTTCAGCTGAGGGCCCTGGTTGGGACGTTTGACCGTTGCAGTTCCTTGCCTTGGAGCTCGTACCCTACTTGGTATAAAGGGCCGTGTGTGGCTCACTCCAGGATGTGAATGGCTATTTCTGGTGTTGCGGGAGGCCATCTCGAAGAGATCTGCGTGAACCGCAAGGAAAGCTAAGCATTTAGCACCCTGTCAAGAGCTTCATATTGTTGGTTCTGGTGGGCTCCTTGCATTTGTCAATGTGCGAAACGTATATAAGGACCTCAGCAAACGCCGGCGAATGGGTTGTTCTCTGGAAGGACCCTTTCAAAAAGCATTACCCCGTGCCAATGGTTGAGTCTCATGGTGGGTGCCCTTTCAGCATGAACCTAAAACAGGCCGTGAACTTGACAACCGCCTGTTTTTAGAAGCCCTTCTTGAGATCAAACATGCCCGCAGGAAGCCCCACACCAAGTTGCCAATATTTTGTGGTACTTGCTGGGGTTGCTGTAGAGTTGGGCATGGGTGCGTGCGTGCGTGTGTGCGCGTGTGTGTGTGTGTCAGAATAGGGATACCCCCCCCAAAGTGGTTAGTTTCCTTTTGGTATCCCTTTAAAGCAACCCAAAAGGGGTACTCAAAAAACACAACCAAGTCTCCTTTCGTCCTTGCGCCTGGATGTCTTTCGTCGCTGCTGCTCTCGCCATACCATGCCTGGCAAAGGTACAGGTGACACTCAGAAGCTTCCATTGGACGAAAAATGAAATTCCCACCAAAGCTTAACGGTTCGGGGCTTATACACTGCTGGGGAGGTTACATGACATTGGCCCTTGAGCCATGGGGTTTCACCCAAATGCTTGGCTTCCTTTCGTCCTGTGGACACCTGCTTTGGAAAGTGGCCTTCAGGGCTGAGATATCTGCGTGACCTCGTTCCCCAAACGAAGAATGTAGAAGCCAAGTGGTGGGCGTTATCCTTCCATAGGCTATGGGTGTGACTTGGCCCACATCTGGGGCACACCCAAATCAGACTTTCATCTCCTATTCCACGTTTAGTCCACCCAGTAGGATAGAATCGTTTTGTTGGAGACCCCAGGTGGGATTCAGGTGGTGTGGAGAGACTCCTCCAAGATGACCTCAGCCTGCGCCCCCAACAAAAGGACCTTCTCTGGCTCGGACAGCCGTTTTGGGATACTCAACATGTCTTTTCTTCAAGCATCTGACTGAAACCCCGAGCCTTTCTCCCGGGGTCACTGGATTTCCCCTTCACATGTTATGTTGATCAACTGACTGGTGGTTTCCCTTGAAACTGCCACTTGTGGAGGTTCCACCAAGGGAAATGGGCCAATGGGAAATGGAACCCCGCGCCTGTTTCTGGGCACTTCCGATCTGTAGCTGGCAGCGCCGCAGAAGTCGCGGCCCTCGGGAGTGCAGTCGTGGCTTGGTGTGCTTGGTCTCCGTGGTTGGGGGAACGTGCTCCAAAGTTCGAGCTGTTCCACTTGGAGGGTCGCTTTGACAATGGCAGGAAAACGGGGCCAGGAGTGGTTCTGGGCGAACTTCCCCACTCTTTCCAGAGGGTGTTCTCGGAAAATCGCGAAACAACCCAACAAATCTGGCTCATGCTGCTTCCTCTTGCGAACCAACATGCCCAATCTGGCGCCTCCAGGGTCTTGTGAATCCCTACAGAAAAGTTCAAGCTGCTTGCATGCGCTCCAAGTAGTCTTTCCGGTCCCTGAAAACAATCAGCTTGATTTCGGAGCAAGCTATATGAGAGGGTCTCACAAATGTTCAGTGAGACTATGACCTCTTACCAGCAGGTGAAACTAGAATCTCTCACACACACATGCATACACACCTTTTGTTGATTTATGCTGATTCTCACCTAACAATGAAGTTTTAAGTGAAGAACCACTTCGGCATGAGGCCCAACACCGGCCTCACAGAGTCACAGAGTCACAGACACACACCAAGATCCTTGGTAGGCTCGCCATAATTGACGGCCGGGCTGGTCAGACTGGCCTCAAAGACGTTGCACTTGTTGCTAGTGTCTGAATCGCTATTTAAGAAATATGGTGAAGACTTGAAAGCCGTACCATCGCGCCCCCCTCCCCTCCCGCCCCCAAAAAACAAACAACAGGACACATTCTTGGACTTGCTGGGCAAGCAGGGGCAGCAAGCGGACCGTTTGGCCAGAGCACTTCAAGCAAGCACAGCAAGCCGCAACTACTAAAATCAGACTTTCAACCGAACCAAAACGTGTCCTGCATACCAAAACCAAGAAACAAGAGAAACTACAACAAATAAACAGCAACATCTAGCAAACCCAGGACCTTGCATAACCACTGAAGGCCATGCAGGGGAAGCCAAGTTCACGGATCTGCATTACAAACATAACCAAGCTTTTCAACATGTTTGACCAACACCTCGTTTTAAGCGACCTCCTGTTGGCTTCCCTTTAAAGGGGGCCTGGGCCCAGGTATCCATACCAAGCTTCACCCGCCCTACCTGGGGTGAGCAAAACCGGAGCTGAGGCCCGAACGCCGAGCCACAGGAAGCATGGCACCACCTAAAAGTTCGGGAGACGGCCAGGCGTGTCCGAGGTCATGAACCGTGTCAATTTTGGGTCAAAATGAAAAATTCCATATATTCCATACAAAAAGAAGGAACATATGGGTTTGCAGCTTCATTTGGGACCCTTGGTTGGACATCATTTACGTGGGGATATCTGCCAACCTGTTTCGAGGGTTCCCTATTGAATTCATGGCCGTACTGTTCTTAGCGCCGCAGTGTTCCCAATGATTGCCAATTTGCGGGATCGACCGCACGTGATTGAGATGGGTAATGCCCAACCGCCCCCTCGATGACATATGTTTTCAGGGGAAAACTTGTCCGTCCTTTCCAGAGTTTCTTCTAAAATCTGGAAAATAAAAAAAACAACAAAAACGACTTGATTTGCCACACATCCCACGCTGGGTGAACTACACAAAGTGGACAACCTAAAAGAAGGACCCTACAGAAGGAACCAGGCTGGTTCACAAGCCACACAAGCCAAGCCCGTCGTTAGGCCGCTCACATCTGCGCAGCGGTCATTTGCCTCATATTCTTTAAACATGTGCATGTATAAACCAAGCACACGCAGATAAATTCACATGTATCCATAAACAGCACCTTTCACCTAGGCCACTAAAAACTGGGAGCCCAACATGATGTTGACCCCCCTATTCATCAACCCCAGTGTATTAAAAGGGAGTGTTCCCTTCCAAAAATGAACAATCCCCACAAAAACCAGGGACACCCGCATAATTATTAATAAACAGGGGTTTCTTAAATTGGGGGTGCTCATTCGGGAAAGCCTGTGGATGGACGAAATCCGGCACCACCCAAGAAGCCATGAAAACCACTGCTTGTTGGCATTTACAGGGGAATCATCCAGGGATTCTCAGGTGGCACAGGATTTCGTCCATCCATAGGGGGTGTTCACTTGGCTGGACCTTGGCTTCCGCGCCAGAAGGCTCAGAAGGCTCAGCCGCCGGCCTGGCGAACCGGCGAACGAGAGGGGTGGTCCCGGGAGCGGCAAAATACTTGGGTGCTGCAAGGGAAGCTGGGAAGCCGGAACTTACTTGAAAACTTATCAACCCAAAACAAGCTTGGTTGCTGCAACGACCCCCCTGCAAGAAGTGTTCCACTTTTTGGGGGGTTTGGTGCAAAACCCAACTCGATTTCAAACAAGAAGTTGAAGTCGAAAGATCCAACCCAATAGCAGTTAAGAAACCCCAACATGGTGGTCTTTCAGGCGGTTTCTCTGTAAACCAACGCCAAGACTTCGGTCTCCCGCGTGCAGAGAACAGCATTTTTGCATATAACCTTCATATAGTGGTGAGAAAGTGGTGGTGGTAGCCCATCTTTTGCTTGGAGTGAGGTTCGTGCAGGAATTAAATATTAACCTCTGGTTGTTTGGGGGGGGTGAAACCCGTTTAGAGACTACACTCTTTTTTTTTGGTAAAAAAGCCCCTCACTGTCAACGTGCTAACCACCAACTATACGACGTTCACTGGGGGTATGATCGTAAACAAGCAGTCGCCTAGGAACATGCAACAACTCCCTGGATACATTGGCGAAGCATCTCCGTGCAACATTTCTCCAAGGACCCCCAGGTAGATTCACCAAAACGGCCCCCGCAATGATCGAAAGTCCAGAACAGAATGGCCAATTGACTTGCAGCCAGTGACCCTGGTGTTTTTTTGGGGTTGACCATGTTCGATGGACAACCCACCAAGGAAACACGCTGAAAAACTGGCTGATAAGCTCCACCCGAAACAAACCACAAGGCTTCAGGCTTTCAGAGGTGGCAGGCCAGCAAATGAGCCAGCGAGCATGCACGTCAGCCAGCCAGCAGCCAGCCAGCCAGCAGCCAGCCAGCCAGCCAGCCGGCCGGCCAGCCAGCCAGCCAGTAAGATCCAACCAACCAACCAACCAACCAACCAACCAACCAACCAACAAAGAAACAAACAAACAACCAACCAAACAAACAAACAAACAACCAACCAAACAAACAAACAACCAACCAACCAAACAAACAAACAAGCAAGCAAACAAACAAACAACCACACCAGCAGCAAACCAACGAACAAGCAAGTAAACAACCGCTTACGCCTTGGGCAGGCTAAGGGCAGGTAAGAACCTTTGCAGAGAGATTCTGACGCTATTCAGCGAGATCATCCCCTCCATCCCTTCCAGTGTCCACATTTTGCCTGCGGGCTTACGCGCCACTGGAAACTGTACAGCCAGCGGGGCGGATCGAAACTTGCCGCCGAATTTGTGTTTTGGCTTCTCCGGGGCGTCTCAAGACGAGCCGTCTTGACGCCTTCGTGAGAAGCGGGGCAAACTGCACAATCGGAAACTGAGGGCTGCGATCCTTGGATCAGCTTTGGGGCGCAGAGTTTCCGCTTGGGCACGTTGGCCCCGCGCGACAGGCAAAGCCAGACAAGGAACTGCTGCCTGCAGAGCGCAAACTCATGATGAAGGTCACCATTTTGGGTTTGCCCAAATGTACCTGGAAGGCAACCATTGTTCACTCAGCTTTTGCTTTCGACCTCGGTCTTCAGAAGGTTGCAGTGCGCTGCGACATTGAAGGAGCTGCGTGCATGCTGCATTGCGACGCGCCCGCGGCTGCCCCAAGTTTCAATGCTCGCTGGCTAACTTGGCCGGACACAAAACCCTTGTCAAATCAGGCGCATTGGGATGGACATGCCAACACCTTAAGAACGGATATCGTTGTATAAACGAGTGGGGAATGCCCTGTTGATATGTAATATTCTTACGGTATCAAGCGAGACCAGCCACATCAGCCTGACATCCGCTCCTCCATCCCATCCAGTGGCAGGATTTTGCCTGGGGGCTTATGCGCCACTAGAAACTGCACAGCCAGTTCAGGGGATTGAAACTTGCCGCCAAATTATGATTTGGCTTCTCCGGGGCGTCTCAAGACGAGCCGTCTTTACTCCCTCGTGAGAAGCGGAGCAAAATGGGAAACACATAGCCGTGATCCTGTGATCAGCTTTGGCAATTTGGGGCGCAGGATTTCCGTTTGGGCACGTTGGCCCGCCCGCATGAAATGCAAAGCCAGACAAGGAACCGCTGCCTGCAAAGCGCAAACTCATGAGGGTTCATTGTTCGTTCAGCTTTCGTGACTGAACTTGGTCTTTGGAAGGTTGCGGTGCGCTGCGAATTCCTCGAAGGCTAAAACTGCAAATTGCGTGCATGCTGCATTGCGATGCGCTCCAATGCTCGCTGGCGAAGTTGGCTGGACACAAACTCCTTGTGAAATCAAACGTGTTGAGACGGGCACTGCCAACATCATGAGGCTGGATAGCGGTAAATGAGTGGGGAAAGCCCAAATACAGCACTGCTTTGCTTGGCCTCTCATGCTCAATGTCCGCGAGAGTTCTCAACTGCCCAGAAGGCACTTGCATCAATGGAAACAATGGCACGCATCAATGCAATGCTTCCCGTTGTCTGCCTTTCTTGGGGACCGTTTCGCCCACAAAGTGCGTGGCAATGCGCCCAAACCCACAAAGGATTCGGGGTTTCTCTCATGCGCCACCCAACTTGTGGGGGTGGTCCAGGGTGCTGAGAATCAAGTCCACCGCCTTTGCCACGCCGCCTAGCGGAGCTGTCTGAATCATCCGAATCGCATGCCCGAGACATGCTTGACAAAGGAGGGTGTGGGCTTAAAATGAAAGAGCTAGGGTTGCGCAGATTTTAGTCTTTGGCTCCATTTACCAAGGTGCCATTTGGGTACCAATTTTTGAGCTACAGTCAAGAAGCTCGAGTAGTGGTTTTTTCCGGCACATCCTGGTCCTTGTCTGTAGCGGGAAACCGCTGCAAAGAAGAACCCTCTCGTAACACACAAAACTGCCTTCGAACAGCTAGTCGTAACAAAAGGATTGCCTTCGAACAGCTGAGCTTAGAGTATTCACAACTTACATGATCGTGCCTAAATAGTCACTCCAATCATCCACGGCTGTGGGGCTGACCAGAATCCACAAGCTTATGCAGAGGCCCCTTGGACGCTGGGCAAAATGTGAGTGTGTTTCGGGCTTTCCCTGCAGCGCGCCCGCAAAAAGATCAGGCTGCTAAGCCTCTACCCCCTGCTCCCTCTGCATCTTCCATGCTTGAAGGGGCAGGATATTCAGGAACTGAGTCCTGTTAAGATCCGGGGTTCCCATCTCACTCATTCGGGTGTGTCTGTTTGAGGGCACCGCTTTTGCGGGGGTTTAAAGGGAAGCCAAAAGGAGAACCGCCATCTCACTTCCTGAGCGGACTGGCCCCAAAACAAGTCACTAAAGGCCATGGACTTAGGAACTGAGCCATTCCTTTGGGACAACTCCCGAATCAAAAGTGACCCATTGTCCATGGACTCAGGAAGTGAGAGCAAGTGGTTCGCGAACTCGGAAAGTGAGCCATTTGGGTCAAATTCCAGGAACTCAGGAAGTGAGCCAGGAACTCAGGAAGTGAGCTTTTTTTTTTTGGCTTTATGTGGAAAATCCACCCAAAAAGGATAAAGGAAAGAACAAGAAACAGACAACCGCCTTTTTTGTTGGGCCCCCCCTCCAAAAAGGGAAACCGCTTCTTTGTATGTTTTTTTTTTTTGGGGGGGGAACAACCACCCCCATCTTTTTTTTGTTGAAAACAGCCATTCTTCTTGGATAAAAATCCCTCCCCCCAAACAGAAAACAGCGTTTCTTCTGGGGACCCCTCCCTCCCCCCCCCCCCAAACGGAGCAACTGTCCACTTATGTTTGTTTTGTTTATTTTTTGTTGGGGGTGGGCGGGGAAATCCACCCAAAAAGGGAAACCGAGGAGCCGCGTCTTCCGATTCCCCCGGCCTGCGGACTTCAGCTCCTCCTCCAGGCCCCGCGCCTTCTGCAGGAAGCTGAGCTCCGCCAGCACCGCAGCCACGGCCTGGCGGCTGGCGAGGGGCAAGCTCTGCCATTTGGTGGCGGGGGTCGTGGGGGGGGCGGGTTGTGGGGTGGGGGGCTGTGGAGGGTGGGGAGAGGAAAGTTTGTGGGGCTGGGGGGGGGGGGGAGGGGGGGAGGGATTGTTTTTTTGTTGAACCCGATCCTCATGAAGCCCAACGTTACTGAACACATTGTTGTCTTGGGAGGGGGGAAAAAGATCCTTCAACTCACTTGCAACCGAAGGACCTGCACCAAAACCATTGCTTTGAGTTGTTCATTTGACGCTCCCTTGCTAAGCCGTGCACCTGCGGACGAAGGTAGCACTGACCCCAAAAGGTAATCAGCATTTGTCGCAGCAATCATCAGACAGCCTTAGCCAACCATTGCTAGCCAATGTCGAAGGGACCTAGAAAACTGCGAGCATATCGTCACGCGGGCAGTTCTTTGGCTGACTAACTTGAATCCTGGTTGAAGATGCAGAGCTTTATGCACAAGAATCGGCCAAGCAACATCCTTCAGCTTCCCTCAAATCAGTGATTTGGAGCCCGGTGGTTTGGTGGTTTGGGGGCGGTTTCCCATTTACCCTCTAGAAGAACCAGGGGTTACCATCCAAGTCAAAACCACCAACCCAAACCGCCTGACGGTTACTTGAAGACATGTCGAGCTAGCTCAGCCAGGCTCAAGGGGAACCAACTTACCTGCTGCCTCGCAACCTTTGTCTGCACCCAGATTTGCCCTCACAGAGTTTGGAAATCCACCTGGGCAATTGTTGTTGGGGTGAAACTGGCTCTTCATGTTCGAAGCGGCGACTCACTATTCCCAGAAACCTTAGGGGGCAAGCCCTACAAGCCAGGCTTCCGGGCTTCCGCACGTAGAAACCAAAAGCCATGCCCCCCCCCCCCGTTTTTGCCAAGCGGCTGCTGCCGTGGCCGCTTGGTACTTGGCTGCTTCACGGGAAGCATCTTCCTAGGGCACGGCTGCGTTGCAGAAGTCGTGTCCAGCCCTTGGTGTCTTAGCAAAAGACTTCTCACCTCCCGAGTGGATGGCCCAAAATAACAAGTATCCAAACTTTTTGTCTAATAGCCACTAACATGGTCCAATCCCAAACCCTGACTAAAGTCCAGGAAGTCAGGAAGTGCGACTTGGTTCTTGTAAGCCCGCCAAGAAACACGAACAGGACAGCGAAGCATTCGTGACATCGCTGACTTCCATGTTTGCAACTCATCCCCTACCCTCCGAATCACCGTCTTTGCACTCAGCGAAGCGATTATTTGGCGCCAGGGCAACTTGTGTTGAATGGCTCCTTGCCGTTGGCATGCCGGATACTTGGCTTGAAATTCCATTGTTCCCTGGGCACTCTAGCTGACTAAAAAGCCAAGCGTCGCTCTTTTCGCTAACCCAGCTGTTTTCCTTTGTGCTTTGCCGATTTTCTAGAAAGAAGGATCGGAAGTAACCCCCTTTGCGGGTTTCATGTTGGGTTCCCCCTAACATTTCCAGTCAAATCGACAAGCAAAATGCTAAGATGCCCACACAGGAAACGTACATTGCGCCACTCACTTCCTGAGTGGATGAGCCAAAAGAGTCCAAACTTGTTATTCACTACTAAAAGGGTCCAAACCCGCAAAGCTCAAAGGGCGAAACGGAACTCGGAGAGTGAGAGCAAGTTATTCCATGGGGAACTGCTTGTTACACCCCGGGTATCGCTCGTCTCGCACAAAACAGAGCCCTCCCTGTGCCTCGGGATGGCCCAGCAATGAATCGATGAAGTTCCATGTTGGGAGCTGGAGAAGTGAGTTGACCCCTGCCAAGACGATTCACAAACTGGAACAAGGAATCCCCATAGTAGCAGACCTAGATATCGATTCCCTTAAAAACCAACAGGAGTTTGTTTTCTAAACGTCTATTCCTTTCAGCACATGAATGAAAGCCACACAAATCTGATACGAGGGCGCGTGAATAGCTTCTTTTTCCGTGAAAATTGGGTGGCCTCCGCCAAACAAAACGCGCCCGTCCAAGAATTTCCATTTCTTGGGACACCAAGAAGGTGACCTCCACCCAAAAAACAACAAGACATTCATGGGCCCCTTCTAGCTGTCCGTCCCAGAAATTCCTAGTCTCAACTACACGTTGCAAATGTTGGGACGAAAGAACAAGCGTCTTAAAGAAGGAAAGTGTCCCTTTTTGTGGGGGACCTTCCATTGAAACCAACCATGTTCCTTTCAGCAAATGGGAGAAAGCCACAAACAAAGTAGCTTCATGGCCGTGCTTCGCGTTTCTCGGTTGCTTTCTGCTCCCCTGCTAAAAGTTTAACTTTTAGTGGTTTAGTGGAAAACCCATTAGTTGGCAAAAAGTTAAAGTCCCAACAGCCAAGCAAAACGCACCAAAGGTTTGTGGGGGGCGTTTCAGAAAAAACCTTTCGCCCTCCCCCGGGTCCCAACCCCCCGTCCCCGTCTTTTGAGGCGCCGGCCATCCGGCACTCGGGGCGCGGCACCTGAAGGCCCACACCCAGGTCCACGGCCTGCGGCGCGCGGAGAATGGGCGGCGCATTTGAAACCGAATTTCCCCCGGCTTCGGTTGGGAAACCGAAAACCGGAAGACTCTAGGGGTAGCTCCCCCATTCCTTCCAGGGATCCTTTCTTTTCAAAAAGAGAGATGATTGAAAATTGGGAAACAAAGGAAAACGCAAGCTCCCAGAAGGCCGCTGTAAATGGGTCACCAAGTCTTCCAAAGAGGTCCTGGGAGCTTCCATGTTCGCCTGGGGGAGGGCCCTCCCACCAACTAACATGGGTTAGTGCAAAAAGGCCGACTAACCAAAAGGAAAGTCGTCTTTCTACAGGGGTCTGTGCACTGTTAGCTGGTGGGAGGGTATGTTGGGTTCCATCCGGCGAGCTTTCCAATGGTCATCCCATGAGGACCCTTTTATCAACCCCTCTGCAACTTGTACTATAACTCCAAAAGCTGAATTTAGGGATCCCCAAATACAGAACCTTTATCATGGTGAGCTCACTATACCCCCAGGTGAGCTCACCATGAAATCTGCAGAGACTATGTTGGGTTCCCCTACTTTGACACATGCCAAGAGGGGTTTGACACGTATCCCCTTAGATTGGTTTGTTGGTTGGGGGGCTGAATTTGTCACTTGCCCTCTACAAACACCAGGGGCTGAAACCCCCAACCCACCAAACTGTTCGAAAGACATGTGCACCCAAATTGATTCACATAGCTTCATGTCTGGCCGAGGTCCCCCTCTTCCAAAAGGCAACCGGCTCTTGCCAATTCTCAGCAGGGAATGCGGGAAGGACCCATACAAACCATCCTATGCTTACCCCTTAGAACTCC